TTGAATTTTCTTTATTCTTCTTTAAACAGGGCAACTCTTATTACCTAAACATCTTTTGAGCTTGCTATTTGTTACCTAAATAATAATTAAGAGCTTCAAAAACTATAAAAGCACAGTAATTACATTATGTTAGATATGGAGAGTTTATTTTACTCTTATGTTTACTCCTAAACAATTGTCAATTGAGGGGAGCAGAGAGTTTTTTTTTTTTTTTAATTAGTTTACAAGTTAAGAATATCCCTTAGAAAAAGGGGAAGAAAAGCAAAGCTTCTATCCTTGTTACTGATTTAAATTTTTTAAAATTTAAAATTCTTTATAGTTTTTGTCTTAATATAATTTAGAGCTGTTTGAAAATGAAACTCTGAAAAAGAGAAAAAGGTGAGTTTTTTTTTTCATTTCAAACAAATATATTTTAAATTAATATTTTTAAAATAAAAAATAAAATATTAATATATATTTTATAAATTTAATAGTAATAATTATTTTATATATGAACGAGTATAAAATATTTTCTTAATTTATAAAACACAGTAAATTTTTGTTAAAAAAAAATATTCTCTTTTTATTATGAAGTCTTTCAAATTTTTTTTAGGAACGAATATATGCAAATTTAAAATCCATGGGGGTGACTAAAGATAGATTCATTGTTACTTTTGAGAGAATGACTCATTAATTGTTACCAATCTATGATAAATAAATGATACCATTAGGTTAACTTGATTCATCAACAGTTGTTGCAGTGTCTCTGTAATTGACCTATTCCAATGCTTCAATCAATTCCATGATTATTACTCAAGAATTCCATAATTTCACTACCTATTGAAAAAATAGATATTTACATTAGTTTTATGTGTTTTCAACTTTTTTTTTCTTAAGTGTAGATGCTTTTTCAATTTTTAGAATATTTGATAAAATTAGTTATCAAGCTAACTTATGAATATAAAATCATAAAAAAAAATAAACTATAATCTAAAAATATCGTAATTGTATTTTTTTAAATAATTTTATTTTATTATTTTATTTTATATACTGTCTCAAACCACATCATACGAACATTTTTATAAATATATTAAAATTTTAGAAAAGAAACGGATAAATTACAAATTACTCAAAAATAATAAAGATAGAAATAAACAAGATTCTTTGATTTAATAGCTAGACATTTTTATTTTGAAAATACTAATTAGAATAATGTTTTAAAAAAAGTTAATAATTAGTTTATTAGACAAATTTATTTTATTTAAACAAAACTTTCAACCATTAATTTAAGTTTCAATCGGTGAAAAGCCTTCTCAAATATTTTGTACAAATTTTACTAATGAATTAAAACGAAATTCAACGGGAAAAATTGTTCAGCAGCATTTGGAGCATCCATGGCAAAGTGAAAATAAGATGTTCTTTTGTTTTGAAATTTTTAGTGAAAGACATTTTTTTAAAACCCCTTTTGAAAAATTTAGTGAGTTTAATTACGTTTTTAAGAATTTTTAAAATTTGAAAATGGATTTCTAATTCTTTTAAGCAACTTGCAAAAATTGAAATCATCATTGACTTTGATGACATTTTTTTTATAACTGTAACATAGTGAAAAATAATTTATACTTTATATAAAATATATAAAAACATATATAAAAAATGACAAATACCAAGATAATTTTTTAAAAGTTTAAACAAACAGGTTTTACAGAAATAAACATGTAAAAAGAATTAACCTTGTGTCCATTATTTTTGTTTTATTTTTAAGATACATCAAATATATAATAAAACATGTATTTTTTTTTTCATCTACCAAATACTATCTTAATTTGCCAATTTTAAACTTCTGTATTAACCCATATCAAATATTATAATTTAATTCAACATAATTATCCGGATGAAGCAAAACATTCACATCCAACTGAGAAAAAAATTATTCAAAATAACCAACATTTGTAATTTTAAGTCTATTTTTCATTGCTTAATATTTTTCAGCATTGTGAAACTCTTAACAGTGAATGGATATAAAAAAAAATAAAAAAATACTGAAATGACTTATATCATGAGCCTCATCTTACAAAATTATTTAACTCAAACACACACTAAATTAAACATATTATAAGTTCGATACTAATGGAGCTAATCTTCAATAAGCACTTATAAAGATTAAATCATAAAATAAATAAAAATTGTTTATAAATTAAAATTAATTTATGCTGATTTATTATTTTTATAAATTCCCTTATTTATTTTTAAAAATAGATTAATATTTTTTAATTTATAGAGACTTATGACCAGAATCTGAAATTTGTTTAGTTTCAGATAAGCATCACCATTGAGAAAGAGACAAAGGAGAGTTAAGTTAGGTCATCCAATTTGATATGTAAAGCGTACACGTGTATGTCGATTAACGTTAACGTTGTCGTATGTGTCGGTCACTGAATGTCTCAACGCTGTCGTTTCATTATTGTTTTAAGAATCCACGCAATATTGTTGACTTGGCTTTGTAATGAAGAAGAATCTGTTTAAAGTTTGATAAAGTTAAGAAATACTATTATTTTTAAGAAATACTCACTTTTAAAATATTTTATAAAATTAATAAAAGAACCTTAATAGTCATGCCTCAGAAGAACAATCATTTTTATTATATATCATTTTTTGAAGATTGTTAACATCTAGACCAAGCTTAGAGGAAAACATATAGACCTATTAAATGTGACAACACATTCCTTTTTTCCGACCATCGTATTAAATGTGGGCATATAGCAGCTTGTGATATGATATGTTTATCAAAGTTAAATAAAGTTGCGTGTAGCTGTGTATGATAGGAACAACTTGCTCGTGAAAATTGATATGGTGTGTGTATGTATAATTGTATATAGACACCAATTATTTTGACATTAGGAGCTTAATTACAATAATTTTATATCTTAATTAATTCCAATGGAGTTAAGTGTTCTCATTTATTAAAGTATTTTGGTTAATACTGTTTAAATTTTATACAGAACTTGAAAATTTTGAATTTTTTTTCTATTTGTAATAACAGAGACACGTAAGGAAATCTTTAATAAGAGAGATAAAAGATTCTTATTTTATTTGAATAAACGAGAGGAAGTTTTCCCGCTTAACTTTGCAAGAAAAAAGTAAAAGAAAAAAAAAACTTATTACCTGTATTGTATGGATATTTACATTTAAATAATAGCCTTTTTTATTATTAATAAACATTTTATTATATCAAATTACAAAAAATTAAAGAAATAAACTGTTTAAGATCGAGAAAGAAATTATGAAAGTAAATGATTAAAATCAAGACATATTATATTTGATTTTATGGTATATAAAAATTTATATTTAAAAATCAAGAATGATTAATATTATAACAGCTTCCAGATGTATTTTATCTAAAATAAAAAGATATATTCAATTTTAAAGAAATAATACTAAAAATGAATGGCAATTAATTTAATTATAAATAAAAGTACATTAAATAATTAAATTAAAAGAAATTACATCGCTTAATAAGTATAATAATATTTTTGAAATCATTTTTATTTGAGAATAAAATCTCAAATTTTAAATATACGATTATAGTTTTTGTATAGTTTACGATTATTATCAAATCAAGATAAATTCTAAAAATATATTTTATAATAAAATTTAAATAAAAAAATATTTTATTTATTAATAATACTTACTTGTTATGTTAAATTAAATTAAATTATAAAATATTTAAAATAAACAATATATGAATTTAAAATTTAAATTGAATTAAAAAATAAAAATAAAAATATAACTACTATTAAAAATAAATTTATTTAAAATGACTTATAAAAATGTTATTATGACTCGTGAATTATATATAAAATAGATAAATACAATATTTAAAAGAGATTTTATGCATTATTTTTTAATTCGAATAAGTTTTATAATAAAATATTTATATGTTCTTTTTAAATAGATAAAAACTCTTATTTTATAAGAATCTATTCACAGTATGAATATTATTTGAAGAAATAAAAAAACATATGAATATTTTTAAGCATCCTTTTAATTACAAAAGCCTGCTAAAATAAGATATTAAAAACTTAAACATATGTCTGGAATTATCTTCATAACTCTTAATTAGATTTATGAAAACTTTTCGAAAAAATACATAAAAAAACTTGTTTAAATATCTTCTCCTCTGTCAAAAAGCAATAAGAATCCAATCTCAGAGATTATTTTAGTTAAAGAATTCACAAAAATTTAAAATATTTCATTGCCTGTTACTTTTCCTCCTTCTGTATAAAACTTATGAATTAAAGAAAAAGCTTTTTTTATAAAACTTTTTATCTTTTCATGTGCAAGTCCATAAAATAAACTTATTCAATTAAGTTATACTAAACTCATTTTAATAAAATATAAAATTTAAATTTTAAGTTTTGTGTTTAAATGAAATTATTATTTTTTAGATGCAAATTAAATTCGTAAAAAAATAAAAAAATAATTACTCTTGGTTGAACTTGAACAGCATTTTTATAAGCTTGAACACTTTCCCCCCCCCCCCCCCCCCCGAACCTATTAGTACCCGTTGCTAGCAACAACATGACAAATAGAAAGGCTTTAAAAAATAAAATAAAAATAGTAACATCAAATTTTTAAAGTAATATTTTTAAAAATATATTTATTGTATTAAAATTTTTAAAATATATTAAGTATTTCTAATAAAATTTATATCTTTAAATATTTTAAACTATTTTTACCACTCAAAATAATTTTATATATTAAAATTCAGTCATTGCTTATAATTTTTTTAATTATCTTAATCACAAATATTTTTATTTATTTTATATTATGTAGTTTTTATATTAAATATTTGATTTTTTAATTCAATATTATTTAATATCAATATTCATCTTTAATAAAAATATAAAATGCTTATTATTTTAATCTATAAATTTAAAAATAATGATGATATGTATTTTTTTAATTATTTTAATCTAACAAAAATTCATTTGTATAAATTAATCTGGCTTCATAAAAAAACTGATAAATAATAATAATATTAAAATAATCGAAGACGCAGAGAGAAAAGGAGTGGGGGGAGAGCAAGAAGGGGTTTTCGCTTTTTGGTTGCGAAGCGAGGAGAGAGAGAGAGAGAGAGAGAGAGAGAGAGAGAGAGAGGTTTGTACTTTCTCCTTGTTGGCGCGGCGGAACCCTAGTGAGCCCGGTGGGGGCGTGACAGTGAAAGTAACACAGACAAAGGATGAGTGGTAAGGGCGGTGGAGGCCACAACAATGGCGGCGCCAAAGCCGCATCGGCGACGATTCCGCCGTCGTCGAGAAAGATGGTGCAGAGCTTGAAGGAGATTGTGTCCAATTTCCCCGACAACGAGATCTACGCCATGCTCAAAGACTGTAACATGGACCCCAACGAAGCTGTTAGTCGCCTCCTCTCCCAAGGTTCTCTTTCTCTCTCTTTCCCTCCCTCTCTTCTGCTTTAGGGTTTTTCCTTTCTTTCAGTTTGAGCGGAAGCATTGGACACCTTTGTTCAACGGTGTTTGTTGCCTTGCTTGCTCTGGCTTAACGCAGAATAGATAAAAACTAGTGAAGCGAACATAATTAACGTGGTGTTGTTATTGATTGATGCGCTACTTGGTTTCCTCGCTATTAGAGGTGTTATCAGACATTCGTATCGCAGTTGGAACTTGGATATTCGGAGTTATTTCTAATCTTAGGTTTGTTAATTGTGTAGATCCTTTTCATGAGGTGAAGAGCAAGCGAGAAAAGAAAAAAGAGGTGCACAATTTTTTTTATGCAGAATTGATTTTATGTTTGATAATCAATTCTGTTTGTTGTTTTTGGAGTGTATTCTGCTGCTATGTTTGTTTTTGTTTTTTATGGTTATTGCTTATTTGAATGTGCACGGTGCATGTGTATGTGCCTAGGTTTGTAAGTTGACGGTAGGTGAATCTATATGCTGAGTTTGTATGTGGATATGAACAGTTGCTTTAACTTGATCATTTGTTTGTGCTAACTCTTCCTGGCCTTTATTTATTTTTTGATATTTGTTTTGAGTTCATCTATCCATTTTTAACCTGCAGTTTCGGTTATTGTTTCAGAGTAAGGACCCAACAGATTCCAGGCCTCGTGGGATAAATAGCACATCTAGTCGTGGTGGCAATAGGGCTGGCACAGATCGTCATGTTGGACGTGGTGGCGGCAACCAATTCAGCAGCAGTGGTATGTGGATAATGGGTGTTTCAGCTGATATTGTTTTTAGATCAAAATCACTCCGGAATTTGTAAAATTTATATTATCTGCCACTATTGTTGCTATTAATATCATTATGATTTCAATTTCTGCTATGTTTTTTGATGCAGATTCTGGTCTGCAGGCGAAACCTTTGTACAAAAAGGACAATGGAACACCTGCTTATGGTGGTTCTACATCTTCTGCATCCAGTGTGCTGGGAAATAATGTGTACAGGAGATTGCCATCCTACAGGTTTATTTACCTTAATATATATTAACCCAATAAAATTTACATGATTGGAGTGGGAAAAATGTATCAATATGGTTAAAGAGATTTTTATGGTTATGATACATTTGCAAATTTGGCCAAGCTATTTGATGAAAACCAAGCCTGTCTGCCTACAAGGGTTAATACAATAAGAAACGATCCTTCAATTTCATTCGAAGAGTTGGATAATCTATTTTCAGTATAGATTTTATATTTTGAGAAATGCAAGCAACACATTCTTTATTTGATTAGTCCATTTTTAAAAAAGGCAAAGTATTTGCCTTGTAAATTGATTACCTTTTAAAAATTACTTTAAATTGACCAATTACAAGCAGTGTGTTGAAGAGTGTTTAAAAGAGTGTGCTGCTAGCATTTCTGTTATATTTTTCTCAAACGGTGGATGGTTATGCGGCAGTTATTCTCTGGTTTGTTTTAAGGTTCTACATTGATCTCTCTGTGCTGAATAATATGTATAATGACTAATTTGGTTTGGGAATGATATTGATTGAAGATAGACTGTTAGTTTTTATGTTGATTGGGGTTTAGGGTTTATATGAAGTCCTAAATTATTTGGCTAGTACGTGGCCATTCTTCTTTTAGCTATCTTTAGTAGCATAAACTTTTATGTCTTTTTTTTATTGCAGTGGCAAGTGCTTCAACACTACTGTGTTATTGTTGTATGTGTGGCCAAGGTGGTGTTCCCACTTCCCATATCTCATTTATGTTCAAATTTGTTGCAGTGATTCTGTGGTTACTGAAAAACCATTTGCCTTAGGCATTGGTGATGGACTATCTTCATCATCACAACATACTGGATTGCAATCTGCATGGACGGGGAATGCAGGTCAAGTATCAATGGCTGACATTGTCAAGATGGGTAGGCCACAGGCCAAGGCATCTGTGTATAACTCCTCTATCCAGAGTGGTAATCATCAGAATGTCTTGGTGCCTCCAGCAGCTTTAGATCACAATTTGCATTCATTTCAAGGTCATAGTTCCAAGGTTGCAGAGACAAATACTAATTCAGGCCGTGTCATTAGCCACAATGTTTCACAGAATGATGAATGGCCTAGTATTGAGAACCAACATGATGCTAGAGTGTTTGCGGATGTTGATGCCCAAGCAAATTCTGAGTACTACATGAACTCATCAAGCTTTGCAGAGTCTGATTGGCAGCAGAAAACTCACATAGATGAACATGGAGAAGAAGATGGTTCTGTTGAAAGTGAAGATAATGTTGGATCTGCTTCTATATCTGCCAAAAGTGCATCAGAGGACACAGGAGGTATGTATGTTTTATATGGTATATAAGGACATAAATCCCTACCAACCTCATAGTCATCCTTTTGATAATAATGGCAATGGCAATGGCAACTAGGATGATTTACAATTTCTGTTCATAATTTTATCTTAGACACGTGCCTATGTACAGTCTAATTCTTAATTTCTTCATTTCAGCAGAAGATGATGTTTCATCAGTGGCTGCAAACTTAGAGCAGCTAAATATCGAGAGAGATGATAAGGGGACAGAAGCAGAGGAAGACAATCCTTCTGTAGTAATTCCAAATCACCTACAACTCCATACTCCGGAATGCTTAAATCTTAGCTTTGGAAGTTTTGGATCTGCAAACCCCCTTTTGAGATCTGGGCCATATACATCTAGTCAATTGAAAAGTAATTTGGAGGAGGATACAGCTGGTACAACAGATGTTTCAACAGTTGGAAACTCAGATGCTAGGTATGTTGCTTATATAAACCTTGTTCCAAACTGGCACTATTATGATTATTCGTTGTTTCCTTAAAGATACCTTTCTTGCAGAAATCCTGACTATTATGGGGATGAGCATCTTGTTAATACTACCTCAGATGGAAATTTAGTTCAAGGAACTGGTGTGAATGCTGGGACCTATGAACACACTTCCATTTCACAACAAGAGGCTTTAAAACCTGAACCCCCCGAAACTGTTCAGGAAAATCAATATCCGTTTCCTTCATCATCTCATGGGTTTACTTATGAAAATGACCAACAACCAGAGGTCACATTTCCTCATTCGCAGACCAGCTCACAGATGCAGAATCTGGCTCCCTTCTCCAGTGTAATGGTAATGCATGTTTTGTGGCTTGGAACTGTGATGAATTAGTTCAGAATGACTAATTGCCAGTTTGTCTTAGATTTTCATGACTGGTAATGTGAAAATCTTGTGTTCTTAAGCAATTTTTTGAAGGAGAAAAATTTTGTTCCTTCAGCGCAAGGCTTTGCTCCATTTAAACAAACAAAGCCTAATTAGATATCTTGTAGTATAAAAACTTGGGGATGTACAGTGCTGTGCATTTGTCCATCACGTACTTAGAGTAAATCAACTTTGTATTCTCTAAAACCTTTGGTTGGGAGTAGAATAGTGGGTTAACTACAAAACAAATAAATGAAATTTTTTAAACCATATTTATATTTTAAAATGTCTCTACTGTTAAACCAATAAATAGTGGCGGAGGAAAAGCAAGGATTTCTGTAAGTGAAACCATTATGAAGGGCAGAAGACAATGGTATATGTTACCCCATCTAGTGTGACAAGGCTTCTCCTGTTGTATTCAATGATGGAATTGGGAATATGGGCATAAAAGTCGGATCCTGGACATTTTAGTCTTATTGATGGAGCAACATACGAACTTCTATATTGTTTCTCTCGTGCTTTATTAAATGAAGTTGTTTGATAAATGAACCCCCTCGCTACTAGTATTGTTGATTAACCGCCCCCCCCCGACACACACACATAAAACTAAAGCAACTGATATTGCTTTAGTTTGTCTTCTGGCTTGCAATCCTGCTATTTACATCTAAATTTTTCTGTTGATACTTTAGCAGGCATATACAAATTCTTTGCCCAGTGCGCTGTTGGCTTCAACAGTTCAAACAGCAAGGGAGGATATCCCATACTCCCCCTTCCCTGCAACACAATCAATGCCTACAAAATATAGTAACATTGCTTCTTCAATTGGTGGTTCCACCATAAACATGTCAGAGGTGCACTTCTGCTTTTGCTTATTTAAGTTTCTCTATGTACAGGCTTTTGACAAATGTTAAACTTATTTATGAGTTGTTATGGTTTACAGGGTATTTTGAATTTTAGATTATTCTTAGCCTAATAAATGCATAGTGGAATTAAGAATTCTGGTTTATATTATATTGAAGTTTTGCTGTGGTATTCCAATAAATTCTATTAATTTAGGTGTATCAGTAATTTCACACAGGCAAGGGTATCATGTATTATAGCTAAAGTTTGGTATGACGTATATATATTACATACCAGCTGTAAACTTGACTACATTGTACACGAGCAAAAGTGGACTAGCATCTGATTAGTTAACTAATCTGAAAATGATTATGTTTGTGATATTGATTGACTGATTTAACATTTAAGAGAAATGTTTGTAGAGCTGGTCACGTGTGTGTTCTGGATTAATATTGTTTGTTGATGACAACATTTGCAGGGTTAAATGTTGCATCTATGTATTGAAATTTTTGTTATAGGATTGAGAGAGATATCGGAATTCAATTAATTGATGATTTCTCTTGTAATGCGCAGGCTCTAAGAGCTGGCAGCATTTCTACACCTCAAGCTAATGCACAAACCCTGCCTGGTGCAAGTGTTGCTACTGGACCTGCACTTCCTCAACATCTGGCTGTGCATCCCTACTCTCAACATACTCTTCCTCTGGGACATTTTGCTAATATGATTGGCTATCCATTCTTGCCTCAGAGCTATACCTATATGCCATCAGCTTTTCAGCAGACTTTTGCTGGAAATAGTACATATCACCAGTCTCTGGCAGCAGTGCTTCCACAGTATAAAAATAGTGTTTCTGTCAGCAGCTTGCCTCAGTCTGCTGCTATTCCATCTGGATATGGGTTTGGCAATTCTACAAGCATTCCTGGAGGAAATTTTTCTTTAAATCCACCTGCTGCTCCTACTGGGACAACCATTGGATATGATGATGTTTTAAACTCCCAGTTTAAGGACAACAATCATATGATTTCACTGCAGCAGGTACAAAGATCTTGATTTAAAATTATTTACATTTAACTGGTTTTACTTTTCCCATTGCAATTATTCTAAAGCATTGTCAGTTTGGAACCATCATGATGATTCTTTTTTAGGCTGAAATGACCTGTTAAACTTTCTTTGTTAAAAACTATGTTCGTTTTACTGGCTAAGTAAAAAAAAATGTTCCATTTTGTTGTGATTATGGGGGTAGAGAGGAAAGAATAGAACACATAATGCTATTTTATCCTATTTATATGCAAGGCTGAAATGGATCTATTTTGTGTTTTCTGCCAGAACGAGAGTTCTCCCATGTGGGTTCAGGGGCCTGGCTCTCGAACAATGTCTGCAGTTCCTCCCAGCACCTATTACAGCGTGCAGGGACAGAATCAACAACCAGGTGGATTTCGGCAAAGGCAGCAGCAACCTTCACAGCATTTTGGAGCCCATGGTTATCCTAATTTCTACCAATCTCAGACTGGCATTTCTCTGGAACATCAGCAACAAAATCCCCGGGAAGCTTCTCTGGGTGGTTCGCAAAGCCAACCATCTAAGCAGTCCCAACAAATATGGCAAAACAGTTACTAATCCTAGGCACCTCCCGGTTTTTCAGGGTCTTTATGTGAGTTTGAAAGTGGTTAATCAGAGGCATTTACGGTCTAGTAACTTAATGTATCATTATTTGGTCTTTTAGAGACTATGAGCCCATTACCACGAGGTTGTATTCTACATAATTGTGTTCGTCATGTTTAACGTAGGTACTAAAGTGTGCTAATTTGCTTTACTCGGTTACTTTTTGGCTTAATATTCTCATCTGGTTATAGTGCAAAATCTCCTTTGGATAATATTCTCACCTGTTAACTGATTACGCGCACTTGTTATGTGATGTATACATTCCACTTAAGTTCTGATGAGTTGATAGCCTATACGACAATTTTTGTCTTTTATTAAATTAAATATTTAGTCTGAAAATACTTATTGTCAAGCTATAAAAGACAAATTATGAATTGTTATTGCTCTCATTATTGACTTTTTTTTTAATATTTTACAGAATATATTGCACCGATATTTTTAAAATAAGACTGATTATTAAACTGAAAAAGTTCACGAATAACTTATTTTGCTGTGTTTAACTTAAAGATAAACTAATGATAACTAAATGTATATATATTATATTTTTCAATATATTACATGATAAATTAACATAAGATCATAAGACATCAGGTTTTCTAAAATTTTAAATTAACAGGAGAATCATGTTATGTGTATTGAATACCAAAATTAAAAATACTAGGGGAATTTATAAATTAATTAGATATTTTTCTGTCCTATTAATGACAACGTTAAAGCAAAATATTTGATTAAAAAATAAATAAAAAGAAAGAATTAGCAGATATTATCTTAAAATAATTTACATATAGTATATAGATATATTTAAACAATTTTTTGTTACAAAACCATAGTATTGTGATTGGGACAGTGGTAAAATATTATTGGTTTGGTTTTAGCAGACTCTTGACGAATCATAACCCTTGAATTCGTGGATTTACATGCTACCGTGAAATAAACATCGAGTTTCTGACAATCCTTCAAGGTCTTACTTATTTATAGTGTTCTCAAACAAAATAAAAAATTTCAATTAAAAAGTAAAACAAAATATATTTAAAAATTTAACCTAAATTTTCATCTTTTCATAAAATGCATTATTTTAAACTTGAAGATGTTCTTTCCTTGGATTGCACTCTTTTGGCGTACCAAAAATATGATAGTATTCAACTTGACATCCGAGACTTCCTGAAGAAGACACTTTGACTCTTTGAGAGTGTAAATTCTGAGTTGATTTTCTATGAAATATCGTAGTTAACATCTATGAACAATGGGAACTCTACTCCCCACAACGAACACCTCAGCCATATACGGTGAGAATAAAATTATTTCAAGAATAATTATTTTATTTAATAGTTCTTTATAAATATTAAATTTATTTAAGTCATATTAGATCCTACTTTATTCAAATCATATTAAATAAATTTATTCAAAGAGAATAAAACATTTTTAATGTTTATTTATTTTTTATAAAGAGAATATTAAGTTACAGAACTGTGTGGTGCATGAGTGAAATGTTATTTGGAGTGGGAACAAACAAGGCGAGGCGTAGTGTGTTTTGGAGCACGTCGTTGTTTGCGAGTAGTGTCGCTGCGCGCGCGCACTGCGTGTTTTCTCTTTTAGTAATATTCGTTTGGGGATAAATGAATAAAGCATTTCTCATTCTCAATTCTCAATTCTCCACTTTCCTGTGGTACTTTCCTTTACTTTCTCAAAATTTCCCAGTTATTATTATTTACAAATTCCTTTCTTATTATTATATGTATTTTCTTGTTCCAGTGGTTACGAGTTATTATTCCTTGTTGAATTATCAGTTTTAAGTTGCATTTTCCTCCAGTGCTTGTGTTATTTTGCTAAGCATGATTTCTGAATGTAAACCTTAAGTTGATTACATTTGCAGAAATTTATTCCTTCAGAACCATAAATAATTTAACTGATACTGTGCGGCTTTATATGCTGCTGGAATCTAACTTAAGAAAGCATCTGATCCCTGATATGGGAATCTTTACTTTTATGCTTATTGTTTTGCTCTTAACCCCGTTTGAAAATTCTAAATTAATCAACCTTCTTTGTTTTGTTTTGTAGTTTTAGAAAGAAAATATATTGCATGATAGATGGATTGTTTTGATGCATGTTGATGGTTGATTGGTTAGATTTAGACCATTGCTGGAAGATTTTCTTGCATAATCTTCTACTTTAATCAACTACCATGGAATCATAGATGACTGGTTCTGTTTAAATTATTTTCATTCATCTTATTTCGATAAGAATATCTGTAGTGCTATCCTATATAGAAAACTAACACCTTTTCCCTTCAAATTGTAGCACTGATTTGTAATAAATCAGGGAAGCTTGATGTTGATTGTCAAATCCAGGCTTGAAATCAGAAGATGTTTTTCAAATTCCATACCGGTGTAACTTTGCACATAAGAGTGGCTTTTCCTGTCAAGATCTAACTTAACAGCTCTATGTTTGCTTCTTGAAGAGCAGAAAATGAGTGATATGGAAGATGAATCACATTCCTTGGGAATAAAGAAGAAACCAGATAGCCATAAAAGTTTTCATGGTAGAGATCCCAATCCTGGAAATGACCTTTGGAAAGATGGACTTATTTGTGCTTTTGAATATGTTCGAGGACAAAAAAAATCGGTTAAATCAAGGTCCTCTTCATATATCACAGACAGACTAGACGCTAATGGCCCACGTTCTAGGACGCATGTCTCTTCAGATGGTTTAATGGAGGCTTCTTCCATTGGACTAGATAAAAACAAGCACTCAGATCCTTCATCTGTAAATGTCTTAAGGGATAGTGCATTTGGTGCCTCTGATGATGACAGAGAGAGTCAGGTCCTTCAGGTTGGCCAATCTAAAAAGTATGAGGGTAGTCATTGGTTACCAATTGGATGGACAAGAATTTCAGAACTTGTCCAAGCAGTTCAGGTTGATGCTGTCTGGTCTTCTCATCAATTTGAATTTGAGACTTCTGAAGATGATTTTACTGTAGCAGATTTGGCAGCTCCCTATTGGGAGCGTCCAGCTGGGCCTATATGGTGGTGCCATGTTTCTGCAGGTCACCCCACCGTTGAGGCTTGGCTCAGCAATGCTCAATGGTTACATCCTGCCGTTAGTTTAGCTTTGAGAGATGAAAGTAGACTTATAAGTGAGCGGATGAAACACCTTCTCTATGAGGTACACTGCATTTTCAACATCGGTAATTGCTAGTCTTAAGTCAACAAATACAATCATTTGGCAAGCTACATTTGGATCTCAGTTTGCTAAAATTCATGTAACCACATCTAGCATACGTATGAGCCTGTGTGTATACAATTAAGATTTTAAATATATTTTTCAATTGTATTTTGCTTTTGTTGATGGCATAGATGCTCGAAGGCTTGTGGTTTCTTTGTCATGGATTCACTTAGATATGAGATAAGAAAGTGATCTGTTGGATTTTGTCTTCTCTTCCTTAGATTTCTGGTCTAAGTAGGAAAATTGATGTTGATATGGAATTCAATAAATTAGGATAAAACAGTTAGAAATTTGGATTTCTTCTTGACGGGTTTTAGTATAAATTTTGGCAAGAAACTTCTAAGGACCTGTTATGGTGAATTTTTGAGGAGTTTGTGAAGAAAATTAGATCTGGGTAGATTTTGTAATTCAAGAAAACAAAAAAGGTAAATGAGAAGAATTAAAACATTCCTGAGACATCACACCTAGGGCTTGATTGTGTCAGTGTCACAATCAGTAGATAGCAACTTACTAAAATATCATAAAACTAATGGTTTGTCTGAAAGAAAGCATTACAGCTATTGAAGCAGACCTTCAATGACTTGTACTGCCCCCCAGAAACAACCTCCAATGACTTACCCCACAACGAATTTTCCTTGGAACCAGTCTAAATTACTGATTAGACTTTTCTCTTATTTGTAGGTCCCAGTCAGGGTTGCAGGTGGGCTGTTATTTGAGCTTTTGGGACAATCGGCAGGTGATCCTCTTGTTGAAGAAGATGACATTCCAGTTGTACTTAGGTCTTGGCAAGCACAAAACTTCCTTGTAACTGTAATGCATCTAAAAGGATCTGTGTCAAGGATAAATGTTCTGGGTATAACAGAAGTTCAGGTTGTTCTTGCTCTCTGGTCTCTAGTTCACATTAATATTCTTTTAGAAAGATGTAATTCATTCAGTGCTCTGCCATGTTTAGGAGCTTCTTTCTGCTGGAGGGTATAATGTGCCAAGAACAGTACATGAAGTTATAGCACAGCTTGCTTGCCGTCTCTCACGGTGGGATGATAGGTAATAAAAACATTTTTTTCTTTTTTATATTTGATGCAGGTAATAATTAATTTTCTCATATATGAAAAATACATGTCTGTGTCTCATGTCTCACTATGTGTTTCTATTCTTCAGTTTAAACTTGTCAATATTAAATAAGTTTTTCTGTAGTTATTTTACGGGAGACTAAACTGACCTTTGCTCTTTATGATCTAGCAAATATTTTTTTTACTATATATCATACCTGAGGAAACTTATATATAACTGATTTCATTCGTGAGGAAAAAAAAGTGGTCCATACTTGGCATCATATTAGATAAGTGGCTTGCAAAGATCGACAATATACCTTGTGCTTACATTGATCTTCCTGTGCACTTTTTTTTCCAACTGCATTTTATGTAAACTTCAAGTGATGTACTTTGGTTTAACATTTTTATTTAGTTTTTCAGGTTATTCCGTAAATCGATATTTGGGGCAGCAGATGAGATTGAATTGAAGTTTATGAACAGGTTCTTACATGTGCAATGTGTGTGAATTCAAGTCATTCCAGTTCTATAAATTTCCTTGCTCTAAGTTAACAGTTTTCCCTTCGACTAGGAGAAACCATGAAGATTTGAATCTTTTTATTATAATTTTAAATCAAGAAATCAGAAAGTTATCAACACAGGTATGTTCATTCTTGCTAAGCTCCGAGGATATACATTTAGACAACTTGATGATTTTATGAATTCGATAGAAATGCATTTTTATGTAATTGTATCCACTCAGTAATAGGGGATGAACTGAGGGTTTAGATTTTCAAATGGTTAGATGGTTACAGTTCACAGGTTGATCTTTCCATTGAAGGTTAAATAGTGCACTTAACCTATAAAATTATACATCATATTATAGAGCATACCGGAACTGTATGTCTAAACTATACAATACGGGTATATCTATATTATTGGGTATTAGTTACAGTGATAATTACAAGTTATCTCTGGAAATTACTCCTCCTTAGGTTGAGAAGTAATATACTTGACACGTATACATTATTGCCAAGGTAGTCCTAACAAGGTGAATACTAACAAATACCCTTAATATATTGGTTAAGAAATCAAAATTGAAAAGTTTTTATGGAAAAATATTACCAACACTCTCCCCATAACTAAAGTTTTTTGGGCACTTGTTGGTAAGACACTTCTAACAATTGTTTTGGAAGATTCAAATCATTAGGAAACAATTTAGCCAAATGTGAATTTAGTTTTGATGTTACATCTCTTGTAGAAAGTAAGAACATGAGAAAGGATTGAATTGAACAGGAGTTGCAGATCTGTTTGATCGTAGTTATAGCTAAACAGTAAACTAAATTTTAACTGCCACTGAGATGTGAGTTGGTGAAAACACTAATGACCTACATATAATTTTATTTTCACTGAAGGACATGATAATTGATCATGTGCAGCTGGTCTAAATTTATCAGGCTTCCGAGTGCTGGCCTGGCAATGAACTAAACAAGCTTGAGAGTAGTTTGACGCTCCTCTCATTAATTATCTAAATGAACATAGTTGATAAACCAATTAAGCTGAACTCTACCCAAATACTAGACTCTTTCAGTTCAAGATCTGTATGTCTGCTCTCTCTCTCTCTATATATATATATATATAGTTTTTCATATTTACAATAGTATATAGTTATTAGTTGAATTGAGCTATAAACCAGGTTAACGAACTTGATTTTGCTCATTTGGTTCATATTGTCTTATTTTGACATTTGATTCATGTAATTTGAGCTGAATAGCTGATAAACTGAATCATGGAGTTTGAGAACTTGATTTGAGCTGAACTTTTAAGCTAAAAAAAATTTATTCATATCAAATTTGAGTAGAGTTTTGTGTGGAACCATTTCTTATTAGTCAACCTGAACTGAACTCTTTCCAAGTCTGAGATAAGTGGCTCTTGCATCACAATCTTCATTCTGCTTATAGATGTACATTTGGAACTAGAATCCAGAAGCTTACCCGACTTGTCTCATTATTATAATTTCTGATTCATAAAGACTTTGTGGCCTTTCCTTCCCAAAAGCTGGATTCAAAAGTCAATGTGTTAAGGGCCGCTACTTGACAGCTTAAGCTTTTAAGTCTTTTAGTTGTCAATGATGTTAATGTAATTTAATTGCGGTTTGTGTTCTTCAGGCATGAAAAGATACATTTTAGCAATAAAGCCATTCTGTAACCTACTAATTGTGTAATTTTAATCTTTCACTTCTGAAAATAACTTTTGAAAAGCACAAGAAATACCAAAATGAGCCAAATTCTCTCTACCTTAGATTGATTTTATTTGTCTAATGACAATTCATGCTGGGCAAATCCATTACACAGAAAAGCTCCTTTCAACTTTTGGGTTCCATTGCAGGTTATCAGGGTGAAGTGGTCCCTCCATGCAAGAGACGAGATTATCTTTGAGCTTCTCCAACATTTGAAAGGAAATGGTGCAAAAATCTTGTTAGAGGGAATAAAAAAGAGCACAAGGGAAATGATTGAAGAGCAAGAAGCAGTCCGTGGCCGCTTGTTTACCATTCAAGATGTTATGCAGAGCACTGTTCGAGCTTGGTTGCAGGTATCGGTACATCAGAACTTTCATTTAGAATGTTTATTTTCTGATTGTAGCTAGAACAATTTCATATTGCTCACCTAGATTAACATGATAGTTGTCTTGCATTTCGTAAATATCTATCAGGATAGAAGCCTTCGGGTGACCCATAATTTAGCTGTATTTGGTGGTTGTGGCGTTGTCCTCACCATCATTACTGGGTTATTTGGGATCAATGTTGACGGAATACCTGGGGCACAAAATACACCATATGCATTCGGTGTCTTTACAGCAATCATCGTCTTTTTGGGACTAGTGCTAATTATAGTTGGCCTGGTTTACCTTGGGCTGAAAAATCCCATTGCTGAGGAACAGGTTGAAGTTAGGAAGCTTGAGCTGCAAGAATTGGTGAAGATGTTTCAGCATGAAGCAGAGACTCATGCCCAAGTCCGGAAACGGAATAACTTACCTCCTACTGCTGGTGATGCTTTCCATGGTGAAGAGGACTATGTTGTCATACAATAGAGATGTTTTAACTGTCCAAGTATGCTTTAACAATAATTACATTTGGTGGTAAAGGGGCCATGCATGTATGAAGTTAAAGCCTGAATTGAAAGGGCATTATTCTTATCCCTGAAGTCCGGGGAATTGGAAGGAAGCCGCAACCATGGGTAGATGGGATATTCGTGATGATAAGCTGATAGCTACTTCTGGACATTCGTTGGCCTCAATTTATAAGCCTCATGTATTTCAATTTTATTTGGCTTATTTACTAGCATTATCTCAGCTTAGTGTATATAAAATGTGATACTATTTCTAGTTTTTTTGTTTCTAAAAGCTTTCTATTTCTAGTACACTAAAATAGGATATGTAATTGTTTACCACCTTTATTCTTAAATAAAAATAAAATTATATTACAGAAAATAATATTTGCTAGTTGTTCAACTCAATCAAGTTTTATATAAATTTGCTTAAAATGTTTCAGCATAATGAGACACGAAATAGTACTTTTTAAGATACTTTTATAATGAGTAAATTTTTACTTTAATCTTGAAATATAAAATGTTCATATCAATTTTTTAAATTTTGAATCTAAATTTTTAGTCTTTAGATTTAAGGATCGTCAATTATAGTAGTTTTATCATTAAGAGGCATTAAAACTGAGTTAAGTAATACGTAACAATTTATTGTTAATATAAAATAACGTCGTTTTATAATATTTTAAAAATAGTTTATTTTTATTCTTGATTTTAACATTTTTAAGTAATAAAATTTTTGTCTTTTACGCTTTCTTTTATGGTGTCCCTTTCTTTCCTCCAACAATGAGTAATGATATCCAAAAACTATTCTTTATGAAATTCTAATATCTCTTTACATTTACTTTTTCCTCCAACAATGAGTAATGATATCCAAAAGCTATTCCTTATGAAATTCTAATATCTTTTTACATTTATTCTTTTACAATTAAAAATCCCTTTAAAGTTAATAAGAGAAAAATTATCGTAATTTTTTTTAAATATATTATTAGAAATGTTAATTTTATTGTTTTTACACTTCGCAATCCATGGCAGCAGTGGGCAAAGAAAAAAATAAACACCGTTTCAGAAGAAAAATAAAAAAGACAATGAAAAACTTTTTTACTCAAAAATATTAAAAGTCAATTTTAAAACATTATTTTATGTTAAGAATAAATTGACATGTCATTTAATATGATAAATTATAACATTTTTAACAATAAAGATTAATATGGTTGATGATAATTAATTTCAAGAACTAAAATTTTAAATTTTAAATTTTTAAAGCTGACTTTAATAAAGTTAATATTTCACAAATTAAAGTAAAAGTTTACCCCTTTCGTAACCTTTATCGTACAGAGTGAGAATTTTTTTTCTCGGAAAAACTTGACATGGCAAATAACTTTCTAAATATCAATTTAAAATAAATCAACCACTTCATGATCTCTGAACTTGTAATCGAGGAAGAGTTGTATTCTTTTGAAACTCAAGGGAATATAAAATTTTAAAGAAATAGTACGTACTAAATTGACTTTGATGGAATTTTCAGAACAATAAAATGCCATATGCCAATATCCTGAACTTTACTGGGCAATTAAATGTAACAATATGTCACAAGAAAAGTATTGCAAAAAAAAAAGAAAAAAAGCCTGTATTCCAATGTCAAAAATTAACTTTCACAGCGCAAGTAACACCCTCATCTGGGTTCGAAAATGCAATATATGAAGTGATATTCTTATAAACGTTTCTAGGAAAAGCCAAAATATAAGTCTCTTCCATTGCCAAATGCCATATGGATCATTTAAGAAGGGATCTTGCAAGATGTTCCCTGGCAGTGGCCAATGCTTGACTTAGTGTCTGCAATAGAAAGAAAAGAAAATACAGTTATACCTCAAATAAGTGAATATCATTTTAATTTTCTTTTTTGATATTAAAGTGAAGGATGTAATATACCTGTTCAGACAAAGGAGCTCCAGAATCTATACTATTACTTGCAACTTTCCCAGCTATAACATTTGGATCAGTTTCAAGAATGATACTGCACAAAATATAAAGACATGGAATTTAAGTGAGACAGGGTTAGTTGGTTCTAAGACAAAGATGGGAAGGTCAGAGGGGTATGCCTTTTATGGAATGATTCAGCCTGAAATTTTCATATTGTGGAACATGTAAGTATTGAAATCACAATGGCAGTAATTTTGGAGGGAAAGCATGTAAAGAGTAGCGACATAATCAACTGTATCTGAGACCTTCTAACATGAAGCCAAGATCTCTTAAAAAGAAATGTTGATCCAAACTCCTAAGGAACATGCATTTAACCTTGTGCTTAATCCAAAACTATTGTTTTGATCTAAATGGCATCTTTTCATTTAGGAACAGGGGCAAATGACAAGATCATAAGGTTGGCTTAACAAGAAAAGATGAATTGAAAATATAGATGTCATTGTAGGAAAATGTTTAGTAAAGCAGAAAAAGCATGCATTCAAATTTCACTCTGGCTAAGGATACTAAGCAAAACCTAAGCAAGTGGACATTTGTTACATCTCATTGTTCAAGCTAGCCAGTGGGGTGAAATTACTCGAGAGCTATAAAAATTGATCCAAGGCCAACTGTTACAAGAGCATTTGAATGTTGATTCAAGAGTCTCATATGAAATTAGAAAGCTCCAAACTCTGGTATTCGTGTTCCTTCCTAGCAGACTAACAGTTCAAGTTCTTATTCTGACAAATAAACTATAATTCCAATCATTTAACTGCAGACAAGAATTGATCTCTGATATATCAAAGAGCACCTACAATTTATAGATTGGAAGAAGGAGGAGCAAAAGAAGATCTAGAGATGCTAACAACCAATGATAAATTTCACAAGAATAGAGTATAGCATACCCGCCATCAACAATTTCATCAATGCACAATAGAATGAGATCCAAGTTCTCAAGTGCTTCCTTCTTATCCACATTGCCTCTGGAGAGGAAAAAGGGAGAAGCCAATGAAGTCACCAAGGAATGCTGAGTTAGTGTTCATAGTGATAGATTGATAATACCCTTGAATATGACATATAGATACATAGTCAAGTATAAGTGAACCACCTGAGGAGGAGGCCCACAGATTCGAAAAATGCTTGCAGAACTGTGGCTAAGATAAGCTCATTTTCATCATCCCCACCGGTAACAAAGAAGTGAAGATCTTGGACAAACTTGTACACAACAATGTTATTCTCAAACATTGCTATTTCCGCTGGCAAACGAAAAACCCATACACGCAATAAAAGTGAAGTCAACACGTTTACAAAATGAAGTCATCTACAGATCAGTGATTAACAATCTATCCCAATCATAGGTAGATTTATAACAAACATGAAGATGATTCTTCATCATGAATTATGGCATGGTCATTCAGCAAATCTTTTATCACGATGATTTTAAATCACACGCACCTTCTGAGCGGGCATTGGTCTTCTGAGTCTTAGTGAACACAACTTTCTCAAAATTTTCTTTTGCAGCATTGGTTGGCCAGTCATCTGAGAAATATTTGACTGCCACACGTTTCCCATCAGAATCCAAAAGAAGGATGTTCTTTACAGAAGGACATGCCTCCTAAGAAAAACACAGTAAAGGATCAGAAGTCAGAACATTGCTTAAAGGAACCTCATGTTTCACACTGATTCAACTAAAGGGAAAATTTTAAAAACCAGCAAGGTTCATGAAAAAGAAACATGTATCCCAATTTCTACCTATACCGCAATCAGGTTCCCAGAATCTCAGAATAAGCAAGTCAAACAACACAACAATAAATCAACACAGCAATTGTGAAATAGTGTTAGATCAGATCAAATGGGGGAAAGTGGTGTGGTCCAGTAAAATGCTAAGGGTGGCTTCAGTTCAAGCTCCTTCAATTTTCTAAGCAAATCAAAATTACAAAAACCCCTCACATAGGAAGGGAACAGATAAAATGTTTTAAGAATTAGATGATTAAAATGAAGAGAACACACGCATGCATATAAAATCACAGATTATTCCGGGTAATATATGAATCTGATATGAAAATAGGCGTGCACATGATCATGATAAAAATAGTGAAGATAATTGATTGGAGAAAGGGTTTTACAGAAAAAGAAAAGAAATGGGAAAAAGGGATCTGGGTTTGTGCGAAGTGTAAGAGATGAAAAATGGGTAACGAAAAAGGAGTGAAATTGAAGAGAAGAGAGACTTACCGGAGACATGATGTAGAAACCAAAGAGAAAGCTCTCTCTCTCTCTCTCTCTCTCTCTCTCTCTCTCTCACACACACACACACACAAACAAAATCTGAAGAAACCTCTGTGACTCTGTCAACCGAGTCACTCAACTCCTACCCTTTTATTATTATTATTATTATTATTGAGTATTTTTACATTAAAATTTAAAAAATAAATTAATACAAATTAAAATTGTAATAAGAATATATTTTTTCTAAATTGAATTGAATAGAATAGAATTTTTTATTAAATATAAAACTAATTTAAATATAAAAAAATTAGAAGAAAAAAAGACGTGTCATTTGTGTGATAAATAATATATTTAACTATTGAGTTATCTTTAGGCGTCGACAAATAATATAACTTTTTATAATAAAATATTTTAAATTAAGTTATCTTTGGCGACGATTAGTTTTATTAATTTATTTTAGGGAGGGGGGGGTTGTGGATGTAGCATAATGCGTTTTTCATTTCTGAAATAATATAATTTGAGTACAAAAATTTGAGTGGAAATATGTTTTGATTGGAATTTGGATTCCTTCATGTTAGCAACTACCATAAAAATATCATGTTAGAAAGAAAAATATATACAAATAAATTTATAATTCTTACACAAATAACGATGAATTCTAACACAATTATTTTATATATCTCTCTCATTTTTAACATAAGAACATCTTAATTCTTTTGATTGAATAAGTTGAACTAGTTATTTTGTGTTTCAGATGGACATGATGCACATTCCAAAAGGAAACCAACGGCAGAGATTTGATTTGATATGAACGCCTTGAGTAGAAGGAAAACATTCTGGTTTTTAGTGAACATTGTTGGGATCTGACAACTCTATGAAAGACTTCCCTTCCCAAAAAAAAATTAGGCAAGACAAGTTCTTCCCTTTGCAGACAAATTTGAAACATGCAAATTTACATATTTTAAATAATATATTTTATGCTTTTTCCAAACTTTACACAAACGCAGTTAAAGAACCATGCCTGTGTCAATGCTTGGCAAAGGAAAAAAATGAATAACAAATTATGCACAACATATTATTAAAATTATTATCTTTGATTAATTTATTCAATCTTGTCTGTCTGCTACAAGGCGGATCTTATTCAAAGACTCTTTGAATGCTTGCCAAGAAACCATATAATGATCTTGGGATATCATCCCTTCTTCAACAACTTGCATAGCACGTTTATACAAATGATCAAAACACTGAACTGGGTTGCTAATATCAACATTATCAGAGCTGAGATGAGGTACATACAATCGCTTAAAATCCTTCCTCCATCTTGACAAAATATACTGACATGGAATTTCCTCCATACCATTATAACTAAGGATATACAAGGCATGTCTGCATAGGTACCCTTTGAAGTTAAAGCAACTACAAATGCAGCGAACTTCTGCTCCAGCTTTATCATACATTACTTCAAAATGCCTAGAATCTCTTACAGGTTCTTCCCCTTGACGTTCCTTTACCATGTATGTCACTATAGACCCATTTGTTTCAGTTTGCGTGACGCTGAGACAAGAGGACATCATCACCACCTCATCTTGGAATTTCCTGAATATTGCATTTGTGTACAATTTAGAGAGCTGCAACTCATAGTAGCATCTTGTCTTCAGTAGTGGGCTCTGATTGCATGACTCAAAATCATCAAGAACTTCATTTCTACGCTTCTTTTGCTGAACTAATTCATAAATCTCAAAAAATTCTTTCAAAGAAGTTTGTTGATGCACGTGACCCTTAAAAAAGGGAACCACAGACTCACCCTTTTCATAATCAGATATTCCAGCAAAAAATGTGTCCTTGGAGTACACTGGTGCCCAATGCTCTCGTTCTTCATGTAAGCTTTGGAGCTTTTCGTTATTTCTTATTCCAAAATGCTGGGTTAGATCATCCCAAGCCCTTTCAAATTCATCAACTGTTTTAGAGTCATATATCACTTTAGTCAGTGCCATCTGAAACGCCTCATATTCCTGAAACTGTACAAAACACCCAAGAATGTTCTGCATGACTTGTGATAGACAAATTCTATGGTGAGCTCTGGGGAAAACCTCAGCTATTGCATTTTGCACAGCCTTACACTGGTTTGTAATAATAGTTTGTGGAGGGCGACCAGACATACAAGTAAGCCAAGCCCTAAATAACCAAATATATGTTTCAAATGCCTCATCGGCAAGCAGACCACTTCCTAGCAAAACAGATTTCCCATGGTGATTAATGCCAACAAACGCAACAAGTGGAATCTCATAATTATTTGACAAACATGTTGAGTCAAATGCAACCACATCACCAAAATAACTATACGCAGCCCTAGATCTAGAATCAACCCAAAATATGTTCCTCAGTTGTCCATCATCATTCAGATCCATCACATAGAAAAAATTAGGATTCATCAATTGACTGCGGCAGAAGTAATTTGATATAAGATCTGGATCACGTTTTTTTAGTTTCAAACGCCTGGAACAATAAATGTTGTTACTAGTTCCTCCTTCATTAGAATTTGAGCTTCCATAACCTGATGCATCTACAACTGGCATTCGATATAACTTGATTGTTTTGACTTCAACGTCTAGAGTTGGCTCAGCTTTTCTTTTGGCTCCATTGTCCATCCTCTTATGTGATTTAGAGTTTTGTGCTCTCTCAGGATCAAATGAATGGTTATGCTCAAGCTTGACTTCATCGACCCTCCACCTATTAGATTCCACTAATCTCAATCTAATCATTGCTAGACAGCCTGTTCTTGTTTCTTTCCTATGACTATTTGCTTCTTTAATTGTTTTGAAACCCTCGCAGTTGCAGCAAAGCACAGCACCACGCTTCTCTTTGCTGTTACGTTTGGTCCACGAAGATTTAACCCGAATAGCAAATCCAATTTCCTTTGCATAGGTGTTGTAATAGTTGTAGGCATCATCATAAGTATCAAACTCCATTCCAACAACTGGTGGGGGGTAGTCTTTCCCTTGAGATTCTCCACTATGACTATCCATGACTGTTGTTTCATCCCTCCCATTTTCATGTTCACTTCCATCAATCTCAAACAATTGACCGCATTCATTCTCAAGCTCATTGCCTTCATCCTCAACTTCGAGTAGTTGCTCACAGTTTGGAGATCCATCATCTATCTGGAATAAGGTGAAAAAAAAAAATTCAAATTCAAAACAAGATCTAAGAAATTTGAGTATGCACTGAAATCGACATGAGAAATTGAAGTATCTTGACAACCAAGCTCATAGATGACCTTGCTAGTTTTGCCCGCTCAAAATTTTACATTGCCTACTGGTATGAAATTTCTCTTATTTGTTCCATACACAGTCAGTCCTTTATCCACCCTTCTCTCTCAGCATATATTATAATTATATATTTAAAGCAGTAGCCATATAAGTGGTTAGCCCAGATCTTGAGTGATATCCACAACTGATACTTCACGAATGATTTAGAATCCAAACACAAGATAATGAAAATCCATCCATTCTTATCTTTTATTTATACAGTGACCTCTTATGAAGCCCGCATATAATACAGGTACAGGGATATGAGGAGTTCTTAGAAATTCAAGATATGATATTGCCTGAATATGTTAACAAAAATGTATAGAAAAGTATATTTTACATAGATGCACAGTATTTGTAATGAGACATCGATAATTTCTTATTAATAAATAACCATATTAGTAAATGATGATCATGTGATCACAACAAAAAAGCATGATTACATATCATTCCTCTGCCCTTGTAAGAATATATTATTTTCTCTAAGGGAATTTTGCAAAATTACATATTTTTATTGTATTTTATATTGAAACACGGTTTTTTTAATTAAAAAAAAATCAAGGTATTGTATTTTATATTGTTCAGCTGTAAAGGTAAATAGCATTACCACTGTATCCCAAACACAATTAGCCAGTAAAACTCAATAAAGAAAAAAAATCAGAGGATACTCCATAGATATGTATACAAGCATATAGTATGAATATGACATTTCGGTATCGGATATGTGTACAACACTGATACTTAACGAATTTCAGAGTATCTAGGTTTTGCAGTTTACCTCAAGACAATTGATACACTTCTTCTCTCATTTAGCTAACAAGAAATTAACAGCAATGCTAAAAATTTGTCAGTCGAATGACATTGTTCCATTTTCACAAAACAGAAGAACACTTTTGAGCATACACAACAAACAATAACAAGAGTTTCAATCCAAAAAGGGTCAAGAGCCTAAGGTTCTTCAAAACATACCCCAACACGATGCATAGAAACCAAACCATAACCCAATTTAGCTGAACTAAACACCACACTGAAGTCTTGTAACTTTCAGACTTCACAAAAATGCTAAACAAAGCACAACACAAGGCATAGGCATGAGCACAGGGTATAGACAAAAAATTTACCGCGATGTCAAGATTAGGACTCAGTGACAAGACTTTATCGATCGGAGAAGACACGGTATCGTCCGTCATGGTCTGGCCAGAGGATTCACATGATTTCTGTCAAAGTATGAGATGATGTTAACCTTTCCATAAACTCACATTTCAAGTAATCACATTTTAATTCAAATATATTCGTAATTTAACAATAAAACAAGTAATTAAAACTCTGCTCATGCTCCTCAAACATCTTAAAAATTTGGCTTAAAGAACACTTAATATGCACACAAAAGTGGATGGCAACGATTGTTGTGATACACTGAATCCCTCACACAACTTCACAAATTGAAGGGAGCATATATACAAACGATATCTTGTAGAATTAAATTTTTAAACAGAGTGAAGATTTGAAATTGAACCAATAGAATTTCAACTCGGGTTGGGTTAAACCGGTTTTAGCATATCCAAAAAAAAAAAGATAAAGAAAATTCTGATGAAAAATTAAAAATAAAATAAAATAAAAATGGCGTCGCAGCAAAGAAAGAAAAACCTAAGCTTTGTTGCGATGATTGGGTTAAGTGATAGAAACTAACGGAGAAGCTGCAACGAATTGAGTTGAGTTGAGTTGAAGCGATTTCGACGAGTGACGCTGCACTATCAACTGCTTAAGTGCATCCAAATACCATCTTTTTCTTCCTTTTATTTCATTTTTCTTTTTCAGTTCTTACACCCGCTTATATGTTGCTCATAAAAAAAAAATGTTATGTGATAAAAAAATAATAAATAAATTTTATAAAAAATATAATATTTCATTATTGAATTAAATTTTATAATATCCTTTAATTCTTTATAAAGTATTATTGTATATTTAAGTGCAAGTTAATTTTTTTAAAAAATTACTGATCACGAACTTTTTTTAATATCTAATTTAACTACAGGATTTGAACTCTAGACTTACGTGTTAAATTAGAATAACCCTGTCACTTGGTTTATGTGTTTTGTGATATAAAATAATAAATGATTGTGAATGTGATTTATTTTAAAATATATTTAGAAATCAACATATAGTCAATATAATCTTTTAACTTCCGTTAAGTAATTTTTTTGGTCCTTTTATCTTGTAAATTAATATAATTTCTAAAAAACAATTTAAGAATGACTTATAATTGGACAAAATTCATGTACTGTTTTTTTAGTATTATTAATGTTATTTATTAAATAAATTATTTTCATTTTAATAATATCAAAGATTATTATGATAAAACCCTAATTTTGATTAAAAGTTAACATTAATAACACTTAAAAAACTGTAGCTAATTTTGTTTTTATAATATTATTTTACAAATAACTTAACATTATTTTTAAAGTGATTTTTTTTTTTTGTTTTAAGAGAGTTAAGTATTAGAACACAAAACCTTACCAATCTAGACAATGTCTTCAAAGTTCCGTTAGGTATATTTGAGAGAAAAATTTTGGAGAAGAAGAAAGAAGATAACATATTTTTCAAATTTTAAATTAAAAAATATATGTTATTTATAATAATTAATATATTAAATTTATATCAATATATTAATTTATATATTTTACTATAAAAAATATTAATTTTAAATATATTTATTTAAAATACAAAATATATTCTCTCCTCCCACTTTCCTCCAATACCCAAACAACCTCTTAATTGTTAAAAGTCAACAATCTTGAGCTTGAATACCACAACAAACACAACGAATGCATCCACCGCTGTCAAAGTCATGCCAAAAGAATTGCAAAAGCAAGAATTCATGGGTGTTGTGATGTGACAAATATATATTGAGAATTGCAGACCTAAAACATGATAAAATTCAACTGATATCCTTCAAAAAGTTCCTTCTTCCCTTGGCATTTATATATTCTGATAAGGACCAAGAAACAGAATGTGAGAATAAAGATTCTGTCAACAAACATTTAATGACAAAAAAGAAAAGGGGAGAATTTTCTTCCTGAGGGTAAGTGTTGAATTTACAATTCCTAACAAATGACAATTACTATTCAAGCCCATGTCCTTCCAATTATAACCACCAAACCAATTCTACATCTACTTTGCAGTTAACTCTATCTTCCTAACTCCTTATGTTTTAATTAATGAATTCAAGACATTTCAGCAACAGCATAGGTAAAGGAGGTAAAGAGGTCTTGAGAAAGAGTATGTCAATTGTTCAACTTTCAAAGCAGTACCACTTATAGAAATTAGATTGATTCATTATTGCAGAAATGACAAGAGAAAGGCTACACAGGGTTTAACGCAAAAATATCTTTACCTATACAAGATATAGACATTGTAAAATGGCCAAAGTTAAACACCGCATTGCAGCAGGTAGAAATATACAAAATAACATACACTAAGTATTTTTTTAGAATACATTGATGGTTACTCCTGTCTCTGTTCTACATCATGAACCTTACTCAGTGATTCTTCTATAGACTGCAACGCTACATTGTAATGGTCTAGAGAAATTATCCCCTCCTCCACAACTTGTAAGGCACTTTTAAATAATTGATTAGACCATTGAATGCGGTCATTGTCATCAGTACTACCAGAGCTGTGATCAGGAATGTATAGACGCTTGTAATCTTTCTTCCATCGTGAAAGAATGTATTTGTGAGGTATCTCTTCAACCCCATTAAAATTGAGCACACACAGTGCATGCCGACATAGGTATCCATAAAAATTAAAGCAACTACAGATGCAACGAACTTCACCAGCTGTCCTACTGTACAGAACTTCAAAATCCCTAATCTCCCGCCTGTTTCCCTCAATCAGAACACGCTCCTTGACCAAGAAAATTATGATGGGGCCATCCACATGTAATTGTGTTGTACCAAAACAAGAATACATTTCTTCCACTTCTAATTGAAACTTCATGAACATTTCTCTTGTGTATATTCTAGAGAGCTGCAATTCAAAAGAACATCTGGTTTTTAGCAAGGGACTTGATCTCCTTGATTCAATATCTGCAAAAGATTCTTCCTTGTACTTCTTGTGAAGAGCTAATTCATATTTATCAAGAAACTCCTTAAGAGGAGTCTGTTTGTGCACGTACTTGTCAAAAAAAGGACTAATGCTCTCACCAGGGCGTGCTGCAGACATTCCAGCAAAAAATGTGTCCTTCAAATATACTGGTGCCCAATGAACTCGATCTTCATATAGAGAATGAAGCCATTCATGGTCACTAACTCCAAAGCGTTGAATCATAAATCCCCATGCTGCTTCAAATTCAATCACTTTCAATGTCTCATAAATTGCTTTAATAAGTGCTTTCCTGATTGCATCATAGTTGTGCAACCCTCCCAATTTCTCTGGTACTTTTTTCATAATCAATGACAAACCAAAACGATGGCTAGATCTAGGAAAAACTTCTACAATTGCACTCCGCAAAGCCTTGCACCTATCAGTAATAATAGTTTGGGGAGAACATCCTGACATGGATGTAACCCATGCCCTAAACAACCACGTGTAAGACTCTGTTGTTTCACTTGCAAGCAGGCCACAGCCTAATAAAACTGATTGACCATGGTGATTTATCCCAACAAAAGCCACAAGAGGGATTTCATATTTGTTTGACAAATAAGTGTTATCGAAATAAAGAACATCACCAAAATAACCACATGCAGCCCTGGACCTGGCATCAACCCAGAATGCATTCCTCAAATGCCCATCATCATTGAAATCCATCAAGTAAAAGAAGTTTGGATTAGTCAATTGCATCCGGCAGAAGAAATTATAAATAGCTTGTGTGTCACCTTTTTTAAGGTTCAATTTATTAGAAGATTCAAAGAAAGTTCTGTCATCCCTTGCACTAGAATTTGAATGTCCATTACCTCCTGCATCTATCACAAGTGCACGGTATAACTTAATTGTTTGCACCTCAGCATCAGAACTAGGCAATGACTTCCTTTTAGTTCCAGTTCCCATCTTTTTAACCGATTTGTGTATCTTAACACCTAACATGTGGTTATGTTCAAGTGAAACCTCAAGTATCCTCCATCTTAGAGACTCCACTAACCTCATCCTTATCATTGCAGGGCAACCAGTCCTTGTCTCTTTTCTCAAATGGTTAACATCTTTTATTCTTTTGAAACCCTGGCTGCTACAGCAAAGCACTGCACCATATTTTTCTCGGCTATTTCGCTTGAACCATGAATTCTTCACCCTTACACGAAATCCCACCTCCTTGGCATAGCAGATATAATAATTGTAAGCGTCATCATATGACTCAAACTCCATTCCAACAGCAGGTGCAACAAAATCCTTTCTTCCTTCAGAAAAACCATTTTGACAATCTAATTCAATTAGTGCACCATCTTCGTCTTTCTGAACCTCTATGCATTCCCCATCTGGCAATTGTTCACAGCAGAGAGGGGTCCCTTCCATCTAGCATATTATAAAACAAAATCAATCAGCTACCCCAAGTCTAACAATATTATTTGAATACTAAATACTTTGACAGATAAATCCACTAAAAGAATTTTCAATCATATACCAGGTGCTTAACCTCTTATACAACTTCGTATCTCACGCAATGTAGCTTAAAAGCTTGTAACTTATCTAGTGTTATTTGTTAAATGCAACCCGATTAGACTCTGAGACAGTAGCTCAAGTGGGAAGCTTTTTGGGGCATCTCTAGAGACATTTCTTCTAGCAAGAGCATTTAGCTCAACTGGCACTGGACCCTCTCTCTGTGCTTCTGGAGTAATGATAATGTCAAAGGTTCAATCTTCTATTAGGCTGGCCACCTGTCCCTTTCCCCAACATAAGTGAATGCACTTCCCTATCTACCAAAATGAAAAACACATATTAGATACAATAAGTGATAGATTAATAATTTTTACTAAATATTGACACCATTGTTCACCTTCTTACTTCATATAACATTCATCTGTTAAATCAAAGCATCATTGCACCTGGATTCATTCGATGATCAACAAAGTAACACAGCCATCTGCATACAATGGTACAAAGCTAACCCTTTTTAAATAGCCACAAGACGAGCACCCAAAAAAAAAGAAAAGAAAACCAGATTCACTACAACAGGATAGTTTATCCAAGTTACAAAAGCTAAGGAAATTACACGTCCACAAGTCCTCAAGTAAAATCAACACAACAACATCCCACATGAGGGTGTGTAAAATCTGGATTGTTCAATTCAAACAGCGTTTAAGTGGAATCTTATTTTGTCATCAAGAGACTAATTGGGAGTGTGTGTATATCACAGAACATAAATATTTAAGCTCTGCCATTCGTGTCCCAACCTTTCTCACCCATGCATGCTCATAAATTCTAAACCTAACATCTTTGATGCCCAACAGTTATATTTTCTTCCGATAATTAGCCTTTGGATTTTCTTCAATTAAAAAAAAAATGAAAAAAAGACCAAAGCACAAAAGAACAGGGGCATTTCAAAAAACATCAAAGGATGTTTGAAACCCTTGAAATAAGCATTGGCAAAACATGGAATGGACAAACTTGAATTGAATGCGTACACAGAGTTGATAAAGGGATAGAATTGAATTGAGTGAGTATTGAGCAAAGAGATGAATAATAATAATAATAATACCTAACGTGATCTCTTCTCACTTCGAAACTACCAACCACGACCACAACATGCTTCTCTTCGAACAAGTTTGCTCCCTATGGGTATGTATTTTGATTGAAGAAAATACCATTTTTTTTTCTACGATTTCTATGCCCCGATTCACCGAAATATTTTTATTTCATTTTTTAACAAATAAAAACAGTAAATTCTAATGGATAACTAAAAAGTTATCATCTCTTTAAGGAAAAAAAAGTACGATTATTAATTTTAGAGAGATAAATAATAGAATTAATACTTTATTTAAAAAGATGTTAATAGTCTTTAATCAAAGAATCACAACTATTAGTTTGAAGAGAATACAAAATAATTTTTTAAATTTATAGATATTATGACAAGTACGGTATAAAATTGAAAAAATTATATTTTGAACAAATTAACTAAATATTTGACAAAATTATTGAGGTTAATTTGGAGACATGTAAATTTTTTTGATCTTTTAAATAATAAAAGTTCATTTCATATATGATTTTTTATAATATATATTATTTTTATTTTAATAAAATGAATAAACTTAAACTTATTTTTGGAATATCATTCTTATATTTTATAAATCTTTCAAAAGTAAAGGTTCTATAATCATTTTTTAGTATATGTTTCTAAATGAATTATATCACAAGTTGATATGAAGAATTTTAGGATTACTTTATCACACTGTCCTTCTCAAGTTTCCTCCCCTATACACTTTTTTACTAAATCTATTTGAAAAAAAAATGTAATTAGGTCACCTTAATTTTTTTATTATTTTAGTTATAGTTTAAAATGCATGAGCAAACAAGAAAAATATATAAAGTCTAATTAAATATATTGATAATAAATGTTGGAAAATATTAAGAGTTAAAAAATATTAATTATATATTGACTTTAGGAAAATGAAATAAAAAAATTGTTATTAAAAAAGAATGTATTTGTTATATTGAGAATATAAAAAAGTAAATATTTTAATACTTTTTTTTGTCCTTGTGTCAAAAAAAAATATTCCTTTTTATTTCTGACTTCAGAAGTTCAAGAAATTTTTTTTTTTGCATTTTTCTATTGTGCTCTTACAATTTACAAATTTCTAATTATTTTACACATTTACCATGAGATGGATAATTAATTATTGCAAAGTTTAAAAATTAATGAGATCAGATTTCAAATTTTTTTTCATGACTTAGTTACGCGTTAATTCATGAAATATATATTTTTTATAATATTGAGAGTTAATGAGCAAGATTAATAAATAAAAAGAAGTTAATTGGTTATAGAAAAAAAAAGGATAAAATTATAAAATAGATAATAGTTTTTATACAACTTGAACATTGATTAGTTTTTGCAAACAATGTAAAACAATCGTGAGTGATAGACAAAAAGAAACAGAAGAAAGTATTTTAAAATGCTTAAAATCAGTTTTAAAAGTAGATGACAACAAAATCCATCTGTTTTACAAATAAAAGGTTCTATAATCAATTTCGAAACTCATCATCTAAAGGCGTGAAATAATTTTAAATAAAAAATAATGAAATCGGAATCAATTTGATTTTTACTTGAAAACTAATTGAAATAATTGTACCAGATGGATTGTTTTAAAATTTTTAATTTATCCATATAAAATTTTGAGTGAAAAATTAAATTAGAATATTACAAATTTTAACTTTCAAAATGATAATAATCTAGACTGCTAACAAATAATTAAACACATTTTTATTATTTAACTTCAAACCCCAAATACATTATTAATTAAACTAATATAAATTGTAATTAAATATACAAAAATATTTAATTATTTTCTAAAAGGATAGATTAAACTTTGTTAATTTGTGATAACATCAAATTTTATTACTATGTTACTTCCATTAAAAAAATATATGCAACTATAAAAGACGTTTAAATTGGACACGTTCTTGTCATACCAAAAACTGACAATAATCATACTTGGGATAGAACTTGGCAGTAGAAAATGAGCAGATGCAAAGGTGAATAAAAGTTAAAAGAAATAATATAATAATTTTTTCATCAGAAATAAATAATATAACAACTTGACTTATAATAAATCCAAGTCCTTAATTTTGAGTAAGACACATGGAACTTTTAATGAAAGAGCTTTTATATTAACTAGCAAATTACTGATTATAGATAATATAGAAAGATGAATTATAGTTAAACACGGTATTTTAATTTAATTGTTTAAAAACTCTTAATATTGACTGCATGAATGAAATTCACGATCATTATGTAATTATTTCACAACAAATTATTCTAAAAATCATATACGCAAATGAATCGATGAAACAATAACTGAGAACACATTCTTCTTAATGTTCATGGTAAAACCCAAAAAAGGTTTATATGCTATGAATGAAGTAAAATAGTTTCAAGTAAGAAAAAGCAACCAATTGAATAGGATGTCATTCCTAAAAAAAGGGATATAGCATGACACAAGGAAAACATATATCAGCCAAATGCAGTCACAAGGCATTAGTGGATGACGAGTGTCAATACTAAATAAGTGAACCTCATTTTTTGTCTGATCACACAAAACAGTTACAAATTCAACTAGTAAGGATAAGACGACTGAAATGCCACTCAAACGCAAAGGTTGTATAAATCACAAATCATAATAAGATACACGGGAACAAGCCAAGCTTGTCAAAGGTGCAATAGACTTTATGCCACAACTTGGGAAAATTGGGAGTTTGGGACCATAACTACCCAAGTTGAACATCCCACAAACTATGGATATTTCCATGAGTAACTAAGGCTTAAGGGGAGCTCCCACCAGAAAGCCTACTATTTATAATAATTTAATTGGCACGGCTTTTGAACACATCAAGACCCATCTCAGTAGGATCGGTTGCTTGCAACTCTACTTGAATTCCATCCAGCTCCCTCTTGAATCTGTCTTTGGAGCTTGCATAAATCATCTTGCTTCTGACCCTGGACGAATCAGGGGACCTACAAACAGAAGCAACAGAATTAATGCAGCTAAAACATAGGATTGAACGCTATCAGCAGATCTAAAAGCAAACATTACCATGCAATGAAAAAGATCCTGCTTTTGGGGACATTCCCTTCAGTCAGATACTCAAAATCATAAACAGCATAACGGCACTCATCAGCAGGAAGGCTAGCAGTGAAATCTTCATAGCCTTTGTCTGGCTCACCAAGCTTTTCCACAATGACCTGCTTCTGCTTCTCCTCAATCTTAAAAACTATGAACCGGTATGTCCTTTTTGCCTTGAGCTCCAAAAACTTTAACTTGCAGTCGTCATCGACTGCCATACCCGATGCTGCGTTTGCCTGTAGAATTACAGTTGAAGACACATCATATCCATCAATGCAATATACAAGCATGTACCATTCCCGAGTGATTGTACACAAATAGTCACTCAAGAAAAGAGGAAAAAAAGCAAAAATAGTCATTTCCTAGATTGTGAAAAATTAAATTTAATATGAATACGTCGCCAATTAACAAAGTAAACAACACTTACACGGGCATAGTATAGTCCAAATCAAGGGAATGGAAACAAGCAGTGATTATTGCCAAAATAAGCAAACATCAATAAAAAGCCGTGTTACGTTTGACGTCTCTTCAATACCAAAATAAAATCATATTTATTAATTAATAAACTAATAAAAGAAACTTTACCAAAATAAATCTAATAAAAGAATACGAATATACGCATTAATTAAAAATTCCCCTCTCCCAACCCATTATCACCACATAAAAAAAAAAAACCGAATCCACATATTTACCCTAAAAAAATAAAAAATCCACAAGTGAGATCACGAATCCCATCCCTCGACAGATCAAACATATCACGCTTCACAAGCTGTTCTAATCGGCGATTAAACCATCATAGAATGCTATCAATTAGGGAATAATTCAATAGAAACATCCAAAACAGATCTGAAAATGACACAATTTTTTTAGGCAAAACACAAAAGACGCAGTTAAACTCTAGCGATCAGATCAAGCAGAAATCCAGCTCGGACTAGACTCAAGTCAACAGCAACAACCGAAAACCGCGAAGAAATTTATGTCACTAAATTCAATCAAACAAAAAAAGCTTGAAATTCGTGGATTAGGTTATCGATGTGTAAGAATATAAATCGGATAACGAAACGAAAGAAGAATGAAGAGAGAGAAAAACTAACCATGTGTTGATGTGGTTGATGGAGAGAGCGACGGTGGAGGAGAAAATATAGGAGCGCGTGTTTGTGTGTGTGTGTGTCTCCTTTTCTCGATCGAGGGTTCGGAGAAGAAATGGGGAAAGAGAATTGGGAATATGAAGGGTGTGGTGGAGCGTCGCAAAATTATTAATATCCACAACAGCGTCTACTCACTGGCCCAATGGGCCTGCTTTTGGACTCGCAAGCGGGCCCAACTTCTTTCGTATCACATTGGGTTGTTCAATTTTGTACCTTCGATTTTCACTGCCCCCCGACCAAATGTGTCGTTTCCTCATCTGAAGATTTCAATCTTTCGCCTCCAAATATCTTAGTAACAAAAACAATTTGAGGGTCCCAATGAGTACGTTTTGTCTATACAAATTAAATGGACTAAATTAATAAACCATGTTAAGGGTTTGATTGTTTCTAGACTAGTCACGAAAACAAATATTCTCATTTTCACCAGAATTACCTCAATTTGTGCAAAATGGTAATTGCAAATCGCATAATGCATTGCCAAATAGAAGCAATCACATCAATTATTTTTTACGTGATAATTTTCTATTATTAATTTTCTTAATCCACCCAATTTGTATATATAAAATATGTGCAAGTGTCTTCTAAGAAAATTTAGGTATAGTACCTTAAGTGTCACTAATACTCCTCTTTGTGCAAAATGTCAATATTAAACGTTAATTTAGTTATTGATATATAAATTAAATTTTAATGAAAAAATATTAAGCATTTAAAGTACTACGTTTAAGTTTAACGTACCATGCACATTGTGTACGAAGAATCAATTTATATTAGTGAATTACATTAATTTTTACATCGTTAATAATTTTAAATATAATTTTATTTTTATCGATCTAACCATTTGATTAAGCTACACAGTACGATATCAAAATTGACTAAAAATATAAGTAAAGAAATTTTATTTTCATTTATTTTAAAAATAGATATTATGTTGATTTTAATATATATAAAATAAATATCAAATAATCTGTTATTAGTATGAAATTTTGTAAATATAATATGTATGATAAAAAATTTGAATCGAAAGATTAGTTTAAAATAAAATTACTAAAGAAAAAGTTACTAAATAGTATGAGTGAATATAATTCACTCAATACGAGTTGATTCCTCCTCTCCATATACCGTAACTATCGCTTTACTTAATTGTACAAGATGCTGACAACTTCTCCGACTCCCAATCCTGTAGCCTTATTAGAAGAATAAAGCATTAGTGTTAATTTCGTACAAGTTTGCAGAATTGCAGGTGGCTTTGTTCATATTGTGCCAAAACTTGATCATCCTCATGAGTATAAGGAGCATAATTGTGAACCCATCTGTAAAGTTGGATCGAATATTTACAATAATAATAATATAATAATAAAGAATGTTAATCACATGCAAGTTATGCGCGCGAGGAATTCAATTCAATCTGACACCCGCAAAGCCTAAAAACTGTTTTTAATGATAAGACTTGTTTGAGTACGCTGTACCCATTACTTTAAAATTTGGATTCAATGCATGTGAATTCACCGGCACCACAAGTACATTTATATGACAAATATCTCGAAATCATTTAGTACCCTTGTAATTATACAAGTGCCTTGCAGAGTTTCAATCATAAATACAGTTTGTGTATTATTGCACGAACATTGAAGAGGCACGCAGAGACAGCTCGTTCGTTTCGAAAATTCCTATAAAGCATTTTCAGTCCATCAACAAGTATGTGTCTGCTCATGCTGAAAGGCCTTAAATAACAACCGAAAAAAACTTTAAATCATCTTAATAGACCAGCATATTAAGCCTTAAAATTACTTGTAAAATGGGTATAAAATTCCTTTCGAACTCTCAAGATAGCAAAACTTTTACTTTTGTCATTTTTAAGGAAATAGGAGGATGCTGAAGTCGTCATGAGGAGATAGGATCTCTCTTGATGTTAATACACAGACAACATGGTACTGTACTACTGTTGCTTAGAAATGCATCAAAGTTCATCATGTATTCTTCGATCTAAAGGAGCCTCGGCATTATGAACACGATCCCCCCTGACTTGATGAAGATTCAAGTCATCTGCAACAGCTTAGGGCCTTGGCTCTGCCTGTCCCACCATACCCGCTTTTATGGTCCAATCCGCTTGGAAACAACATAAAGAACAGCAAGGGAGAACAACAAAAAGCCAACCCCAAGTATCACCCTATTCAAATACAAGTTATGAGTCAATTATTACCATTTAGGAAAAACAAACAAAGTGTGTGGAGTGTAAAATTCTTTTTTTATCCCCCATACCTGTCTATGACATCTTGACGCTGCATTGTGGAAAGAAGATTTCGTGTTCTTATCAACAACGAGCGGTGCCCTTTATATTCACTTTCAGCTTTCTTTAACACTCCAGTTGATTCATCTATATATCCAAACAATTTTGCAAAACAAACATCAGCACCTCATTTCATCAAGTCAAAACTAATACCATTCAACTAAAGCTTTAACAAGCACTCCAAAACAAACAGTGAACTAAGAAGCATTTTAACAGGTAAAAGAATCAGCATAAGCTAAATTGCACAAAGTCATTCCCAGAAGAGAGTAAAGGATGGCGAAAGAAAGTATGTGTTATTAAATATTTTTCGTATGCTTTATATAAGAATCAATAGGTATCCCTCTAATAGACTCTAGGTTTCTTTCCTTTCCCTTAACTTTTCATATCCAGGAAAAAAAAAAGAAAGGTCATGGATGGATTATATCTTTTGGAGGTTTTGGGGAACGGTGGGTCTAAGTAAAATCCAAGGAAAGGGGAAAAAAATAGATGCAGAAAGAAAGGACAGTGTACACATAAAAATTGTATCATAAGAGAAAGTCACCCCTTGCAAGCTCACACAAATTGCGAAAAACCATCAGCCAAACACTACACAAAGGTCAAGCCCAAACAGCAGATAGGGGAGAAACTTCCCTCAAAAGTTTCACCACAATGCCTCTGATCATGATATGTTAATTCAAGAAGCTGAGGATAATCTTGATTTTAATCAAATCTTTTGATTTATTAACTGATATTTTGTTTTTCACTGAACTACATTCTGCTAGTGATAGAAAGAGAATGAGGAAATTTCATATGAATGATTAATCTCATCAAATTCCTAATTAACCTGTCAAAATATACATAGGTATAAGGGCGTTGCAATATTGAGGGGGTGGGCAAGAAAAATCATTTGATAGAAAAGAGGCTTTAAAATTGTTATACATTTTTCTGAGGCTTCTTATAAATTTTTACATACACGAAAAGCAAAAAATGATGTAAAACCGGTATAAATAAGTAGAAGTAGAAAGATAAAAGAACCACCACCAATATAGACAGGGGAGAGGGAGAAAAGTGTACCAACCAAGAGTCATTAGAGTGGTCGTGTTTCTTTCAACCTCCTGATTAAGACATAGATACAATGATCATGACATTCAACACATCAAAAAAGGTCATACTTATGAAGGATGAAAGGAGGACAATTGTGGATTAAAATATTAAAACTAGGAAGAAAGATCAAAGATTGAGTGTAGAAAAGAAAGCTACCTAGCTACTAACCTGAACCATCAATTGACGAGTACGACGAAGGCTTTTTGTGATGCTCTCTGCGGCAGATGTCATTCCAGCTTTTGTCCTGGAAAAAAAATCACAAATATAAGAACTAATATACTTCATCCCAGCATCATACTAACCAAATTTTCCAAAATGAAATGGCACTAATTGATTAAAAAAAAAAACAAGCAAAAGAATAAATTGACCCTCGCCAAGAACATACTGTAAATTGCGTCTGCGAATTGTGGACTCTTCTCCTCCACCTAAAAGTAGCTCTCTCTGCACCATATAGGAAAAGAATAAGTCACATGCTACTCCAACCCATCAATGTAAATAAACACAAATCACAACACTGGCATAAATTCATCAGGGCATGCTCTGTATAACATCAGAAAAATGAAACAAGAGATTAAGTATATTACCTCCTCCTGAGCAGCTTTCCTCAGGTTAGCCTTTGCTTGCAGATTGGCATTCCTCAAACTTAGCCGCAAACTTTTTTATTTCCAAAAAAAAAAAAACACCATGAGCAGAAATTACATACATAATTCACTACTAAGATCTCGTTTTAGAAGAACTTATGGATGCAGTATAACTTATCAGAATAAGCTTTTTTCAGCTAATTCATGGTCAAATATATAATATTAGTCCTCATGTAATAAGATTTTGTTAAATAACCGCTTAATTAAGCTATATTTTCAAAAGCACCCTAAATGATCCATTTTAAATCAATTTGTATTCAAATGCAATCCAATAACAAAAAAATAATAATTTGAATTTGCATAAAAGCAAAGGTAATAACATAACATCCAGAGAGAGAGAGTGTGTACTCTTGAGTTAGGGTTTTCCAGGATTGAAGCAATGCACGAGCAGCGCGAACCTCTTGTTCAGCGGGCAACTGAGGAGCGAGAAGATCAAGGGTGAAGAGAAAGGAAGAAAGGAGTGCCAAGCCATCCTGAGCGATGCCATTCAATCTAGCAAGGGAATTTTTCTCCTCCTTCGCTCTTCCTGATTTCCCATACTCTCCGATCGCGTTTATGTGCTCTTGCGTTTTCTTGTATGTTTCTTCCCATTCTTTCTTCACCTTTTCCACCTCTTCCACAACCTTGTCCATTGCCGATTCCAATTCCAGCGATTCAAAATTTGTTGCAATTTTCAGTTCCAATCACACAATTCAATATTTCACCCCCTTCCTGCGTCAGAAAGGAAGAAACCAATGCTCACCTCAAGCTGCAGTATATGTTTATTTATTTTGAAAAAAAAAAAAAAAGTAACTACAAACATTTTCTACAGTAACGTTGGTTTCACAGTACAACAAAAGTTTAAATCAATAATTTTTTTTATCATCAGTGTAAATACCCACTTCAATTTTTTATTTAAAAAATATATCCACTTTAGTTAAAAGTTTTCACTTAACCTAAATTTTTCTTTAAAAATTTTTTTTGAATAGTTTTTTAAAATCATACATGTGAGACGTTTTAGTCCTTTCATTATTAATTAAAAAGATTAACGTTTATTTTTTATTTTAGGGATAATTTTTTTTAGGAATCAAAGTGTCTCTAATATTTTGTAAGTAAATTTGAGTAGCCACTCATTTTATTATTAAAAGTACTGAAATGGTGAAATCATAATTGATATTTCAACCAAAATTGTTTTTAAACCAAAAAGAAGCAAAGCATGAGTGGTAAGGTTGGGTAGAATCAACTTCTGGCTAAATAAACTCAAAACTAAATAATGGGTTCAACGAGTTTTAAGTTAAGCATGTACATTCTAACGTGTTAGCCTTAAAACTTGGCTTTGTGTAATTTGTTTACCTCACACAATTTTTGGCAACTTTTTTTTTTTAAGATTTAGGGCTTTTTTTTGTCCCTATGTTCCCTTTTCTTGCCTCCCTGTACCAAAAAGATAAGGCACGTAAAAATAAAGTTGTAGCATCCTTGTTGAAAACAATTATAGTTGCAATCAGGAAAACACAATGAGAGAAGGGAAAAATCATAATAAGAGATAAAAAAAAAAATGTCGAAGGTCATGGAGGTGTCAGATTCAAAGGATATTCACTAATTTTTGTTTCAAGTTAGTAATTGTCGTTGAGTGGATTGTTCAATGTTCATTCTTCCGTCGTGTTCCCCGTGTGCTTCTCACAGAAAAGGTTGACAAATCTCTTAACTGTTTATTTTTAATAAATAATTATAAGTAAACACAAAATTTTTAAAATCTTATTATGATAGAATATAACACAAAAAAGTTATCATTCTTGAGATGAGTTTGGTTTATGTTAAAAGTTCCATGGCCACTGCTCACAACAAAACTTTATTTGTGTAATAATTTATGTTCCTCATTTTTAATTTGTCAAAATTTCTTTTATTAAGTATAATTAATTTTTAAAAAGTTGAGAATTTTTTTAATTGTTAAAATCATAAGAATAACCACTATTTTAACCATTTTAAATATACCTAATATAAATTAAGCTACACTTATATATGCTAAAAAGTGCAAAATTAAGACCCAACCTATATGCAAATTATTTTTCGTTGGCTTCATTAATGCCCAGAGACAAATTGAAACAAAGGCAGTTTCATATGATTGATTAGTAAGAGCAGCCCATGCTTCTATTTTAGGCATTGAAATTTAAAATAAAATAGAGCAAGAAAATCAAATTAGAGAAGGAAATAAAAATGTAGAGAAGAAAAATAGAAAATAAAGAATGCTTAGTCACTGGTGCAGGTTGGTCGAAAAGTTTGCTAGAGATAAAGAAGATGATTGAAAAATATTTAGATAATGTCAAAATCTTCACTGGAGTTAAAGAAGACGACTAAAAACCATCTAGGTCGCGTTAAAGGCTTCACTGAAGATGAAAATGACCAGTGAACGTCGATCTCGCATAAAATATCTCGCCAGAGATGGACACAAGCAGCAGTGGAATCACATAGAACAGAGATAAAAAAGAGTACAGGAGAACTTTGCAATGAGAAGACTTGGGACTCACGAGAGAGGGGAAAATATCAGAAAGTAAGAGGTGAAAATTTATAAGCCTAAGAAAAATGTATGACATAATTTTAAGCTGGCCAAATAAGTCAGTTAGATTGGAAGTTATGAAGGCTGCAGAAAATGAGTTTCTAATTAGCTGGCGACTATTGCATTTATTGCTTCAGGCTGCTCCACGTCATAATTTTAAAACCTCTTTTCTATCAAACGATTCTTCTTGCCCACCCCTCAATATTGCAACGCCCTTGTACCTATCTATATTTTGACAGCTTAATTAGAAATTTGATGAGATTAATCATTCTTATGAAATTTCCTCATTCTCTTTCTATCACTAGCAGAATGTAGTTCAGTGAAAACAAAATATCAGTTAATAATTGAAAGATTTGATTAAAACCTAGATTATCCTCAGCCTCTTGAATTAACATATCATGGTCAGAGCATTGTGGTGAAACTTTTCAGGGAAGTTTCTCCCCCTATCTCCTGTTTGGGCTTGACCTTTGTTTAGTGTTTGGCCAATGGTTTTTTTTGCAATTTGCATGGCCATACCCGATGCTGCGTTTGCCTATAGAATTACAGTTGAAGACACATCATATCCATCAATGCAATACACAAGCATATACCAATCCCGAGTGATTGTACCCAAATACATTAACCTTTTCACCATTCACATTGTCACTCAAGAAAAGAGAAAAAAGAAAAGAAAAGAAGCAAAAATAGTCAATCCGTAGATTGCGAAAAATGAAATTTAATATGAATACGTCGGCAATTAACGAAGTCACTTACACAAGCATAGTATAGTCCAAATCAAGTGGAAGCACGCAGTGATTATTGCCAAAATAAGCAATCATCAATAAAAAACGTGTTACGTTTAACGTCTCTTCAATCCCAAAATAAAATCATATTTATTAATTAATAAACTAATAAAAAGAAACTTTACCAAAATAAATCTAATAAAAGAATAGGACTATACGCATTAATTAAAAATTCCCCTCTCCCAACCCAATAATTACCATATTAAAAAAATCGAATCCACATATTTACCCTCAAAAAATAAAAAAATAAAAAATCCACAAGTGAGATCACAAATCCCATTCCTCCACAGATCAAATACATAACACTTTACAAGCTGTTCTAGTCGGCTATTAAACCGTCATAGAATGCTATCAGTTAGGGGAATAATTCAATTGAAACATCGAAATCAGATCTGAAAATGACACAAATTGTTTAGGTAAAACACATAAGACGCGGTTAAACACTAACGATCAGATCAAGCAGGAATCCAGCTCGGATAACGAAACGAAAGAAGAATGAAGAGAAGAGAAAAACTAACCATGTGTTGATGTGGTTGGTGGAGAGAGCGACGTGAAGGAGAAGATATAGGAGCGCGTGTTTATGTGTCTCTCGATCGAGGGTTCGGAGAAGAAACGGGGAATGAGAATTGGAAAGTGAAGGGTGTGCTGTAGTGTGGGGGACGTCGCAAAATTATTAATAGGTAACTGCCATGCCTTGGAGTTGCAAATTAATCATAAGTGAAATAATTGTTATTCTTATTTTATATTAAATATATATAATAGGGGTCAATAATTTTCAAGGAATTAATTAATATGTGCAACAGCGTCTCTCTTTTCACTGGCCCATTGGGCCAGCTTTTGGACTTGCAAGCGTGCCCAAATTCTTTCCAATCCCATTGGGTTGTTCAATGATTACGTTTTGTTCATAAAAATTAAATGGACTAAATTAATTAATTATGTTGAGGGCTTGAATGTAGTCACGAAAAACAAAAATTCTCATTTTCACAAAAATTACTTCAAAGTTTGTGCAAAATGGTAACTGCAAATAGCATAATGCATTGCCATATAATTATTTTTTACGTGATAATTTTCTATTATTAATTTGCTTAATCTACCAAATTTGTATATATAAAATCAATGCAAGTGTCTTTTAAGAAAATTTAGATATAGTATCTTAATACTTAAGCAGTTTTATTAAATTAAAATTAAAATTTTGTCTTATAACTTGTAGACAAAAAATATTACCAACACATTTTAACATGCTCCTTCGGACATCTTTTTATTATTAGTTAAAATTTAATAAAATTATAAAAATGATAGTGACCACACTCTTAATTTAAAGAGTCTTCCTTTCTAGAATTTTTAGTTAATAAATGAATGTACTAACCCTTCTCTGTGTGCAAAATGTCAAAGCTAAAGGTTAATGCTAGTTATTGAGATATAACTTTAAATTTAATTAAACAGTAATATTAACCATTTAAAGTACCACATTTAGGTTCTTTCTTTTTTTCTTGTGAAAGTATGGCACGTTGACGTGCATCGAATCTCATGGAGTTTGTGATGGGTTGTCAAGTTCAACATCATTTCTATATTTTTGTTATATGTCTTTAAGCTAAAGGTCATGGTTAAACTCAATAGAAATAATAACAATTTTTTATTATTATTTGAGGTATAAAATGGATATTCAAGTTCATACTAAATGTATATTTTGTACTTAAATCTAAATCTAGGTGTTATCCAAAAATTACAGGCAATACTTATATCATAAGATAAGTTTAAATATGCTACAAATAAGCTATTTTAGTTGAGGTTGAGGTTTATTTTTACAAAACTTTTATATAATTAAAAACTAATTGATAGTTTATTATTCTACTTTATCTTACACTATCTTATTATTTAAAATATAAATAAATAGTTACTATAAAATTATATATTTACAAATATAATATTTGAATCTCTCTCGGTGTATAAATATATAAAAATAATTTTCCTTATTTTCTCTCCTCTCAGGTTGATAGTAACTTGAAGCAATATTAAAGATTCATAGAGGGTGAAAGCATAAAAAAAAATAAAAATAAAAATTCTGAGAGGGTCCTTTACGAATGGCTAACCAAAACAACATCGAGGTTGTGTGCGTGACCGGAGCCAACGGTTTCATCGGGTCATGGCTGGTTCGAACGCTATTGGAGAAGGAGAATCCACACTACACCATCCACGCCACCATCTTCCCCGGTTCTGACGCTTCCCACCTCTTCACCCTCCACCCCGACGCAACCAACCGCATCACCCTCTTCCCCGCCGACATCCTCGACCCCGCCGCCGTTTCCCGCGCCGTCGCCGGCAGCTCCGGTGTCTTTCACGTGGCATCCCCCTGCACTCTCGAGGACCCCGCCGACCCACACAAGGAGCTTGTGGAGCCCGCGGTGGAGGGCACTCGGAACGTTCTAGAAGCCGCGAAGCGCGTGGTGCTCACCTCTTCCATCTCCGCCATGGTGCCCAACCCTAATTGGCCGGCGAATAGGGTGGTGGACGAGTCGTCGTGGACGGACGTGGAGTTCTGCAAGGAGATGGGGAAGTGGTACCCGGTGGCGAAGACGGAGGCGGAGAGGGCGGCTTGGGGGTTTGACGGCGTGGACGTGGTGGCAATTCAGCCGGCGACGTGTTTGGGGGCGCTGCTGCAGGCGTCGCTGAATGCTAGTTCGGCGGTGTTGCAGAGGTTGATGATGGGGTCGAGAGAGACGCAGGAGTATCATTGGTTGGGTGCGGCGCATGTTAAGGACGTTGCAAAAGCTCATGTTTTGCTCTATGAGACACCCACTGCTTCTGGTAGATATCTTTGTACCAATGGTATCTACCAGTTTTCTACTTTTGCTACTATTGTCTCTCAATTGTACCCTCACTTCCCCATTCACAGGTTCATTTATTCTCTCTCTTTAATTGTGCTAGAAAACTAATGCTACTGCTACTGCTACTGCATACTTTATCGTAAATCTTAAATGTTCTAGGCAAATAAGATCAATTGGCTTGTATTTGGTGTAGGAAACAGGACAAGTTATGATGTCTTTGGGATATCAAAATTTAAAATTCTATAAAAATATGAAAGCAATAATAAGCAATGTTTAGAATGAGAGTTAAGTATAATTGGACTTTTGAATGATAAATACAAAGATATTTTTAAATTCTCTCTTAAAACAAACAAGTCATCTGAATTTTTTTATTTGACACAAAAGTAGGTAAAATTTTAGAACTATTTTTTCTCATATTCAAGTAGTAATTTTGAAATGTTCTATCCAAATCCAACTTTGGGATATCAAGATTTATATAAAACCAAATAAATTTTCTAACTAAGCAAATTAGAATTCATATTTAAATTCTGCTTGTGTACAAAATTATCTGAACAACAAGAATTGCATGCAGGTTCCCAGCGGAAACACAACCTGGTCTGACACCGTGTAAAGATGCAGCAAAGAGATTAATAGACTTAGGCTTTGTCTTCACACCAATTGAAGATGCTGTGAGAGAAGCAGCAGAGAGCCTTATGGCTAAAGGCTTTCTGCAGCAAACACCCTTACAGTCACGAGATTAGTATTTACATTTCATTTAGTTTTTCTCTTTAGCCGAACTAATCACTGATTTATTTCTTTCTTTGACACAAGGTAGAAGAAGTACATAAGGAATGTAATTTATCTTTGCCTTGTGACTGTGAAAAGAATGTCACCTTCATCAAGTAGATTAGTTAATCTTTTTTTTTTTTTTTTTTTTTGGTTATATTTATTGCCTTCTTTTGGAAAGTAGCCTTCATGATCACTTCTGCTGTATCAGTATCAGTTGTCAAGTGGTCCTGGGGTAGCATAGAACTGGTGTCACTGTATATGTTAATTTTATGAATAACAGTTCGGATTTGGATCTTCTACTGAAAGTGTGTTAAGTGAAAAGTAAGTTTATCTCGTTTTGATTTGAATTGAAGTAACTCTGTAAATTTATCTGTTTTAAACCATGGATGGGGATACATGTGTACTACTTTGTAAACTTAGGCCTAATTTGAATAAATTTTTAGATAAATATTTATAGGTGAATAAATAAAGAAGTAAAATAAATAAATTTTTTCTTATAAGTTAAAAGTAATTTATGCACTTCCGACAAGTTAAAAAAGAGAACTTTTATCAAAGTAGAGAAATATAAATTGATTTTAACTTTTGAGAGAGATTTGATTTTATAAATTGTGTCTTAATCAAATTTAAATTAAGTGTAGAAAGCGTGGATAGATTTGTAAGTTTTCACTACAAGGGATTCAAATCCAAAGGAAAACTGTCCAATCCCACAGCTCCAAGACCTATAAGCGCAGGAAGTTCAACCGCAGTTCGGTTCCAAGTTAATAATATAAAATGACAATATTATACTGTCAGACCTTTCTACTCAATAAAATAGGTATTTTGCCATAGAATACAAAGTAACAGGCTTTGTTGGGAGAAAACAGCATATGATGTTAAATGTGTTTGACGTGCAATATTAAACTGAGCATAAAGAACAGTTCATCGTTCATTAAACTTTTGTCTTTAACAATGAACTCATAAAAATAACTCTATCTAGGGAAAAAATAAATAAAAGAAAACTGTGATTACCGATTAAATCTCTCGTGGAATAAAGATATCCTTAAAAAGTCAAATAATGTGGGGTTAATATGGAACTCCAATACTAGTTGATGACTAATTTAATGAGCTAGTGGGTGAGATCCGCCGATAGTGCTCAAGTAACAATAAGCAAGTTATGAATAAACTGCATTCTCAACTTGCAAGTGCTACAATAAACAATATCATAAATAGGAGCTCACCACGATGCCTATTACATTGCTTGAACGTCGACACCGGCGATTCACAATGACCAAAGTTCATTTTCCATTAGAAACATGTACAGAACGTGGCATTGTTTTCCTTCCTTGGACTTTATATCATAGCATCATTAATTCCCTTTTTAGTTGCAACCTTAAATTACACAATCATTTTCCTCTCTCATGTTCAGTTCTACCACTTTTTGTTCCTTTCTCTACAAAACCATCATGGGAAATGAAGCTCAAGACCAACAATCCTCCAAAAAGTTGCTAGTATATAATCACAGCCAAAAGCACAAGATGAATGCTATTAAGCTAGTTGTATTCACCAACCTTGTCACCATTTACATCTTCACTGGTCCATTAAGTTTTTGGTATCAATCTTCTTTGAGTCCTCGTGAATCAAACTCTATCTTGCAAGAACTAAACTCCACCAAAGCTCAACTTGCAGCTACTCATTCACTCTTGTCTGAGTTGCAACACAGACTCAACTCCACTAACTTACTTGTTCAGGCCTTGCTTATTGATCTTATCCGCGAACAAGATGAGCAATCCAACAGTGTAGACCAGAATCAATTGACCTTGAAGCTTGGTAATGATGGTTCCACAACAATTGTTACATCTGATGAACTCACTTCTGCCCTTGGGCCTCACAAGCTCCCTTTTGGGTACTCACCAAGGATAGGAGCAGATGAGATTCACACACCTGTTGGTGCAGCTTGCTTGAAGTTCCATGAAGAGTTAAACCAATATATGACATATGAGATTGGAGGGGAATGTCCTATAGATGATGTACTTGCACAAAGGCTCATGCTAAAAGGGTGTGAGCCCCTGCCTCGTCGGAGATGCCACCCCAAGTCTCCAAAAAATTATGAAGAGCCAACACCTTTGCCAAAGAGCCTTTGGACAACCCCACCAGACTCAAGCATTAGATGGGATGCTTATACTTGTAAAAGCTATCAATGCCTCATTGAGAGAAAGAATAAGCCAGGGTCCTATGATTGCAAGAATTGCTTTGATTTACAAGGTGAAGAAAAGGGTAAGTGGATCTTTGATGATGAAGGACTTGATTTTGGAATAGACCAAGTTCTTGCAACCAAAGCTGAAGGGATAATTCGTATTGGACTTGACATTGGTGGTGGTACCGGAACATTTGCTGCAAGAATGATGGAAAGAAATGTGACTATCATTACAAGCACACTGAATTTGGATGGTCCATTCAACAGCATTATTGCATCAAGGGGTTTGGTACCAATGCATATTAGCATCTCTCAAAGGTTTCCATTCTTTGACAACACACTGGATATTGTGCACACCATGGATGTCATAAGCAATTGGATACCAGATTCCATGCTTGAGTTTGTCCTGTATGATATATATAGGGTGTTGAGGCCTGGTGGTCTATTCTGGCTTGACCATTTCTTCTGTTTTGAGTCACAACTCAACAGAACTTATGTTCCAATGTTAGATCGAATTGGCTTCAATAGATTGAGATGGCATGCTGGAATGAAACATCGTGGGGTTCACAAGAATGTGTTGTACATTTCAGCCCTTATGGAGAAACCAATGACTTGAGGTAGGTGTATGAATGCACAAGATAAATTATAAAGCTAATGAAGATTTTTTATCTAATTATCATGTTAAAAAAATGAAAGATCTTGACCAAGTTAGATGTTATCCTTTTTCTTCTAAGCTTAAACTATACTATATTAAGATAGATAGTAGTACTTCACTACTCCTGATTTCTATCATTGGTGGTATGATTGTGGGTTTCTTAATCTTCCAACGTGACAAAAGAGCAGCAAAGACATTAGAATCCAGTTAATGACGATAAAGGTTTTGATACTTTGAACAAGATCATACGCTTAAACCGGTTGTTGTCACTATAACCGAAATAAAAAAAAGTTGAGCTAGAAAACTTATAATGAGTAATTAATCATAACACTCAAGTATACTAAGGTAAAATGGTACTTAATTCCCTTAACTTATTTTCTAATTTTATATTGATCCTATTACTTCTTTTAATTCTATATTAGTTCCTTAACTTTCAAGCAGAGTTGTCCAAATAAAAATCCTATTACCGAGTGTCTCTTCCACGTGGCTAATTAATAGAACGCAAATTATTGTCCTGATGTGATTTTATCTCATTTTTAAGAGTGCATTCGCTTAGGGAAATAATAACAACTTAATCAAATGATTTAAATATATTATTACCATTGCTTTTACTTGGTGGGTGGTTAAGTGCCCCAGATCTACCTGCGTGGAACTTCGGTTAAACTCTGATGTGTCTGTTCCCACCTTTATTTAAGTCATTTTTTTTTTCTAAAGTACCCTTATTATTAATATAGTTACAAGAGAGGAAAAATAGGTATGTGTTAGACAAAAATAATTAAAAAATAAGATTCACAAAGACACTTCGGAATGACAATAAACACCAATTGAAATAATATGGACCTTCAGAATTTCCTGTCCATTTGTCACATTAATAAATGCTTTTAGTATTTGTTTTTTATTAACTGACTTACATTATCAGTAAAAATAGAGTACCACCTACTTCTAAATTAATTAAGAAAAATGTTAACCTTGACTCTTAAGAAGAAGGTTAAGCAATTAATAATAAAGTTTTATTAAAAGTAATATTTATTATGCTTTTATATTTTGGCTTAATTAAGTGTTTGTTTCTTACTAAAGTTACATAATTTTGACTTAATCTTTATTAAATATTTTGTTAGAATATAATTATTCCTTTTTCACATTCTATTATTTTTAATTTCTCAAGTTGATATGATTCAACTAAAAATTGACATTTGATGATATTTCAATGAATCATGTCAGTTAGAGAGACTAAAAATAATAATTTATAAAAAAATAGAAATTATATTCTTATTAAAAAATTTATAGGAACTAAATATAAAATGTGTAATTTTTAATTGTAGGTATCAAACACTTAATTAAGTTTTTATATTTTTAATTTAATAAATGTATTCTTTTTCAATGAAAATATATACTTTTGGGGTGCTTAAACTAAATTCTAAAGACTAAAGTTATCAAAATGCTATTAATTAAATATCTTTTTATGTATGTGAGAACTTATTGACACTGTATTATGAATATCATTGAACTCATTCATAAAGTGAGAAATCATGTCATAAGAAACATAACCGTTTATGTTCTATATGTTCCATATCAAAACCTATATTCATTAAACATTCACAACTTTACAGGCAGAGAAAGAAGGAAAATAAATAACAGTCAAGGAAATGTGGACCATGTTATACTCGAGTTAACAACTATTTTTCCTCTTAAGACCCGAAATTTCCACTTTTCTGTGATTCGGCCAAGAAATACTTATGAATAAGCTTCTCTTGACTTTAACTTCAGAAAAAGACTAGCTTATTAAGTAGGCTCATTTTTTGGATGCAAATGTTCTTCACTTGAACCAAAGGACTCATTGCTGTAAGGATTGTCCTGATGAGAACTCATACTTATCTCATAATATCTATAACTAGATGAAGTGGATGCTATTGATTCAGATGTTAGGTTCAAGCCAACAGATTGCAACATGCCTTCAATTTCTTTAACCACATCACTCATTGTGGGCCTGTCAGTTCCTGACTCTTTAACACACTCCATTGCAAGGTCCACAAACTTCTCAAAACCCTTTACTGTTGATCCTGACCAGATGGCTGGATCAATAATTTCGTGAAGACCATACCAGTCTTTTGTCTTATCAATTGAATTCCTGACCACTTTTACAATGTATTTCCCTCGTTCTATTGGCTTTCTTGCAGTTATCAGCTCCAGCATTAGCACTCCAAAACTATAGACATCACTCTTTTCAGTCAACTTCTGACTAGTATAATAATCTGGATCCAAGTAGCCCTGCATTAACAAGTTGAATGAACTCTCTTCAGTCATCACTAAAGTTTAATGTAATTTTCTCCAATGCAAAATGAAAATTCATGAATCATCTTAGATGCTTACATAAATTCATGAAAATTCTCAAAGCAGTAAAAATTTAGAATGAAAATTATTTCAAAAGTATGGAATCAGTCACTTTCCAGTCCACCTCCACTCCTTTGAAAAATAAGATGTCACCTTTCCATTAGCATTGTTGTCGCATTTTGTAGTAAAAAAGTATAGAAGATATATACAAACCATTGTTCCTTTAACTTGAGTGGTAACATGATCTTTTTCATCATCTAAGATTGACTTGGAGAGGCCAAAATCAGCAACTTTTGCATTATAGTTCTCATCCAGCAAAATGTTGTTGGATTTGATGTCCCTGTGTATAATAGGTGGATCAGCATGTTCATGAAGATAAGCCAAACCCCGGGCAGTACCAAGGGCTACCTTCAGCCTTCTACTCCAGATCAATACAATGCCAGATTTCCCTGCATAGATCATATGCATGTTAGTACTTCTTAGGTACAATATATACTCCGTTATGATAATGGATTTGACATATCTCATTAAGCAACCATTTCCTGATCTGAATATCATAATTATAAGAAAAGAAACACTGCGGCAGATATCTGGTGGTGCTTTGTAAATGTGCTTTGGGTAACACTTATGAAACTGAATAGTGAGTACTGCCCAAAGGTGGATGAAAATGAAAATGTAAATAATCATATTAAATTAGTAAAAAGATTAACAATAATATCTGATGTAGGTATCAAGCTGGATATATATAAGTACCTGAGATAGCATCCTTCAAAGTTCCATTTGGAACAAACTCATAAACCAGCATTTGTTCTTCTCGTTCAAAGCAGAATCCCACAAGGCTAACAAGATTCTTGTGGTGAACCCTTGAAAGTAGTTCAATCTCAGCTTTGAATTCTAGCACTCCCTGCTTTGATTCCTTTTGAGCTCGTTTTATGGCTATCAGTTGCCCATTGGGAAGAGTTCCCTGATAAACCTGCGAAAACCATTTATTGGGTTTATTAACAAATATTTGGCTACCTCAGTAACCACTCTTTGAATATTATTGAAATTCAAGTTGGTTAACATGTTAACTATTCAAGTTGTTGATGTTTTGAAAATAAAAATGTTTTCGCCAGGTGTTTCTAAATCATATTCTTCCTAGAATTTTAACTTTGTGAAGTTACAAGCAATACTTGTACACTATCATGAAAAAAAGTGTAGGTGAGAATCCTTCGGAACATACTACATTGAAAAAGAAATAGTCAATTTATGCATTTTTTTCACCTTTTTGGGAAGGAAAAAAATAAAATCAACTGAACAGACAGGAAATAGTAATTGAATAGTTCCGAGAAAATATCAAGTGAGAACTGTTCTTGTGAGAACAAGAAATCATGACCATTTATATATGGTTATATGGTTGAAATTTTTTATTCTCAACAATTCTTACTTGATATGCATGTATGTGTGTATGTATGTATGAGTCAAAACAATGCATCAAAGTTAACAAGAAACATTTAAGACCTTTCCATAACCCCCTGATCCAATACCATTGGCTTGTGAAAAGTTGTTTGTGTATTTCTTAATTTCTTTAAAAGAGAACTGCTTAGCTGCTTTTAACTGAGGAATGTCACAGTTGCTTTTATTTGGATCCCAGCGTCCTGCATTTTGTGAAATTTAATATAAATCAACAGAATTCCATGTGACTCTAAAGGAACTGAGTTTATAACTATTTACCAAATGGATTGCTTCTAGAAATTGCTCTTTCTGCCCTTTTCTTCTGGCGAAAAGCATAAACACTTGCAAGGACTAACAATACAAGCAGGATAAAAGAACCACCAATTGCTGCTCCAATAATTATATCAGTGTTTGATGAGTAACTCGACTCTTTAGGTCCTTTATTATGAGAAAGCAGATGGACAATTAGTATTGTTAATTCTTCATCCAGAAAATGGGAGAAAATAAGTTTTCAGTTTAGTTACCTTGACCTTGGTTTCCAGCAACAAAATTATATGGATTATTAGCACTTAGGTTGCCAAGCAAAGAGCTTATACTAGAAATGTCTTGCGGGGTGAAGTGATATTGGCCTGATGGGAAAATATATATTGTAAACTCAAAATAATGAAATGGATCTTTAGTCGAAATCAAAGAAACTGAATCCACAGGTAGGTGATAAAGTTGAAAAGCAAGCAAAATGGCTTCCTCTTGGGGTGTTTTATTTCTCCATTCAAAATATGAAGGTGCTCTAAAATTTAAATTTCCTGTATATGGATATCCACATATGCACTTGGGACTGAGAATCTGATCTTGTAGTTTTTTATCTAAGATATTGTGCATGGTGCAGTAACTCCCTTCAGCTTCTGTTTCAGTACAAATCGGGTTGGACACAAGTCTGCAGATAAAAATGCAGTTAATACCCAATGGAACTTCATTCATGTAGGGGGGGGCAAAAAAATAAAAGACTTGTAAATATTGAATCTTATGCATGAAAATAAAGCTGAACTTATTTGAGGTAACAAAATAACCTATGTATGTAATGAAAGACAGAAAAAAAGACCCAGAATACCCATGTGGCTTACATTATCGTGATATTCGGGAGTTCATTTCGTTGTATAAAGTCTTGAATTGAGTTTGACTTCATATCAATTAGTTTCAACTGTTTGCTGTAGTTGGTTCCAATATCCAAGGTTCCATTGAAGTTGTTGTTTCTTAGCACACTACGAATACATTAGATGTCAGCATTTGTCTTATATATTACTACAAAAATGGTGAATATGTAACCACGGTATATCTATAAATGTGGAGACTCTAAGATTAATCATTGAGACAGGTGACTCACACATTTTGTAAATAGGCAAGGCTGAATAAAGGAACAGGAATTTTCCCAAAAAGGTTCACATTCTCCATTTGTCTGCCGAACAACAGAAGAGCAAACTGAATTGAAGTGTTGAAATGCATCCATAGATAACTCATGGATGAAACAATTGCAAAAGAAAGACATACAGTGTTGTTAAATTCTTCACATTTGAAAGCCACGGTGGAAATTCTGACTCATCAAAGCTATTGTTGCTCAAATCCCTTCAAAATAGATTTAAAAGAATTAGCCCTTTGACACACAAGAAGCAATAACTTCTCTTAAGTTTGGGCTTTGGCCTAACTCCAAAATTTATTCAAAATGTGAAAATTGCCTTAGTCTTTATAAGTTTTACTTAGGATATATCTTTAGTCAACGTGGGATTAACACCCCCACTCACGCCTAAGATTGAAGTCATATTGCACTGTGAAAACAGTGGGACCAGGTAGGTGTTGATTGCACTAGAAGCAACTGGGAAGTCATGAGGCCGAGTAAATTGCATTAGAAAAATCTGTGTGGCTAGTTTTTTTTTTAACAGTCAAGGGTGACCCAATATCAGATCATAGGCTCTGATACCATCTTGAATTTAAACTTGATCAAACCCAATCCCAAAAGTTAGCTAGTAAAGTGAGGATTTCCTTAACACTTGTAAGCTCTACTTTAGTCATATCTATAATTGATGTGAGCTCTTAACAACTTCAAATGAAAAAGGTTAAGTATAACTATGACAAATGAATGCTTAATTACTTACAAGTATTTTAGGGAGTTCATGCCATTAAGGTTTGGCAGGGGACCACGCAGCTTATTGTTGGACAACAACCTGAAAAGCATAAAAACAAAATCCTTGGGACAATATGCATGAAGAAGAATAAAACTCTAGTTGGTACCCTATGGTTTATGTCTGCTTACAGGTCGGTAACAAGTGTAAGGTTGTTGAAGTTCTGAGGTACATATCCATCCAATGAATTATTTTCAAAGCGCCTGTAGCCACAAAAGTTTATTAAGACAAAAAGCATCAAGGAAAATTCTACATATGAATTTGTTTGAGGATGTAATAGAGTCAATTAGTCACTCACACCACCATCAGACTCTTAACAAGTCCAAGTGTTTCTGGAATACCACCAACTAGTTGATTGCTCTCAAAAATCCTGCCGGTAAAGATATTTAGAAGTGGGTTATCATCTCACTGTGGTCACATGAAGTTTCCGGTAAATATATGAAAATGGATTTTTTATTTTTTTTTGCATACTTGCTCAATCATATTCATTAATTAACTATGAATGACAAATATTAAGTACAACTTACACATGTATCAGTGTCATTTTCGAGCTAAAAAGTTGAGGAGGAATTTCTCCTGAAAACTTATTCTTCCCAAGATGACTGCAGACAATATTAGAAAGATGTTGGATAGATTTATTTATCACATTAAGAAAATCACTGACTCAGAAAAAGTGGCAGCTGAAGAGAATTGACGTACAAATGCTGTGTATTAAGTAACATATCAAGACCTGGGCTAGTGCCACTAGATACTGGGATGGATCCATCAAGCTGATTGTCAGCTAAATCTAGCCAAGTAAGGTTTGACAGATACCCAATAGAAGGTGGAATTGGTCCAACAAAATTGTTGGAGTTTAAAGATCTACAATAAGAGGTTGCTGATTTAGAGTATCACCCAATAATTCAGCACACCACCAAAAGGGTATAATTTAAATTGATTCACCGAAATAAATTAAAAAAATAAACAGTAAAAATAAATCTTACAAGAAAACAAGCTCTTGGAGAAATCCTATTTCATATGGAATACGACCAGTAAAACCACAACCAACAAGAATTCTGGAAGATAAATTAAAAGTATAACTCTTGTTAGAATTGTTTCATCATGCTTGTACAAGATAGGGCTATAGATTTATAAAGGATCAGGTTATGAACTCAAACAATCAATATTTCCATACAATTTTGATAGCTTCTTCAAGTTTCCAATTTCTCGTGGAAGTGATCCTGTTAGGCCTCTATTGTATGAAAGATCCCTATAGAAGGAGAAAACAATAAGGAAAGATCATAAAAATTGGTCTCTAATTTAATGCACAAACAAATGAAATGATGATTCATTTGGATTCTCTTCTAGTCACTGGGCCCAACATAATCTCATGGCTTTGTTAAACCTTTCTTTTATTTATTTCTCCTTAGTAGAATAGTCTATATATGATAAGTAAGAATTATTTTAGATCCTTTCAATCTGTAAATTCAAAGGCTTACAGAATCTTCAATTCAGAGAGTGATCCAATATCTCCAGAAAGCAGGCCAGTCAAACCAGTGTCTGGTAATGATCTGAAATAGCTAGCAGGTTATACTCTCTCAAAAGTGCAGATTAATTCATGTGAACACTAAAGAAAGCAGAAATAATCAAAAGAGACCTTACATGGAAATTACACGTGAGTTTTTGCACTTAATGCCATCCCAACCATTGCAAGAATCTGAACCCACCCAACGAGGAATTGTGTTCGGCCATGAATCCCTCAGAGACTTTAGGACTATAACTGCACAAGAATTTACGTTGGAAAGTCCAGTTATGTTTCAGTCATTGAAGTCTTCAATCTTAATACATACAAGTATGCAAACATATGATTAAACTTTGGACATGCAAAAGGTAAGATCCTATATAAATATATAATGAAGGGCTTCTCTCTATTGCTTAAGAAATCATACTTTCTTTGTTTCTGATGTTGTGAAGATTAGTATCTAACACTTATGATCACAGGACATATAATCAGAATAGAACTTACAATCATTGGTAACTTCTTGTGCTGCTGCAAACAACAAGTAATTGAAGTAAAGCACCAATTGTACTAGTGTTCTTACACCCATTATCAACTTGAAGTATAACTCAGAATCATGCAACTCTCATTAACTGTAATGTTGATTAACAAAATTCTTTGATATTATCCACTCACCACCTTATCCACTTATAGGAAATTTGATGATAAACCCAAAAACAACATGAAGTTTTTCTTTTCTTCTTCCTGTTTCTGTCACACCGAGTCAATGGATTGAACAGCATGAATAGAATTAAATGAGAAAATATACATAAATCGCCAAAAGATATTTGACGTAAACATGATTTTAATTTTAGTCTTTTAAATGTTTTTGTTGGTTTTAATCTTCACATAATTAGAAGCTTTTAAAATAATTTTTGGTCATCACCTAGTTTCATTATTTGAGGTGGCATAATTTGATGTACGACATGATATGTATTTAAACATGTTACATTATTAGTGAATAGTAATAAAAAATGTTTTAAAATTTTAAAATTTCTGAAGTTTAATTAGGGGAATCAACACTAAATAAAGGTGAATATATATTTTAAATAAGTTCATTTTCTTATAGTTGTGAATTATTTTTTTGAAACTTACTATTGGAACTTGCTTTATTTAAGACCACTTCTCTAATTTTAAAATAATTAAAAATTTAAAGTATCTTTTATAAATCAAATCTAATAAGAAGTATCTACTTGTTAAATTAATTTTTAAAAAATTCCCCTTGTGATGAAACACTTGTGAATATATATTTCTGGAAAAACTTGTTGACTAACAGTTGTGTATGGCAATTGTGACTTATAAAAAGTGAAAAAGAAATTCGAATGGAGACATGAAGCGTTGTCTTGTCAGTATTTGGAAGCAGACCCTAAATCAACCCTTGAAGTCTTTCTCAAGACCAATATCAAAAGTTATTTGTAAAAGGTTTGTTTGAATTATTTTTGTTTTTTTTAACATGAGTTTAAGTACATATAATAAAGATTAATAAATAAAAAAATCAATTATATTTTTTTTGATATTTTATGATTTTTAATAAAAATTTATAATACAAGTTTTTATTATGTATTTTTAGTCACAAGTTAAAAAAATCAAATTATTTTGTAAGATAAATAACTTAATTTTAAGTAAATAAAAATAATATAATTTTTATAATAATGTTTTCCATTGAAGAACAAAAAGCATTATTTGTGTACGTAATATTTTTCAAGGACAAAATCTAACTGTATTTTAATTTTTTTCAGATTAAAATAAAAAATTAATTTTAACAATTAATATTGATCTTTAATATTAATTTTTATTGTGTCATGTAAAAAATAAATTTTAATTTTAGTTAGAGAAAAACATACAAAAATATTTATTGTGCACAAATTTTGTTCACTTTTTAAATGATACACATTTGCCAATTTTATGAACTATTTTATGCCCTCTTTAACTTTAATGATTGATTATTGTAAAATAAGTTCTCATTGTATTAGAAAGTAATGATTATTAAAATTTGTTTCACTAATAATTAAGATATATTTTACCCCCTTTAAAGTGACTCTAGGGTCAGGTTGAATTTTTCTCTCATCATTCTAAATAATAGTCTTTTGATGACTCCACTTGCAAGACTTAAGTTGCATGTCATAATCTCACACATATATGGAAGAATTGACTCCACTTTCATCACATAGTAGAGTTGACTGAGCCAACTCGCTTAATAAAAATTACATTTAATTAAGTCTTCGGTTCCTTAAAAAATTACATAATTTAGTTTTAATTTAAATAAAATATTTTGTTAGAATATACTTAACTCTAATCTTTTAAACATATAAAATTAATTAGTATTTATTAAAAATGAATTTAAATATTTTATATTCTGAACGTGGTAAATATTTTAGATAGAAATTTGCTATTTTTACCAACTAAAATTAAATTATTAAAAATGTGGATTAAATTGTTGGAATGAAAGCAACTATAACTTTCAGATTTGAATGAAATATAACCATGCCTATTATTAATTATTATCATCTATCGATTTCCATTTTTAATGATTTTCTTCTTTTGCTAAAATATTTTTTATTAGATAGTTAATTAAATTAACTATCAATCTATTGCTACCCGTGTTTATGTAAACTTTTAATTAATAATATCAGTAATACAAAAATTAAACATACAAATCATTTTTAAAATTAGTTTTAATCGACACAAGGTTCTAAAACTTCTAGGCAAAGCATTAAATGCAAACAATACTCTCATTAAAATGAAAAGCAAAAGTTATTAAATGCAATTTAAGATCTAATTAAACTGAGTTCAACTCCTCTCCATTTACGCCCTCTCGAGTAAATGCAAAAGTCCCACTTCCCAGTCACATCATAGTTCTAGTTGTAGCATAGCTTATCCAGTTAATGTGTCTTTATTTCTTTATTATTGATATGGGAAATATTAATAATACTCTCTTATAATATCTTTTTTTTTTTTTAACATATTTCATGTTATAGATTGAGATTTATTGTAACTAATTAAATTATGGATGAAATTTATTCTAACAACTCTCAAAATAATAAGTGTGTTAAAAAGGTATATTATGTAATTTGTTTTTTTTTTTTTTATAATATATGTTATCATATTTACTGGTTCATAAGAAGCTTCCATTATGATAGCAAGAGTGCAAAGTAAATAAATTTAATTTATTTTAATTTTCACCATAAAATGTTGAATGCCTAACATTCAAAATATGGCTATTATTGACAGGTAAAAGAAATTTATTTTTGAGCACTAGGAGAACAACTATATAGGTGTTTCTTTGTTTCAAAGGTATATTTCTAAAATGCATGTATACAAAAAAAAAAAACAAAAATACTATATTATTTTTTATTATTCAAACAATAGAACTGAACTAATAATATTACACAATCTTGCCACTTACAAGTAAACCTGAACACAAGCCATTTCCATATGTTCAAAAGTAACATATGTTACAGAATCCTAGCCAAAAAAATCTAAAAACGAAGACTTTGTGAAATTTTACATTACTTTTTAACCAATTTACATGACAATCTCTAAGTTGAAAGGTGAAAAAGAAATACTGACATAGGCTTAATTTATGGACGTGGAAGTACCACACTTGAGTCAAAGTATTCATTATCATAAGGGTGAAGGGAACTCCCTTTACTTACATTATAACTAGATGAAGTGGATGCTGATTCAGCATTTGGGTTTGAACCAGCCAATTGCAACATGTTTTCAATTTCTTTCACCGCATAATTCATTGAAGGCCTGCTAGAACTTGACTCTTCAACACATTGCATTGCAAGATCCACAAACTTCTCAAAACCACTAATTGTTGTCCCCAAATCAATAGCTGGATCAATAATTTCCTTAAGACCATAGAATTCCTTTGTGTTGTCAATAGCATTCTTAACCACTTTAACAATGTATTTCCCTCTCTCTATTGGTCTTCTTGCAGTTATCAGCTCCAACATTAGCACTCCAAAGCTATAAACATCACTTTTCTCAGTCAACTGTTGAGTCATATAATACTCCGGGTCCAAGTAGCCCTTCATCAAAAACAAAAATCCATTTTCATCACTTCATTTTGATAAGATTCAAAATTTCTTGAATATAAAATGTTAGATAGTGTTTTTTTTTTGTCTTCATATGAATTGCAATGAAGAGATGTTAATCACAATCATAAGTTAATGGTATTGAAGATTAAAGGTTTCAGTATCATAGCTTTCAAATACCATTTCTTCCATCATGTGACACTCTTTCAAATGAAGTGTACATGTACGTACGTGAGAGAATGCATGCAAATTGGTAGCTTTAAAGCGAGTCAAAAGGTGGGCTTATCATGCTTATTAACTAGCATATGATTCTCAATTTTATTTTCAGACATCATATTTTCTTGAAATTTTCATGGTCTTAACTTTCCAAAGAGAACTCATTCTTTTTATTGTCGGAGATATTTAAGGTTTCATGCTTTTATATTTTTAAAAATTTCATTAAAATCAACTTATAGTGTACAAACTTTAAAATCTAACAATTAGACATCAAAAGTCACTTTCCAACGAGTAATTATGATCTCACTATAGTTTAAAACTTTAAAAACTTATTTAGTTTGGAGGATAAAATACGAACCATTGTTCCTTTGACTTGAGTGGTAATATAACCTTTTGCACCATCACCCAACGGCTTGGAGAGACCAAAATCAGATACTTTAGCATTCAAGCGCTCATCCAGCAAAATGTTAGTGGATTTGATGTCCCTATGTATGATAGGAGGATTGGCAAGTTCATGCAGATAATCCAGTCCCCTCGCAGCACCGAGGGCTATTTTTAGCCTTCTAATCCAGTCCAATCTAATTCCTGATCTCCCTGTTCACACCATAAATATAATCATAGAAGATTAATATTATTGTTACAACAAATTTTCACAATATTTTTCATATTTTTAATATCTTTTTCCGTCACATCATTCATATTCTCTTATACTTTCTCTCGGATGTAAATATTTTTGTGAGAAACATGTGAAGATAGTATTACTCAACTCTACTCTTTTTCTAAAGACAAGTTCTCCTTAAAGTTTGTGTGCTGTTAGAATACAAATTATCCTATTTTTCAATTCAAATCATAAGCAAATTTGTTTCAGTTTGATTTTCGAAAAAATAATTACCTTTTTTTTTTTTATAAAAAAAAAGGCTCTTTCAAACATTAACTAATAAAGTTATTTATTTATAATAAATTAATCTAAACACACTCTAATAACGTGAAAGTGTGAATAAATATGTACCTGAAAGAGTATCCTTCAAAGTACCGTTTGCAATATACTCATAGACCAACATTTGTTCTCCTTGCTCAAAGCAGAAACCGATAAGACTAACAAGATTTTTATGGTGGACCCTTGATAGAAGTTCAATCTCAGTTTTAAACTCCAACCCTCCTTGCACAGATTCCTTTTGAGCTCGTTTTACAGCAATTAGTTGTCCATTGGGAAGAGTTCCCCTATAAACCTGTCAACATTACCTTTAATAAGACACTTTATAAATGTATATTAAAAGGTTATGTAGTGTTATAGGTATAAACTTTCCAACAAAATATCTCATTTTCTCTTCCTGAAAGAGTAATATAACCATGTGATGGTATTAATGGAAAATACATGATTCTGTACAACTAAGGTTTGCTACTCTACACATAACACTGGGATTGAATCTGTCATCTAGGTTGAGAATGAATCCTATTATGTTAAATTTTCATATGACTGTGTCATGTGAAAATTTTATGTAGCCCCGCTCTTTATAAATAGACAAATGCTAGCAGCACAATTTTTAACACTCTCTTTCAAACATACTCTTTATTATTGGTCAAATTTATTGAAAATTACAAAATATACGTGGTCTTATTCATAATTTAATCAATTTTTAATTAATAACTGAAAATATGTTAGAAAAAAGTGTGTTAATGTGTTTCTAACACTTCTCTGATATTCACAAATTTTGATAAGGCCTTGTGTATTTACATGATTGAATCGGTCACATTGTTTAGAATGGATCCTATTATGTTAAATTTTCACATGATTGTGTCGTGTGAAAATTTTAGATCTGGCATATTATTGGGGGATAGTCTTAGATACATATTTTAAGGCATAAGTTCTGCTGTGACCAACTGCCAACTGCGTAGGTTTGCATAGATGTGATTGCATTGCAATTAATCAATTTGACTATTGCTTAACGAACTACTATGAAGAAATGAAGTAAACAAGAGGGATGCATTAAGTACCTTCCCATAACCACCTGATCCTATGTTATTGCCTAGTGAGAAGTTTTTGGTGAAGTTCTGTATCTCTTCAAAAGTGAAGCGCCTTGCTCCTTTTAACTGTGGGACACTACTATTGCTCTCATCCGGATCCCATTGTTCTGCATTTTATGAAATCAAATCAAATATATATAAATAAATTCAACTCCACATTGATAGCTTTAAAGTAGGAGCTAAGTATACATTTATCTTACCAAAAGAAATGCTTTTCCCAGTTGCTTTTTTTGCATTTTTCTTTTGTCTGAAACCATAAACACTTGCAAAGAGTAATAACACCACTAGGACAGCACCACCAGCAGCAGCTCCAGCTATGATGCCAATGTTTGAAGATTTACCATTTGCCGCAGGACCTAATACTAAATAACAAGAGAAAGGTACAATATGAAAATGGATCACTTACTATGGTTAATTTCGTTATTATATGTAGAATCAGATATACCTGAATCATCTATAAAGTGTTCATACACATCACCAATAAAAGAATATGGTCCAAAACCATAACCTTTGGGAGGTGAATATTCCTGGTTGCTAAGCATGAGGCCTACCCTAGAAATTGCTGTTCTATTGAAACGTTCTTGGCCTGATGGAAACACTTGTAAAGTCAAATCAATATACTGAAATATATCCTTCCTTGGATTGCTTATATTAACTGAATCCACAGGTTGATCATACAGTTGAAAAATGCTCGTCATAGATTTATCCAGGATTTCATAGAGAGTACTGTTTCCCAAGCCTGAGAAGTAAGGAGCTCTGAGAGTAAAAGTTCCTGTATATGGGTATGCACATTTGCAGTTGGGACTTAATATCTGATCTGATGAGTTGCAAGCAACATGCACACAGTTATTTAGTGGTGTTAAATCTGAATCATTGGATTTTCCAGTGGAGCAATAAGATTTTACGATTCCTGTTTCTCGGCAAACTGGATTATCCACAAGTCTGCAGATAAGTATATATAATATTAATAGAGATCAACCTTATAAGAGGGAAAACAAAAACAAGATGAAAATATTGTATTTGTACATTCAGAGAAAATGTCTTCTTCTCTAGAAGTAATGAAACCACCAATTGTAAAAACTAATCACTATAATTATGGCTTACATTATCTCCACTTTGGAGATATCAACTTGTGGATCAAATTTTCCGATTAAATTCCCCTGCAGATCAATGAGTTCCAGTTGGTTGCTGATTGCTGTACCAATATCTAAAGTGCCATTTAGCAGGTTATTTTTCAGCACCCTATGATGAGTCACAAAAAAATTAGATTATATATTGATATAACAAAAATGAAAAAAAATTATCACTAGCAAATATATTTTAACTTTGAGAAACCTGCCAGATTTTTCAGTATTAATGTGTGCTTACACTGTCTGTAACTGTCCCAGCTCAAACAAAGAAACAGGAATGCCTCCTTGAAGTTTCGTATTTTCCATTATTCTGCCTTACAGGTAAAAAAAACTATTAGCACTTAGTTGTTATAACCTAAGATAATGAAAGCTGATAGGTTGAAGAGTAGATAAGGAAAGACATACATTGCTGTCAGAAACGGTAGAGTTGATAACCACGATGGAAAATCTGATGGATCAAAACTATTATTGCTCATATCCCTTCAAAATAATTTAATTAGCCAAGTTAGCCATTGTTACAAAATTAGTATTCATTTTGAGTGAGAAAGATTATATAGAAAAAATAAAAATATCTCAGATGAATGGTTTACTAATTACAGGTTGTTAAGGGCATTCATTCCAGTGAGGTTTGGCATGGGACCAGATAGGCGATTGTTGGACAGGAGCCTGACAGATATAAAATCAAAACCTCAATCAACAACATAGTTAGAATTTATCACTAAGGATACCGATATTCTACCTAAGTAGTAATGAAAACTTGTTTGGAAAATTGTTTTCTCAACTTACAAATCCTCAAGGTTTGTAAGATTGTTAATGTTCAGAGGCACAGGTCCAGTTAAAAAATTAGAATCTAAACGCCTGCAGTCACAAAAATATATTTCAGGATAAAAAAAAAATCCATTTAATAATTTAAGTGTGAGATTTGGACACTCACACCACCTCCAGAGTCTGGACCAGTCCAAGTGTTGATGGAATGCTGCCAGTAAATTTGTTGTGCTCAAAAAGCCTGCCAAAAAAATAATTTTATAGACATAAATTCATGATTTCCATAATCACTTCCCACCCTGCCCTCCTTAGCCTCTCTTGCTTTTAATTTTCAAATTAATTCATAATTCAACCTTTGTTTCTCCTTCATTGTACAATGAGAGGCAACCAAAGTTTGCCAACTTAATGCTAAATAAGTAAGAAAGATATTAACAACAAACCTTCACTTTGGTCCTCCAAACTCACAAGTGTCACCACATTATTAGTTCTTCAAAATTTGGGCCACCAAATTAGCCCCTCAAATTTAAATCGTTACCACATTATTCATCTAAAGATTTTGTCACCAAATTAGTTTTATAGAGGATTAAGTAGTCACAAAAATAATTTTTAAGGGGACTAATTTGTTTACATTAATTCTCTTAAGAACTAATTTAATGACAAAATATTTAGAGGACTAATGTGATAACAATTTAAATATTTAAAAGACTAATTTAATAGCTCAAAATTTTAAAAGACTAATGTATACTTTAAATTTAGAGGATTTAATTGACAGTTTTCTCAATATATTATTATTAACCTATTAGAAGTTCGTTCAAAGAGAACCTCTACTGTAGAAATCACAAAAGAAAACAAAACAGAAGAAAGAAGTAATGTTACAGAACAGGCTGGGGTGACTCACTTCAGCATACTACATTATATATATATTTTTCTCATGATAACGAGTCTTGATAAAAAAAAGATATATTTTTTAATACTTTCTGTTATATATTATAAGCTAACTTTTCTGAAAGTTAAAAAAAAAAATATTTTTTTAGTAACACTCATGTGTATTCATCTATACTTAAGCATTGGTTCAAATGTTTGAGCCGATAAAAAATGACTTTTCAATTAGACACCTATTGCAAGGTGTGGAAACGTTTCCAACACTGTAACATTTCAAACAAGAGGCTTCATATTCTAATGCTTTGCTCCATTTGTTCAATGATGCAAATAAATTGAAGAAAATATAGGGTTGGATCTTACACATGTTTTAGAGTCATTTTCGAGCTAAAAAGCTGAGAAGGAATATTGTCTGAAAGCATATTCCCGCCAAAATGACTGTAGATAATGGAAATATATTAAAAGGAATTTGATATACTTAAAGCAAATTACTATTAGATAGTGCCAACTTTTACAAAAGGGATTTCACATACAAGTGCCCTGCATTGACCAACAAATCAAGACCAGGAGTAGTTCCATTAGATATTGGAATGGGCCCATCAAGCTGGTTTTGAGAGAAGTCTAGCCAATTGATATTTGACAGATTACCAATTGAAGGTGGAATGGGCCCGCTGAAGCTATTAGAATTTAAAGATCTGCAATTGAAGTTAACTTTTTTATATTAAGAGATATCAGTAGCACAAAAAAATTACCAAGACTGTAAAAACATGAAGTGGAAATATGATACTCAAAACATAGAGCTCCATATAGGAAGTACAAAGGGTTTTAAAATGCAATTTTCATCCAATGGATTATTGTTAAGCCAAATGAACTGGCCTATATATATGTGTGTGTCTTTTAAAAATAAAGCAAACAGCAATCCTTACAAGAACTTAAGCCGTTGTAGATTTCCTATTGTATCTGGGATAGGACCATAGAAACCACAACCAATAAGAGCTCTGAAACACAATTAGAAAGAGCATTGTTAAGTGTGGTTTGCTAAAACTTAATCAGATATGGTTATAATCTTAACAGCATTCATTACTGCCTTACAAGTTTGTCAGCTTTTTCAAGTTTCCAATTTCACTAACAAGTGTTCCGGTTAAATTTGTATTGTAAGACAGATCCCTGCAAAGGAAAAGTCAGAACAAAGCAAAGTATCACTTTATGAAAATGGTTCCTAATACTAAAATCACACAATTCCATAGATATTTTCCAAACATCAATCTGCAAGATGCTCAACCCTTAAGATTATTTTGATGTATATTCCACCCATTTTAAAAAGAAGTTATATACTTGATCATTGTCAATAGGTGATGGGATTTCTTAAATTTGGACTTGAGCCTAACACACACAACACCAAAAGGTAGCTTGTAAGGTGAGGAAATTACAGGACTGATACTTTTTCTAAAATTGATTTGGGAAAGTCGGGGGACTAGGTAGGTTGCACCGGAAAATCTATAAGGCCAAGTTTTTCTTTATTCAGTTAAGGGTAGCCCTAATATTGAATTTAGGAAAGATAGATTTGATACTATCTTAAATTTGGGTTAAGGCCTAACTCAACTTTAAAAGCTAATTCACAAAGTAATGATTGTTTTAGCCTTTAAAATTCTATTTTAGTAATATTTGTAATCGATGTGAGACTTCAGATAGGGTTGAATCTGAGCATTGTTACACATCCATTCAACTGTGACTTAAATATATATTATAAGAAAATACCAAAGTACTAGACATACAAATACACCAATTCAGACAGTGATCCAATTTCTGAAGGAAGCTGGCCAGACAAACCCGTGCTAGCTAATGATCTGAAATACTGGAAGCCAAATTAATAAAATAGAAGGCAATTCAGGAGAAGGTACCAAGTTCACTTAAGAATTTGAAAGATACACTACATGGAAGTAACACGTCCATTGGTACAATAAATTCCATCCCAACTGTCACCAGATTCACCACAAGGATCGGAGCCCACCCAAGTAGGTGGTGTGTTCTGCCACTCATTCCTTATAACTGTCAGAGCTGAGACTGCATCAGAAATAAAAAAAGATAGTCAAAGACATATTTCAATCCCTTAATCTCAATAACAAAATTGTAGCACAAGATAAGAGTGAATGCTGAAAGATTGATTCTGAAGTTTGATGCTCATCAAATATTCAGATTTTTTCACAACTGAAATAACAGGTTGAATATTTCTTATTTAAATATGTTAAAGACTAGTTCTGTAGATTGAGAACTCCTAATGGAACATGAGTATCCAAATCCTTGCCATTTGGATAATGAGAAAAATATTCAACACACAACATAACCTTAAAATGGAACTTACTATCATTAATTGCTGTTCTTGCTATTGCAACCAACGAATAACTGAAAATGAATAGTAGGAATACTAGAATTCTTTCAGCCATGATCATGATAAACTTAAAGGAAGACACAACACTTTGATACTCTTATAACTGTCTAATACTGAATAAAAAGATCATTTTATTGACATTACAGTATAAATATAGAAAATCCCCCATCACTTCATTACATCAATGGAGAAAAAGTCAACTACCAGATAGTTCTTTCTTTTTATCCACTGTCCATCTCATCTATTAAAAAAATTAAATGATTAAACAACTTGATTAAAAATGTTACTCATTAATACATTAAGAACTACATTAGCTAACAACCATGGCATATTCCTACATTTGAACAAAAGTATAAAATAATGATCAATAGGATTAACAGCATACAAAGTCAATAATCACATCAACATAGAATTATGCAAATTCAACACAAAAATGAAACTGGTTGGCTCGGTACCTTAAATTAAGATTATATTACACAGGGTACCATATATACTAGGTACATAAAGTATTGCCAGGTACACAAAATTTTCCATAATGTATGAAAGATTTAAAATTATGATTTTGTTTACTTCAACTTCCATATTATGATTTAAAAGTAATAACATTTAGGACTAAACTTAAGTGCAGCATCTTATGTATATATTATCGAGGTGAAACTCTAACTCTGATTGGAGAATAATATCAATAGTGTAGTTTTGTCCAAACATTTATTGGAAAATGATATATTTATTATCTTGGAGATACAAAAGTGCAGTAAATACTTTCTTGTTTCATAGAAAAATTTACTTTTGAATATTTAAACTCAACTCTATGAGTAGAGTTGAGGTTATTAAAATAATGACAATAGGGCATAAGTAGTTACTTATGTACATCCAACGCAATTTGACTTTCTCAGGTTTTGAATGTTTCTGCGCCAACCTAACTATCTCACCCCTTCAGACAATGTTGTATGTCGCTGTCTGGCCACCACAAGCAAGGAAGATGTCTACTTTCATCAAGTTTCATCAAATTAGAAATATTGGGCTATAGCAAGGACAAATATCTTAAGGTTAAAAAACAAGAACATTGACTTGAAACTTGTGTTGACGTTAGGATAAGCAACGTGACTAAATTTAAAAAGAAACAAGAAGAAACCTAATCTAAATAAGGGAAAATTTCTGATTGGCTGTTTGTATTGACTTGCAGGTGACTTGCAACAAACCATAAAGAAAAATTCTACATTTTGATTTATTGAGAAAAAAATATTTAGTTGGTTGATTGTACAAATAAGGACAGAGCTCTATTACAATAATAATATTTGAAAAGGTTAAGATAAGAGTAACTGAATCTTTCTTCTACCTACACACTTCTTTTTAATACATAATTTTGTATAAACTTCAGACCAAGTATAATTTTGTGCGTGTGCGCACACACGTATATAAAATTTAACCAGTAGTGCAGTTATAATATACTAAAATATAGAGTTTCTACACATTTAATATCATTTTTAATTTATTTTATTAAATTTTATACTCAAATTTATGATATAAGCTTTAATGTAATAAAAAACTATTAAATCAGTGCATAGTTAAGTTAATCATACAAATATACCGGTAATCCATTTTAACGTGAACGAGTTTTCTAAGTACAATCTTTTCTTTTTCAATAACTATAGGCACTTAAGGTGGGGAAGGGAAATGCAATAACACGAATCTGCAGCAAGGGAAACAGAGGAATAGTACTATTCTTGACCAACAGCTTTCTATATGTGTGGCAAAGCATCATAAAAATTTGCATTGATTAAAAACAAACATAGTAAGGTTGCATTAAAAAAATTGATAAAATCATGAAAATGCAATAGTGCGAGACATTGAAGAGAAAACATATGATCAACAAGAATTATAATCATCTTTGAGAAGTGTCATTCAATTTTAGGTCACAGACTTTAAACTTTACATGCTAAAAATCTCGTCATGAAAATATAATTTGTTTTTTAACAAAATTGATAATATTTTAGATTTTTATTTTTTTAAACGTTTTTCTTTCTTCATTACCCTACAGTGGTACACAGAAACAGGGTATGATCAACGGTGAACTCGTAACGGCTACTTTTGAGTTGATAGTTAAATGGAGAAGAAGCTACAAAGAAGCGTTGACTTTGTCATGGAACTTCCACTGTCACTGAGAGGAATATCAGAAACAGAGCCATTCCAATTAGAGAAAGCAGTGTGTAGCCATGGCCTCTTCATGATGGCACCAAATTACTGGGACCCACTCTCCAAAACCCTCACGCGCCCACTGCGCCTCCACGATGCTCCTTCTTCTTCCTCTCTCATCGTTTCTGTTTCTCAGCGTCTTTCATCCCTCGCTGTTAGGGTTCACGGTACCCACTACCTCTCCCCTCAGCAAGAACGCGCCTTGATGGTACCTTTCTCCTTAACCGATTCTTACAATTCGTGGGTTTCGCTCCGAATTTTGATTTGGGTAGTTCTGTTCCGACGCCGTTTTAGGGTCAGGTGTCGAGAATGTTGCGTTTCTCCGAAGCGGAAGAGAAAGCTGTGAGAGAGTTCAGAAGCATGCCCGTTGATCATCAAAATAGAAGCTTTGGTGGAAGGGTGTTTAGGTCTCCCACGTTGTTCGAGGACATGGTTAAGTGCATACTTCTCTGTAACTGCCAGTGAGTCATGCTCGCTATGTGTTTGGCATTATGCCTCACTGTGCAAATCCTTTCTCTTTTTTTTTTTTTCCAGTAAATACACAAATTGGTCCTTGAAAGTGTCACTCTGCACTTTTGATTCTTAAAAAGTTTTAATTTGTACAGTTTGATCCTTGAATGTGTTAACTTGTTCACAATTTTGTGCTTTTTTGGGATTTGATTGGTCCCTCGAAGTGTCAGTGTACAATTTGGTGGGATAAAGATCAAAATGTGATTAAGTTAACACATTTAGGGAAATTATACGAAACAAAACTTTAAGAGACTGTAGATAAACATGATGTTATTTTGAGTGATCAAATTGTATATTTATTCTTTTTTTTTAAAAAAAAAATTTGTTCTGTTCTCTCCAATGGCTGCTTAAAAAGGTGCTCGCTTGCCTTTGTTCTTTTGTTAATTCTAGTAGTGGTGGTGTGGTGTGTCTATTCTTTGTTTCCCTTTTCAAGTGAGTAACTTGGGAAACCCAAACCTTTCAGGTGGCCAAGGACTTTAGGCATGGCTCAGGCACTTTGCGAGCTTCAGTTGGAACTGCAAAATGGATCACCCCGTTCTGTTGCAGTGTCAGGCAATCCAAAAGTTGAGACTGATGGCTTCATTCCCAAGACACCAGCTGCTAAAGAGATCAGGAGAAAGGGTTGTGATTCGTCTGGTGTTTCAACAGGAGGCATGTTTGTTAAGAAGAAATTAGAGTGGGAAGTGGATGGAAATTTGCCAATGGACCACTTACTGGAATCTAGTTCAAACATGACCTTGCTTCCAACAGATAATGGCAATTCAGAAGAGCTAAGCCTAAGTGCAGATGATTCACATCTTCAAGTTCCTAATGGAAAAGAGTATTTTAACCGTACTGGAAATTTTCCATCCCCGAGTGAGCTAGCAAACCTTGATGAGAGTTTTCTGGCAAAGCGATGCAGACTTGGGTATAGAGCAGGTTATATAATAGAACTTGCTCGAGCAATTGTTGAAGGAAAAATTCAATTAGGACAGCTTGAAGAACTCTCCAAAGATGCAAGTTTATCCAGCTATAAGCAGCTTGAGGATCAGCTGAAGCAAATTAAGGGATTTGGCCCATTTACTCGAGCAAATGTACTTATGTGCTTGGGATATTACCATGTCATTCCAACAGATACTGAAACTATTAGACACTTAAAGCAGGTGCTGTCTTCTTGCTCTCCTGTTTCATTTTATCTATATTGAAACTATGCAGTATTCTAACTTTTCCTTATGTCGTATTGTCTATTTCTGAATGTCTTTATGTGTATGAGATGTGTTAATGCAGGTTCATTCAAGAAAATCAACCTCTCAAACAATTTTGAGTGATGTTAAAGAAATTTATGGAAAGTATGAACCCTATCAGTTCCTGGCATACTGGTTAGTGACAACATAACCAAATCTAAAACTACCTTTATATTCTAGTGTTAATGTCTTGGTGTTTTATGAAGGATCTATAACTACCTTACTGGGTTCTTCTTTCGGCCAGGTCTGAGATATGGGACTTCTATGAAAAACGGTTTGGGAAGATGAATGAAATGCACCCTTCTGACTATAAACTTATAACTGCTAGTAATATGAGAAGTGCTAGTAAAAACACAAGGAAGAGGAAGATACCATGCTGAAAATGTCAATGCTCTTACTCTCCAAAGAAGTGCTAGTAAAAACACAAGGAAGAGGAAGATACCATGCTGAAAATGCCAATGCTCTTACTCTCCAAGTGCATTCTTCATTTTGTTGAGCTTATATACCTATTTGAACAATGTGTTTGGGTAATTTATTGTTTCAATGTTTATAAGGTTTTTTGTTACTTCCTCTGGTAATTTTCTAAGAAACAACTATAACTATTTTTTTGTACAAATTATAAGAAACAACCTCCCATTTTCAGATATATTAATTTCTATTTCTTTTTATAACTTTATTGTTGTGAGATTTGTGCTACCAACACATCCATCTATATCTCATATATAAGTGGATATTTTCATTCATTTCATGAGTCATCAATTTGACTATTTATTACTGTGAGTCTACGAGTATTTTTAAAATACAATATAAATTATGTTATATAACTGTTTTTTTATTGACCTTGATGAATTGATTATTTGTTTCTTATAAAAATGTCTGGAATAAGTACGTAGATTACCCATATTCATGGTTTGAGATAGCACTGAAATTTATCTTCACCTGTTAACTTTATTTATCTTGTGTTTTGACTCCACACGCCGAATAGGATAGATATTAACAAAAAGAATGATTGTATGAGAACATCAAAAGGGGCTTGTATGTATATTACAAACACCACACACCCCCCCCCCCCCCCCCCCCCCCGTCTCTTTCCCTTCGATGTGCCCGAGAATGCACCAGGAATATTTCACAAAAACTAGACAAGGTTTATGACTTGCAACCCAAATCAATAATTTATTTACTGTCCATGGTGCAAAGTGCAACAAAATGGTGCTCAGCAATCTTTGTTGCAAGATGTATATAGCACTTGTTGCTGAGTCAGTTTACTTCTGCAGCAATCTCAATAACTTAGTATCATGTCTCATTCCCGTGTCAATCCATTCAAAATGTCTCCAAAATGATAAGTGGAATCCAATTGTTGTCGTTATAAGGTAAAAATATTTGTGCTGAAAATTTGGCGAATAATAGATTTAGTGTTCTGCGTCTGGCTGGTTCTCAGGCAAGGATCTCTTTGTATGCTTCATGGAGTCCTGCCAGAACGAATAAGTAGGTTGTCATATGATGGACTTAAGCCACGGATTTTGATGTGTCCTAAAATTATTCAGACGATAAACCAAGATCATGTTATCTATAACAATGAAGGTCATGAAAAAATTCAAGAAACAAAAGAAGAAAAAAAAGTGAAATAATGTGCATTGAGATCCTCATCAATCTCACATTGATCTTGTGTGTGGTTTTATATTTTCTTAAATAAATCATACATCATATATATTTAAGATGAAATAATATATAACACTAACTGTTAAGAACACTAGAAAGTAAGAAATTTTGAAACCAAAATCATGTTATTAATACAATGACGAAACTTGATTTTATAATTTATTACTGAAGTTTAATGATTATGGAAACAAAGTCAAGGGTGGGAACGGATATCAATATCTTAAACCCCGCCCATCCCTTTCCTCTGTTTATGTATTAGGAAAATTCATCAAATAAATTTTATTAATTTGATTTGTTTTTAATTGAAATTGAGATGAGAGTTAAGTGGTTAGCTTATTAATCTTTAAAATCTCTGACTTATCTTTACTTTTAAGTATTTTTGTACATTACTTTTATTTTAGTCACATATTTATTTAATTGTTGAAATTATTCTGACAAGAGGGGAATTAATGGCTACCTTTTTGCCCCCATCAATTGAAGGGACATTGCATAAAAGAAACCACCACAAAAATATTGATACATTATTATTAAACAAAATTAAAGGTAGTTTTCTAATTATTTTCCGATATTAAAAATTGTCTTTGCATGAGGAAGGAAAATGAAGAGGGAAGCAAGAGGGCACCTGGGAATATAGGGAACACAAAACAATAAGTGGACCTCTCCTTCTCCGCTGTCTATTTCTTTCCAGTTACCATACTCATTGTCTTTCCCCCCACTGTCTCTTTTTCTTATTTATTTGTAGCCTTACACAAATATAATAAGATAATATATTCTAAAATTTTAATTTTAATAAATTCACTACCTCAAGTTGAAAATCCTCATTCTATGCCTGCCTTGTGGAGACAAGGAGGACTACAATCTAATATAATTATATTCATTAAAACTTGAACTTAAGATTTCGTATTAAATTAAAACAATTTGTATTAGTTTATTTGAATGGTACCCAATTTAAATTCTAAAGTAACTTTTTATTCTGCCACTTTATTTTCATTTTTTAATCTAAATTTTATCCACCTAAAGCTCAAATTAAGCAAATAAAAATAATTTTTTTGTTTAAAGGCGTTACTAACTAATACTTTAAGGGTATTATTAAGAAATTAATGAAATATTTTTAATAAAATATTTTTATTTTTGATTTCTTAGGCAGTGTCCTTATTTTCCTTTATTATATTAAACTTGTGAAAATGTAATAAATATTTTTAATTATTACTAATAATTTAAATTTAATTTTGAAGGTTGAAGTTAATTTTTCTTAATCTATAATTGTTTTAATATTAAATTGAATATTTTTATTACGTACTTGTCATTTGAGTAATCTGATGAATTAATGTGTACCCTCAAACATGTTGCGGACGAACTTAGGAAGTGACATCGAACTGCTTCAATAGAGATGTCCTAACCTTAAAAGAGTGTACGCTCAGATTTTAATACGGGATAAGACCAGACATGTGTCGCTTTTCTGGTTTAATTAATTTTTATAAAAATTCATTTATTTAATGTCATAAATAAAAAATATATACATGATCATGCATTAAATTTGAACATATTCGTATATTTACATTCACAAAAAGAGATAAAATGATATTAAATTTTATTATTTGAGGTATTGAAAACAAGATAATAAAAATTGTCAGATTTGTGACTTTATTTTCATTTTAACTTTATTTCATTTTATTATGCTCCACATCATTTATTTCTGGATCACCTCTTCAACGGAAAACAACTTGTGACAAAAAAAGAGGATCTTCAAGTTTTTTGATGATGTTATTTCACGAACGGCGTGCTTGAACCCACCTTTATCTTTCAACTGTCATGTAGTAACAATGAATGTACTTCCTTTCCACTATTTTGATGGATAGAGATACTCATAAATTATACTCTAATACAATTATTTATCCTCGAATCAAAATTTCATTTGGGTGGCTCTAAATTGCTCTTTACTGCACTGATTCTGATATTTCTAACTCCATAGAATCATGGGCTCCACAAAATTTGTCACCTTTTTCTTCCCCCTATTTTTATGGGGCCCTTTGCTTCAGCGCACCAGCAGTGCATGGTAGGATACCCTTAACGAGTTTGAGTAATTTCTTTCCATGGAGAAAAACTCTGTTGATTATAGTCCTTTGCTTTCTCCTAGAGAAGTTGAAACTACCAGAAAGCCTTCTTCTTTTGTGTCAGCTACAAAATGGACTCTCAAGAGTTTGATTTGTGTGATCTTCATTGCATGGGCAGCTTTTATTTTTCTATTCCCTTCAGAGCCTGGGCATGAATTGTTTTCAAAATGGATTGATCTCACCAGTGGAACCTGTCTTGGAATCACAGGTTGTTTATTTTAGCTTCTTTTTTCTTAGTTTCTTTCATTTTTCTGTTGTGTGTGTGTTGCGTGAGTTCAAAGCTAACTGTAAATTGTATTCTGCAGGAAGCATTTTTTTTATCTTCAGTGCCCCAGTTCTCATAATTGCATTCCTTGCAATTGCACACTTAATGATTACTGGGGAGGATCAGTTTCATGAGTATGTGACTTTCAGAAACTTTCTTATCTGGCTCTGAATTTGATCATCGTTACTCATCAGAGTTTGCAATTTGAAATGTTGGGTTTTCATGGCAGGAAGAAGAATGTCAAGTTTCCAAGGTTCAGGCTATGGACATTTCCTGTGATTGTGAATGGACCATTCGGGGTTGTTTCTGCTACAGAGTTAATTGGGATTGTCCTCTTTTCGCTCTATGTTATATGTGCTGTCTATGCTTACACTATGGGAGCTCTTGGAATGATCTCTGAAGCTGAGGGATCATCTTTTAAAGCCAAGAGGTCGAGCAGTCTTGTTCCATTTATTTAATTTCAGAAATTTGAAGCTCCATATTTATTTTATTTAATGGAATTATTTCCTTTAAGGTTTTTTAGTTTCCCCTTTATTTTTGAAGACTTGTCTAGAAAATCTTTTAAGGGGAATATTTCAGTCAGCCTTTGGTACATGGGAAAAAAAAGAGAGGAATCAACTCCTCATGAAACTAATAAAAAATAATAGTAGATGAATTAATTTGTTGATGATGACTCAATAATGGGTAGGAACTTCATGCAGCATAATTCAACCTCCCTTTAGTTCATCCTATAGTGGACTAAAGCTATGTCGAGTTCATTTGGTATTGATGATTCACTTTCATGCCCCCTTTGCCCGTTTTATTTTTGAACGTCTAAAAATTTATTATTTTATAAAACAGGCAAATGCTAACTAGTGCCCTTATTGCACTGGTTAAGGAATCAAAAGTCGAAGTTTGTATCAAAAAAATGTTACTAATGCACCTTCCCCCATAGTTTATAATGCATCTCATACAATTTCCATTAAAACTTTTTTTTTTCAGTTCCTTGATCAATGCTGCCCTAGTTAGCAAGACCCTATAAAGTATGCAAGAAAATCAGGCCCAGCCCATGTATCATTGGAGTGATGAAATCAATATGAAATTAAAGTTTTAAAATCTATGAGAAGTGCTTATATTGGTAAGGGTTTATTAACCTGAGGCAGCAACACACTCCCCAACCTGAAAAATAAGAAAAAAAAGTTCATTCACTTAAATTTGGAGAATAAGACATCTATGCATCGAAGTGTTGTAGAACTTGTATTCTTTGTTTTTGCCACGGTGTAGTTGAACTTGTCACTTAATATCATTTCTGTCGAAACATGCATATAAGCGCACTCCCTAGTCTGTTTTAACTTTTAAGGGTCCTGACATGGAATCTATATGTTGTGATATTGTCTACTCGCACTTCAAATTGAATCTCTTTTTGCATGTTAATTATCAGTGGCAATAAACATTCTTGAACATTATCATTTTCGGAAAAAGTATTTGGCTTAGAATTTTATATTGTGTAGTTTTAGCAATGATGAACGTGATAAGCTGATTTTCTTGACATACTTCAACTTTTTCAGCATGTTCATGTTGGAAATTATGGGACTTCGCTTGGGTTCAATTGGATTGTTTTGTATTGCATTTTTATTTCTCCCAGTTTCAAGGGGATCTGTTCTTCTCCGTTATATAGATATCCCCTTTGAACATGCTACAAGATATCACGTATGGCTGGGACACCTCACAATGGCGATTTTTACTCTCCATGGACTCTTCTATGTTATTGCATGGGCAATGGATGGCCGCCTTGGACCTGAAGTGAGTCCTCTTTGATGGATTTCATTTCTTGAAGATTGTTTATGCTCACACACAGAATTTATATATACAAAAGTGTCCTTTTTCCATGATCTGTGTCAGAAACTCAAAAGTCAAAACCTTCATAGCTGTCTGCACTTAAAGGTTTGCTTGAGAAGTTTGATAATTTAAGTGATTGACTGCAAATGGTATTTCTTGGAGAAGTATATCATTAGCTATGGAAAACATTTTGTCATATTCTTTTATTTCGCCTTAAACCACTTGCCCATTCTCAGTTGTGGCTTAATAAATGATTTTGGCTGGCTTCAAGTGTCTTGTTTTTAGGATGAAATTATGGTTTGTAAGAAGTAGAATACAATTTTTATTTTTGAACTCTTAATTGGGTCAATCTGTAAATGGGTTTTGTTCAAAACTTATCTATTTTAATTTGCCGTTTACTTCAAAATATAAAGCTTTTACTGATGGTTCATGACTTCAAGCTCTAGTCCAAATACATTGGCTTAATCATGCTAACTGTTCACTTCTCTGTTCCTAATTTGATCCCCTTTGCAGTTAATGGAATGGAAAGATATTGGCGTTGCCAATCTCCCGGGAGTTATCAGCCTTCTAGCCGGTTTGTTGATGTGGGTGACCTCTCTTCCGGGAGTGCGAACGTGGAATTTTGAGTTGTTTTTCTACACACACCAATTATATATAGTGTTTGTTGTCTTTTTGGCTTTGCATGTTGGTGACTTTATTTTCACTATGGCTGCTGGAGGAATATTTCTTTTTGTGCTTGATCGATTTCTGAGGTTCTGCCAATCAAGAAGGAAAGTTAATGTAATCTCATCCAGGTGCCTTCCATGTGGCACTGTGGAATTGGTTCTGTCAAAACCTCAAAGTAACTATACTTATCATAGTATTGTTTTGCACATAATTTAGTCCTGTTACTAGTTCAATGACAATAGATCATTTTAAAATGTAGATTTGAGATACAATGCCTTAAGTTTCATTTTCCTTCAAGTCCGAGAACTATCATGGCTGCAGTGGCATCCATTCAGTGTTTCTTCTAGCCCTTTGGATGGAAAGCATCATCTTGCTGTTCTCGTAAAAGTTCTTGGAAAATGGACAGCAAGATTGAGAGATAGGATTACTGATTTTGATGCACTAAGAGATTCATCTGTGATAACAGCTTCGGTTGAGGGGCCATATGGACATGAAGTGCCATACCACTTAATGTAAGTGGCTATATGCCCAATTTATTTTGATGTTGCGCACTTCATAAATGATAAACATTGATTTAGTCCTTAATATGCATAGAATTTCATACCAACTAGTATTTTAAGCCAACTTATGTTTTAGTTCTTCAACTAACAAAGTAATATTTTGTTTCTTTTAGGTACGAAAATCTTATATTAGTGGCTGGTGGCATTGGACTTTCTCCCTTCCTTGCTATATTGAGTGATATTCTTCACCGTGTTAGGGAGGGGAAACCATGTCGACCGAGAAATATTTTAGTTGTTTGGGCAGTGAAAAAATCAGATGAGCTTCCACTTCTTTCAACCATTGACATGGAAACAATCTGTCCATCCTTTTCAGAGAGAGTGAACATTGATATTCATATTTATGTCACTCGAGAATCATTTGCTCCTGTGGTGAGTCTAGCTTTCTTGCAACAAATTCACACTTTATTCCGTTGGAACTTTCTAGTGCTTTATTTACTTTTTCACTTAATTGCATTTGATTGTTATTATATGCAGGAAGAGGGATACATTTACAAAACAATAAAATCTTCATTCTGCCCTGTGCCTAGCGATTATGGCATGTCTGTTTTGGTTGGTACTGGAGACAATTTTTGGTCTGGACTATATGTCATCTCATCTACCGTTGGGTTTGTGATCTTACTGGGTTTGTTGTATATTTACTATATAAACCCATATCACATCGAAATATGGTGGTACAAAGGGCTACTATTTGTAATCTGCATGCTTGCAAGTGTTGTTATCTTTGGTGGTTTAGTGGTTGGATTGTGGCATGTTTGGGAAAAGAAAAGTTCTATGAAGGATAAGTCCAACAGTATGCAGGCTGATAAGATTCCGCAAAATGGCTCGTTGGCTCCCAAGGATCCAAGTCAAGACAAAATTGAAAAGTCAACAGTCATTCGTTATGGTTTCAGGCCAGACTTTAAGGGTATGTCTTCATGAAGTTAATTTTTTGTTTTAAATAATCTTAAAACATGAAAGAACATTGTGTAGTCAAGTTTCTTCAATATCTATAAATGCATTCAGATACACGTGATTGCATGACAAATACAGCCTTCATTTTAATCACTTCATGATGAATCTGATTCTCATTATGTGAAGTTATCTCTTAGAAAACCATTTAAATTACTTGTTATGCTACAAGCCAATAATGGTCTTGCATCAAAGAATTGGGTTTGGATGTAGGTTTTTTCTATTCTCTTTTTTGGTAACTAGAGAGACTCTCTTACCTAGCATGTGGGCTAAGGCTCCTCAACTAAATTCTTCTATCTTTATTTCCAGTCAATGATCTTTAATCTCCATATGTTTAGACAATGGGTATGGAGCTAATTACTGTTGTGATTGTTTTGAGAAAAAAAACCTTCCAAATATCAGCATCTTGTTCTGTGTAGCCATGAACTTAGGAAGCTGTCTAGTTCCACTATTTCAAGTGTAACACAGATGTTACCTTGTTTCAAGTCCCGTCCCACGCCACCCCTACTCTCATCACTCTTTTATTGTTTCTTCAAACTCCCTAGATGCACAGACTTGACATTTTATTAAATGATTTTTATAATATGCGCTAAAGGCACACTACATGAAATCAACAAGTAATTAGTTTTTATTAAAAATTGTAACATTTAATGTTATCAATGCATTGTACTATGTGATGTCTAATATTTTTAAATAAAATCTTACTATGTATTGGTTTTTATTATCCGTTCTTAGTTACGCATTAGAAAAACCATTTATTAAAAGGTTACATTTTCTCCAAATTTAGAGGTTACTAATCTGGATACATATATATTGCAGAAATCTTTGAATTGAGGTCAGAGAAATGGGGCCATGTTGATGTTGGTGTCATAGTTTGTGGCCCTCCAACACTTCAGGGAAGTGTTGCTGAAGAAATCAGGTCACACAGTTTAACAAGACAACGCCATCATCCCATTTTCCATTTCCACAGTCACAGCTTTGATCTCTAGCTCCCCAATGGCAAGATGGAATATATATATATATATATATATAGCAGTAATCCAATATAAGATGCTATAATCCTTAGAAGGAATTCTAAGGTGGATAATACATATAATATATGTGAATATGCTACCATTAGACATATTTATATGCAATTTCAGCTTCAGAGTTGTATATATACTTGTTTTAGTTAACAATGTTATTCCTCGATTTTCGATCCTTCCTTGTATATTTCATTTCTCAAGAGTGTAAATGTCTCTATTTTATCATAAATCTTAACTGCTAAGTGTAAACTATTTTTTTCTTTTCTTTTCTTTTCTTTTCTTTTATATGTAAGCATATACTATTTTAATTAGTTTATAGTAGGTGCTTGTATTTTATGGTTCTGTATTTGGATCCTTTATTTAATTAATTTCACCAAACAATCATTATATGATAAAAATACATATTATTTAATTAACAGAGTAGGCGAAACGAAATGTGAATTATTTTAGTAAATAAAATTGCTAGAAGCATCTCAACAAGTTTCATGGGTTCACTTAATAAAAGTTGACACATCATAGTCGTAGAAAAAGATGATACATCATTAACGACCAATTGCTATTCATATTTCGTATGAGTCAATTACGATAAAGTAAGAATTAAATACTTCATGCATAAACAAATTCTAATAAAAATATATAATATGTTAAAATATGAATAAGAATATTTTAAAATATTAGCTTAATTGATAAAAATTATTTTCACGGTAATTTATAATATTCATTTTATATTTAATGGTAATTAAAAAATCTTTCAATAAATTAAAAAAACAAAATATCAAATTTAATGAACAAATGCCAACGATCCTTTCATTTTTATTTTTATTTTTTTGTTAACTTTGGCACGACGTTGTATAAGTCACAGAAGAGAATTAGAGAAAACTTAAACTTTAAGTAAAACATTATAATAATATAACTAAAAAGGTGTATAAATACAAAGTAATATATGAATAAATATGTGGGTAAATAGTCTCTGCAACTTGACTCATAATCCAATTGCTTCATAATTGCTTTGAAGACACGAATAGGGTGCCTTTTTGATGTGGAGCTTCTTCTAGACATTGTCAATGAGTGAAGACGTGTTACCAATTTCTCTATACTTTGGTCTAATGTCTCGTTTTCATACGGTTTGATTTTTCTGATTATTGATATTATATTTATGAATTGAGGGGAAAAAAGGAAAGAAAAAACACGTTTATGAAGGGAAATGATTCTTTAGTTCAAAGTTAATCATTGAAAAAAGCTTCCTAATAGTCAGGGTTTTAAAGGGATTTCACAAATATTAAAATAAATGTTTTTGTAGTTTTCTTATGTATATGTTGTTCTTTTTCTTTGCTTTATCATTTAAAATTAAATCTAAATATTACAATTATTTGTAAATTTGTTATATATTATATTAAAGATTCTCAATTTCACATGATTTCATGAAATGAAGTGAATACAAGTTTTTAGTAATTTCAAGAGCAAACTAAGGTTGAATATCATATTGTGATTTTCCAAAAAAAAAAAAAGTATTGATTTAATTAATTTTCAATTTTAATTTTTTAACATGTACAACATTGCATATCGTAAAAAATACACATAACAATTTTTATTAAAAATTAATATTTACTAACATTAATGCATTTAATTTTATAATATTCATTAAATTACTATATATAACTTTGTTTTATCAAGTTAAAAAATTGTTTTAATTTTAACATTGAAGAACCAGCTAAGATTATAAAACCAATAGAAAAAGAATACAATTAGACCAAAGTTCTTGAATAATTTCTTGTGGTTTGGCCCACCACAATAGAGTTAAAGAAAGGGAGAAGAAAAAGAGAAGCACAGTGCAAACCAACTACCATATGTATTATTATGATCCATACGTACAAATACAATACACTAACAGAAGAAGAAAAACCAAAAGAGAGAGAGTGAGATGGTGAAACTGAAAAGCAGGTAAGAAGATGATAATATCTTTGAGTGTCGGCAAACCTTTCCTTGTTCTGAAAACAAAAGCTCAAATCAAAGAAATTGCATGTTCGCCTACCCTTATTTACTTTATAAAATTCCATAACCAACACGTTAATCACAGAATATAATTACTTTGTCCTTAACTGTGATCAGAAACATTATGGTTTTGTATTATACTAGGTGGATGAGCTGTGTATCCATGCACATGACACATTCCCACCCATAAATAAATATGTAGCCACCAAGTAACCCCTTTGTAAGAAACATTTTATATCAGAAAAATAAAATTAAAAAAGAGACTTTTATATATTATAATAATATTTATACTAATAGAAAAATGGATTTTATTGTTGGGGAAGAAGAAGGATGTTGGGTTTGTGGACAGACTGTCACCATCAATCAGTAGGCTGGTCAGTGTCTCCAACCTAATTAATTTGATTTCCCAAAAGAAAAACAGAAAAATGAAAGCAAAATCCCAACCTACATGACTCAAGTATGAGTTATATTGTTTCTATAATAACAACGTTTTAATCTTTCTTTATTACATCATTTATCCTATTCTTTTCATCTTCTAAAGTATCAACTAATAATGATTATTAATTATTATTATTATCTCACAATAATAAAGAAGCACACCGTCACTACCAGCCACATCCCCCCAAGAAAATGTGGAAAAACATGTGTCCTCTCTTCTCAACTAAAAATTTCCAATTCAACCAACCAATCAATTACAAAATAAAATAAAAAATTCCTCCGAAATGAAATTATAATTAACATGAATAAAATTACAAAAGACACCCCCACATAAAAAAAAATAGAGAAAAAAGATATAAAACGAAGAAAACGCGACCGCATTACAACAGCACAATGGACTATTAGCAAAACACAGCCACAGTCCAATGCTCCTCTCACTCCACTTATAGAGAGAGAAAGAGAAACACATACACAAACCCATGCACTAATAACAAAATAACACAACACCCCCGATTCGATCATTCGTTTGTTTACTTACATCGTTCATTGTTGTTGTTGTTGTTGTGTCGGTGACATTGTTCGAGTTAAAATGAGTATGTACGGTAGAGATCCATGGGGTGGCCCGTTGGAGATCAATGCGACGGACTCCGCCACCGACGAAGATCGTAGCCGGAATCTTCAGGACCTCGACAGGGCGGCGCTGTCACGTCCTCTCGACGAGACGCAGCAGAGTTGGCTTCTGGGTCCCGGCGAACAGAAGAAGAAGAAGTACGTTGATCTTGGTTGCATCATCGTTAGCCGCAAGATCTTCGTTTGGACCCTCGGCACCGTTCTCTTCTCTGCTTTCCTCGCCGGTTTCATCGCTCTGATCGTTAACACCGTCCCTCGCCACCACCATAAACACCCTCCTCCTGATAACTACACCCTCGCACTCCACAAGGCTCTCATGTTCTTCAACGCCCAAAGATGTAAACTTTTCATCGTTCTCTTTCGACCCTTTTTTTCTTTTTTTATGAATTATGTGTAATTGTGAATGATCTCATTTGGGTTGGGTTTGTTTTGTTGTTGCAGCTGGGAAACTTCCTAAACATAACAATGTTTCTTGGAGGGGGAACTCGTGCTTGCAAGATGGGAAATCTTCTGACACCTCATCGGCTATTAAGGATTTGGTGGGTGGGTACTATGATGCTGGGGATGCTATTAAGTTTAATTTCCCTGCTTCTTTTGCCATTACCATGTTGAGTTGGAGTGTGATTGAGTATAGTGCTAAGTATGAGGCTGCTGGGGAGCTTGATCATGTTAAGGAGATTATTAAATGGGGTACTGATTATTTTCTCAAGACATTCAATAATACTGCTGATACCATCACCACCCTTGCTGCTCAGGTAACCCACTAACTAACAACACTTTTTTTCTTTTTATCTTTGTTTTAATTTATTGATTGATCCGTTCATGATTTTGGGCCTGTTTGGAAGATCTTATGAATAATTGCTTATTTCAATAACCCTTTTGGCATAGCTTATCCAGATAAGCTGAATAAATTTCATGGTTTAAATTATAGCACAAACCATAATAATAATAATAATAATAATAATAATGAAACCTATTGAATAAGTACTTAATTAAGTTGTATATCTAAATGCACTCTATATCAGATTCTTTAGATAGAGAGAATGTGCTAGATAGATAGATTTATTTGTAGTATAGTATGGAGTATGGACGGGATTTTGAAGGATGCATCTCATGTGTGTGTGTGTGTGTGTGTGTGTGTGTGTGTGTATTATATAATTTGTTGGGTTGATTATGGATTCTTTGGTCTTCTGTGACAGGTTGGGGTTGGAGATACTTCTGGAGGGAGTACAACTCCTAATGATCACTATTGTTGGATGCGTCCAGAGGATATTGACTATGATCGCCCTGTGACTGAATGCCACAGCTGTTCGGATCTTGCTGCTGAGATGGCTGCTGCTTTGGCTTCTGCATCCATTGTGTTCAAAGACAACAAGGCTTATTCAAAGAAACTGGTTCACGGTGCAACCACACTCTTCAAGTTTTCCAGGGAGCAGAGAGGCAGGTACAGTGCAGGTAGTTCGGAGGCTGCAATATTTTACAACTCTACTAGCTACTGGGATGAGTATGTTTGGGGTGGAGCTTGGATGTACTTTGCAACGGGAAATTCTTCGTATCTTAAGCTTGCTACTGCTCCTGGCCTGGCCAAGCATGCTGGTGCATTCTGGGGTGGCCCTGATTATGGGGTGATGAGCTGGGATAACAAGCTTGCTGGTGCTCAGGTAAATTTGTAGAGATTCTTTGTTATAACGAGATCAAGTTGATTTGGTTTGTTGTTTGTAAATTAGATTCACATCAGGGGATGACAGCATGATGGAAGTAAAAGTTTTTAAAGCTTAGTTTTTGTACATGAATTTGATATGATGAATTTCTAACTACTTTTTGTTCACATTTGCATTTTACTAGTAGAAGATATCAGGTCATGGCAATTTTACTGAAAATATGGTGGACTGATTTGATCATATCATCTTGTTTTTAGGTTCTTCTGAGTCGTTTGAGGTTGTTCTTGAGTCCTGGATATCCATATGAAGAAATTTTAAGAACCTTTCACAATCAGACCAGCATAGTCATGTGCTCTTACCTACCAGTTTTCACAAGCTTTAATAGAACAAAAGGTAGGTGCCAGTATTCACAAGTTTCCCATTCTATTCTGATCTAATTCTAATGTTGATGTTTTATGAACCCCAGGAGGGTTGATTCAATTGAACCACGGTAGGCCACAGCCTCTCCAATATGTTGTCAATGCTGCCTTTTTGGCTGCCCTATACAGTGATTATCTTGATGCTGCTGATACACCTGGATGGTATTGTGGACCTAATTTCTTTTCAACTGATGTTCTCCGTGACTTTGCCAAGACTCAGGTCTGTGCTATTTTGCTTCTTTGAGAACCTTTTGGGATTCAACTCTTCCTCACATAATTGAAATAATATTTTCTTTACCCTTTCATGGTGTTTTTGCAGATTGATTATATCCTTGGGAAGAATCCTAAGCAAATGAGCTATATCGTTGGTTTTGGTAATCATTATCCAAAACATGTTCACCATAGAGGAGCTTCTATACCAAAGAACAGGGTTAAGTATAGCTGTAAAGGTGGATGGAAATGGAGAGATTCATCAAAGCCAAACCCAAATACACTTGTTGGTGCCATGGTTGCTGGTCCTGACAAACATGATGGTTTCCATGATGTTCGCACAAACTACAATTACACAGAGCCAACTCTTGCTGGAAATGCTGGTTTAGTTGCCGCATTAGTGGCATTGTCAGGCGACAAAAGCACCTCCATTGACAAAAACACCCTTTTCTCTGCTGTGCCGCCAATGTTTCCTACACCACCTCCACCTCCAGCACCTTGGAAACCATAAGGCACCATGACATTGGTTATTTCTTTCCAGCAAGTACCGCAGATGACTTGAGTGCATTGATAACTCTTGTTATTTTGTATCAACTAGAAGATCAAGGTAATTTTGAGGAAAAGGGCTTGGAGAAATGGAAGTAACGGAGCTTTGCCTGGTGAATCTAGTTGGCTGGAGTCAATGATCGACTCAAGATTAGCATTAAGAATTGATAAAATGGTACTTGAGTGTCTCTTTTTGAATTTTGTGATATACATAGTATATATATATATCAAAATGAAATCTTGTATTCTTTAAACGTGAAAACTGAACAGCTTGTAATTGTTTGACAGTTTCATCTAATGCCTTTACAGTTTTACTCAAAAAATTTCTTTCCTTCTATCTCTATTCTTTCAATCTTTGTTTCTCCTTAAGCCCTGGTTCCCTCTTTTCTTCATTCTAGTTTGTAACATAGCCATTAAGTTGTTCTAACGGCTGTGCTAGCAGATCTATGCATGTACAAGCATAATTGTAGCTGCTAGAAATCAATCATCCTAAAATAACCATGGTTTTTATATATTGCTTTGAACAATGTAAATAGACAAGTATACTCAAAAATAAAGAGACAAGGAATACGCCACTCACTGGAATGACAATACTGCTCATTGGTGCTGCCCTTTCTCAGCAAAAGTTAAAAAACAATGCAATGTGGATGTGTAAGGTGTTCAAGTTTGGTTTATGGAAAACAAAGGTGTGAAACAAACTTCTGCTTTATTAGTCAATCTTGCACGCTACACGTGACCAGCACTTTGAATCTGGTTCCATCTTTTATGCCAACTTCATTTAGCTGCTGGATACCTTGATGACTTGGGAAACATTCCTTGCTTGCATCGGTATGCATTAACTCTGCACTCTGCAGAATATCGTTTCCTTAACTACCATCACTTTCAGGCTTAAGTTTAAATTAAACAGAAAGAATTGTCATCAAATTATCAAACTGTATTGCTAACAAAAGTACAAAAGAACATGGCACAAGAACTGAACGAGTCCCTGGAATATACACCAACATGGATTGTTGCGGTTGTTTGCTCCATCATTGTTTTCGTCTCTCTCTGTGTCGAACGTTCTCTTCACTCGCTTGGAAAGGTGAACCATCATATATATTTAGTTTCAAGTTTATGGGATTGAGGTTTTAGAGCCTTTGAGAACCCAAAGCCATTTTGTTCTGTTTAAGAGAGTTATAGCATGTTTAGATTTACTTCAACACTACTAATTATAGTTTTTGCATTAGATTCACGTTTGTGGCATTTCCAACCTATTTCCAAACGCACACTTGGTGTTATTTTTGTTAAGTAATTTCTTATTTGTATGACTTACTTTGTTCATGATAAGTTATTTGTTCGGTTGGATGTTACAGTACTTAAAGAAGAAAAAGCAAACTGCATTATATGAAGCCTTACATAAATTGGAAGAAGGTAGTTTCTTTTATGAATTTAAATTTGATTCATTATCAAGAGCATAAAGTTTTTAATATACTATGATATGTTGACACATCATACATTTTTGTTGTTAACATTTTGACCTGTGAAGAATATTACTATGATTTTGGAGTGGCAAAGGTTTCAAATAATATCGCCCGAATTCCTTGCTACAGATCATTAAAATAATGGTGACATACATTCGTATTTAACTTAATAAGAATAAAACTATAATTTTGCTATATCCTCCAAATAATCCTCCTACTACTTTATAAAAGAAGCATTAAATGAAAAAGTGCATACATTTATTATCTTGAAAACATAGAACATATTTAATTCTTTCTTCATTTAGTAATTAAAAGGATTTGTAGAAATAAAAAGCAGGAGAATCTAGAATTACTCATCCAAATAACTACTGTCAAATCCAAAGATTAATGAAGAAAGTAAATAACTGTATTATTTTGAAGTGGAATACATCATCCTATTGAGTACAAAACATTTGCATCACAACTATTCAGTACAATCTTACTGATCAGTGTGTGCCTTATGTTGTCACCAGAATTGATGCTTTTAGGGTTCATTTCTCTCCTATTAACCGTCTTGCAAGGCGCAATAAGCAACATTTGCATCTCACCAAAGTATGCAACCCAAATGCTTCCATGCAAGAGGTCTCATAGGTCTTCAGAAGGTTCAGGGCATGATCAGATATACTATGACACTATAATAAACAGACGGAGGCTTTTTTCTACAGAAACTGGTTCACAGCATTGTAGGCAAATGGTAATAGCCAATCTTTTTTTTTTTTTTTTTGGTTTTGGATTTATTAAGGTTGCTACCATGTTAGTGACAATGAAAATTGGAATGCTATAGAACTGGCAAAAATAGCTCAAGTCCAGATAATTGAAAAGTCAGAATAATATTGGATAATGGCCCAATTTGGATAAATATATGGATCAGTACCTACAGAAGAAAAAAATAAAGAGATGAAATAAATCAAACTTAAGTTAAAATCAACTTATGTATCTCAATTTTTTTAGAAGTTCTCTCATTCAACTTCTCTAACAGCTAAAGTGTACAACTTTATTTTAATTTTTGGAATAATTTTAATTCATTTTTCTTCATTTCTTCTTCTATAAATACTTATTGGGAATTTTATCTAACTTGAGTCAATTTTCTATAAAAATGAATGAAAGAGTACTCATATTCATCCATGCACCCCAACAAAATAACACTTGCATGTACAAAAATTTATTTGATTTATATTTATAATCCATTCCTTTTTTTCCCTAAGCAGGGGAAGGTTCCACTGTTATCACTGGAATCACTACATCATCTTCACATTTTTATCTTTGTATTGGCCGTTGTACATGCAGTATTCTGTGTCACAACAATGCTTCTTGGAGGTGCAAAGGTAATAAATTGGTGATATTCCTCCTTGAAGCTGATATATGCTTAGTAAAAATAATAGTCACTCATGATTTACAACATAATGATGTTAACTTTTACATGTGTAGATCCGGGAATGGAAAATCTGGGAGGATGCTAATAGGAAGAAGATAACAAGATCAAGTTGTGATTTGAATATGCAACTCAACATAATCTATATATAAGGAAATGAAATGATTTTGTCATTTTAGATTCTAACTTTGTAGCTTTTCTCAAATGCAGGTCAAGATTACCGTGAGTTCTTCAAAGTACATGCTGATGGATATTGGAGAAGAGCAGCTGTTATTGGTTGGCTGGTTAGGCTTCTTACAACCTTAATCTTTACAAAGTATACACCTAACTGAACTGAAATAGATTACAGAGAACTTGTGAAAGTAGCTTAAGATTTAAAAAAAATGTCTTATTTTAATAAACTCCTTGACATAACCTATCAAAATAAATTATTTTCAACCTATTTTAATAAGTTTTATGATCAAATTTACATCATAAATCCTCGTTTAAAAAGAGCTCATTAAATAAACATTTAATTAAGTCACTTGCTCTAACACACCGTAAAAGTACGTCTAAAAGAGCTTATTTAAACTTCTTGCTGTAACTTATTAAAATAGACTCTTCTTAACTAATTCCAAGAAGTTTGATAATCAATTAGTATAAGCTCCAGTATAATAAAAATTTTATTCAATAATCACTTAATTAAGTTGATTATTTAAATATACCTTAAATGAAATAATATATTACCATGAAAGATATAGGTTTAGCATTATGTATTTAAAAATAAAAATATTCAGAAAATTATGTATCAACTTCAGAAAACGGAACAGAAAACGATGTCTTAACGTTACATGGATTATGTAGAATGCATGTTTGCGTCAATTAAAAGCTTGAAAACGGTGTTTTACTTGTAATAGATTTGTGGACTAATCCAATTTTTAGCCTACTAAAATGACACAGGAGACCTTCTCACAAAATATATATTCATCTTTGTAGATAGTAAATATAGATGAATAAGCATACCAAGATAATGTTAAGGACTTTTCAGTGTAAAATCATCAATTAGAAACAAAGCCCAGGGTGTTTGGGGGTATATATTTCTATTTCTTTTAATTAGTATATGATCAAGCTTCCAACATTTTGCCAAAAATGTCATTTATGCAGTAAAGTACAAAATTTCAAGTTCTGAAAGATTTTACACTTTGCAGAAAGCACTCAACATCTCTTGTTGCATTAAATAAAGATAAGTTGCAAATGGGTCACAAACTTGCTACAAAAGAATAATGTTATACTAATTTGCAAATTTCATATGTATTGCACTATATTTTAAAATTAAAGTAAATTTAAAAATAAATAAATATAAGAGAAAAGATATTGTCATTATCAAATTATTGTCTAATCTCTTATTTTAAAAGAAGTAAAAAAAAATATGATAGAAGATGTCTTGTATTGTCAATAATGAATATTTTATTGTTATACATGAATAAATTAAAAAGATAAAAGTTTTGACATAGAGGAGAAAGTTGTGAAAATAAATTGCATGGATCATTTATCTACGTATATTCTGTATCAAAATACAAAATTCATTCTGAGATTTGAAATTGACTAAATTAAGCAATAAAATTTGGGAGAAGTAAAAATTGTTAAAAACACTTTATGTAAAAGAGAGTAGATTAGGAAAAGGGGAAAACTAAGGAGGGTTTTATTTTAGTAAAATAATTATATTTAAAATTATCACAAAGTATCAATATAAAACTCCAAATTTAATTAATAAACAACAACAACACCACTTAAATAACTATACCTCAGTTTAACCCTTAGAAAAAGTTTTCACTTGCAAAAGTAAGGACTGAAATAAGGATAGATAAGATGTTTTTTTTTTTTAATTCTTTGGTATAATTAGTGGTGAGTTTGGGTTTGTATTGGCAGATATCATTTTTCAAGCAATTTTATGGATCTGTAACAAGGTATGACTACCTTGCACTGCGTTACGGATTTGTCAAGGTTAAGATTCGGTCACAGTCAAACTAATTATTTTTAAACTTTCGGAAAATAATTAATTCATCATATGAACTTAAAATAAACTATGTTGCTTGTAACCTTTTCCAGGAACACTTCCCAGAAAAACTGGATTTTAATTTTCATAATTACATGCTGCGGACACTTGAAATTGACTTCAAAAAGGTGGTAGGCATAAGGTAAGAGTTCAAATATGATTATCATCTCTTAAAATCAATCCTCAATTCTCAAAATTGAATGGTTTGAACATTTTAATTTTTAAAATTTTATATTTATTTTATTAAAATAACAAATACGAGTAGAAAAGTCATTTATTTAATATGAACAGAAAAGTTTAACATTATTTAAGTGACAAAAACTCATAACTTAAATATTGAAAGACTTGAGATTCAAGTCATTTTACCCTTCTCATACCCTCTAACAATTTCTTTTTTTATTATTTTACAATGTTAGAGATTAACAAAGAGTTTTATAAATTTTTTAAAATAAAATGCTCGAGTCATTCAATATTGAGGACTGACCAGATAGTTTATTCATGTTATTTTAATGCAAAAATTGACTTCTAAGCCAATCATTCATAATTGTTTCACCTACCATAGCTGGTACCTGTGGCTCTTTGTTGTGCTGTTTTTGCTGTTGAATCTTGAAGGTAATACCTAGGATCCTGTTCAACAATACTCTATTCAATGATGTCTGTTTAAAATCTACCAACCTACTTTTGAGTTTACTATGCAGGATGGCACACTTATTTCTGGTTGTCCTTTTTGCCACTCATAGTAAGTGACTTAGATTCCTTCCAACAGAATTTTTTAAAAACATTAATAATTAAGAATGAAATATTATTAGTAAGACTTATATGATTAAATTTGCTAACAAACAGCTTCTACTTCTGGTGGGGGCAAAGTTGGAACACATCATTGCTCGTTTGGCCCAAGAATCAGTAGCAAAGATGGCAAAAGATTTCACTGGACCAGTGAAGCCATCTGATGAATACTTTTGGTTTACCCGTCCATCTCTTGTCCTTGACTTACTTCACTTCATTTTGTTTCAAAACTCTTTTGAGATTGCATTTTTCTTCTGGATTTTGGTGAGTGTTTGCTTGTGTAAAATGTAAACTTTCATTTCAAATCAAAACAAATATAATTTTCATCTGTGTTTAGGCTCATTGAATATCGAGTTTTCCTACCCCGGTCAGATCTCACTTAATTTATATATAGAAGTAATTCAACAATAATCTTTATATGATAATACTCTTTATGTTTTCTATTTACATTCATTTCAATAACACCTGAACTAACTTATTACTAGCAAAAATGAATATAGAAGTGAATCTGGGTATTTTAATAAATACTTGTTGTATCTCTCAACAATAAGTATTGTCCCTATGCAGTGCATATATGGATTTGATTCATGCATTATGGAGAAAATGGCCTACATCATCCCAAGACTTATAATGGGGTAATATACAATTTTAAAGTGAAAAATAGAAAATCATAACATACTTCTGCTGAAGCTATATTGCTGCTGAGAAATATATGCTTATGTTCTCATCTCACTCACTTCTTGGTGGGTTTTATGTCTTGTAGTGTAATCGTTCAAGTGCTTTGCAGTTATAGCACCTTGCCTTTGTACACTATTGTGACTCAGGTTGGTTAATCTGAGTACATGCTTTTGAAAGCACAATACAAGGTTTGATCAAATTTCTCACATGTTTGTCTTCTTTATCTTAATCTCCTCACAATGATGAGAACAGATGGGTAGCAAATGCAAGATTGATAAGATAGATGATAAGGCAGAATCATCTCCCTTGATAAGAGGTGACTCCGCCTATACAAGGAGGAACATATCCCAAAGCATGACCATAGAATCAACCCAACATCCTCAAATTGATGAACAAGCAATAATCATTGTGGAAGATCCAACAACAGCAACATCTACAATTGAGCTTCCCCGCATGGTCCAAGCTCCATTGGAGAGACCTCACGCATGCAATAGTTTTTCTTTGACAAATATTCACTAACATGAATTCATAATGATTGTACAAAAGACGGAAAATACAAATCTTTGGTTTTAAAAATATTTTGTTGTTTTAAAAAAATATAGTACTTTGGTTCTTATTTCTTGTTAGCATGAATTCATCACGATTGTATATTCACCTACACTCTTAAAAATCGTATTATTAGTTAAATAGAAGTAAATTATTTTTAAATCAAGTTGCTTTGTGAAGATTAGCATTCCAGCACATAGCTTTTTCATTTTCATTTTTTTAAGTAAATGTGTATCCTCAAACTAATATTTTAACGAATCATAGCCCGAGCTCCAGCTAATTGTTGCACTATCCTTAATTAAGTTAATTTGCAGCTAATTAATTTAATCATGAATTAAAAAAACTCCTGGTGAGATGAACAAATTTAATTGTAGAACAATTATTTCAAAATTAACAACATATCCAGATCTTATCCATACCGTATATCAAATACATATACAATTACCTTAATATCAAAGCCTGTTTGAATTGTTTCAAATTTCTTAATTTTGTTTCTGTTGGATAATAAAAGAATTATAATTATATGTTTAATAACTTGAATAAAATATATTTATTTAAATTTAATTATGATTATATTTTAACAATTTTTTGAAGATAAGTAGAACTAATAAAGTGATGATGATGAGAAATCAATATGAATACCAACTATATTAAAAATATATATAAAAGTCAAGAAAAATAAATTAATAAAAAATATTTTATAAATATAATTTTTTTTTTGTTTAACATATTTTAACATACTCTTATCTTAATTCAAAAGAAATTATCATATTTATGTATCAAATACACACACCCCCTTTGATTTAATTTAAACTGCATCTTATTATTTACTGAAGTTTAAGAATAAATACAACTTTAATTGCTCACTTTATAAAAGCTTGTTAGAACTTTTTGCAAATTATTATTAACAGCCGCTTATTATGTTTGCTCAATTGGTATTAAAATTGAAATGTGTGGGTGGATTTGCACAGGCTTTTCTATCCTACATGCTCATTCCAATAATCACTAACAGGGAGGGAGGGTGGAAAACACTATGATCCTACACCAAATTTTAGATACATAAATATACACTATCATGGGAAATTAGATGAGAGGTCTTTCAATGGGAAGGCTTCTCCAACTCAAGACTACCACTCCTCCCAGAAACAGAAGCAGCTTCCTCATTGCCCTCTGCCATCTTTAGTTCATTCAGAGTCCTTTTTGCATAAACAGTGAAGGCAATGGTGGTAATCACAGCAACGATGAAAGAAATAATGTTGTACACAATTTCCACAGTGGTCAATTGGTGCTTCCCATATTGTGCGTCGGCTAATGTCCTTATTAATCGACCACTGTTCAAAATTGACCGTCATTAACATATGAGAAAAACAAAGACATATAGATATGTTGACAAAGATTAATAAAGAAAACACGCTGTGGACTTGGTCATATACGGATCAATGAAGTCATGTTCGGTTTTCATAAACATAAATTATGTCGTATTAAAACAAATTTCAAGATGTTTGACTCTGACCATCTTTTTTTTTCCCTTGGATCAAGAAAATGAAAATATCTCAAAAAACTATAAAATAAGGATTTTGTTCCTTTAGAAAATGCTTTTATTTGCAAGTATTTTGAAAGAAAGAAAAAACAAAGTCCGCTACCCCCCACCCCAAAATAAGAGAAATTTTCTACTTCCGAAACATACCCTAAAAGCCAAAAAAAAAAAAAAAAAAAAAAAACGAACCTGTAGATGTAGATGAAAGCTTCTGGCACCATTCCTGCTATTGATCCACATAAGTAGGGCCAAAACCTCATATTTGTCACTACTACAGCATAATTGAATATAGTATAAGGAAAAGGTGAAACTCTAAACAGAGCAACCACTTGAAATTGATGGAACCAGCTCCCTTCCCCAGCAAGTCTAATCATTGCGGCATTTTGAGGCCATCTCTTTAACCATTGCTGAAAAATATAGAAATAAAGATCATAAACGAAGCAAAAACTACTTTGAAAAATCAAAACATCATGAAATTTGATGGGTCTAGATTTGTGATCATATGAGAAAAAAATGACATACATGAATGCGGTCGCGGAAGAGTAGTCCAATTAGGTAAGGGAGGACCATCCCAATGGTTGTTCCAATCATTATTATAATAAAGCCAAGGCCATAACCAAAAATCATCCCAGCTAACCACATGGAAGGGCCAGAAGGGATTAATAATACTGGGAAAAGAGCCAGAGAAGCAACAAGTACAATGGCAAGAACTGGACGGCCAAAGGCAGTCGCTTCCCACTCCATGATTGGGTAAAGAACCTACAATAACAAATTAAAGAAAGATTAAGCTTCAAAATTAATTCAAGCAACCATGTGGAGTGTAAGCAATTCCACAAGACCTAAGATATTGAATCTAAAGCTTGTTTGTAGGGAATAGCAAAAGAGGAATGATAGCAACACACACTCTTAACACTCTTTTTAATACACTTAGAAATATTGGATAAAATTTATTGAAAATTACAAAAATCAAGTGAGTTTCATGTATTCTTACTCCTAAATTAATGTTTCTATTTCATACTTTTGTATTTTTTAATAAATTTTAGTCAATAGTTAGGAAGGTGTTAAATAGAGTGAAGATAGATCAAGAAGCAACTCTGGTACAAGAACAATTGTAAAGCAAGACGAAGTACCTTTTCAAAAACAAATGGCACTCCCCATTTCACTAGAACAAGAACAAGTACAACAATGAAAAAGCACCATAAAAAGGCTTTCATCCACCACCTGAAAGATTTAATTCTTGATTCTAGTTGAGGCTGTAACATCTCAGTTTCAACAGCCCTCGGTTCATCAGATATGGCAAGTCTAACATATTCACTATTCCCTCTCACATGATGACCTGAAATTGCATGTTTTTCCAACTCCTCTGATGATTCTGGTGTCATCATTCAGATAGATGCCAGAGGACTATGAAATGAAACAAAAGCACAGCATAAGCATGAAGCTGAGACTAATTTAAAATTCAAAGTGAATATTTGATTCTACACACTTAAATCCAACAAGAATGATCATACCGAATTAGTAAAAATAATTTATCTTAAAGACTAGGACCAGAAATTTTCTAGCCAAATAACATTCACATTATATGATAACAGAGAAGAGACAGCTAATAATCAAAAGGTAAAACAAAGATGCTTAAGAAGATAGTGAACATGACTTCTAACTGTATGCAGGTGAAGAATTATAGACAACTTCAAAAAAGGTTGGAAGTGTTAGGGGCTGTTCAGTTTCAACAAATGTTTTTTGTTTTCATTTTCTATTTTTACTTTTAATTACAAACTGTCATTTTATTTTCATTGTGTTTCATGTTTTTAAAGTATTTGTATAGAAAAACACTGAAAACAACTTTTTTTCTGGTTTCACTGTTTCCTCTATAAATCTTTAAAAACCAAAAAAATAAAAATAAAAAACGAAAATACGATGACAATTTTATAATTAAAAGTGAAAACAGAAAATAAAAACTAAACAATATCTAAACCAAAAAACCCCTTAGGTTCCAGGAATCTAGTAGGGTATACTCCTACTTTTAGATTTAACAAGGCAAACAGAAGCAAAACAAAGTAAGCAAGCTATGTGACTGGCTATATGTATGAAATTGCTTCTATACTATGGCCAGAATTAATATCCTTAAAGCATAATATTGAATGAGTTAGAAATCATGTAGAGATAGCAACACTGCCTTCCTATTTATGTCCGATCAAACCATGTTATGATCAAACTGCCACTAATACTGTAAGAAACTGCACATAGCAGGGGCCACAGAATTTAACCTAAAAATACAATGTTAGGATACTGTTCTTAAGTTATGTAACATCCTGAGCAAAATACAATTTATGCCTGTCTGCTGTAAAAAGCATCTGAATAAAAGACTATGACTGAAAAATATTAAATACCAAAGACTGCAAACAGCCTTTAAAAAGCTTATTTTTTTCTCACCCCTTTTTGTACACAGATGATCCTTGCTGTCACAAATAACAAGAGCCATAAATAATTAATTCAATGGACCTTCTATTCTAAGAGGGGCAAACCTACAGAAGAGTTCAGAACCCTTAAAATCTCAACACCCCTTTTATTTGAAAACCCAAAACAAAAACGTTACCCTGAAGACTTCCAATAATCAAATAACCCATAAAAAAAAATGGCACTTACCTCTCTAACTCTAACCACTTTAGAGCTTAAAGGCAAAAAATCCCCAACTACAGAGAGGTTTTTGTGGACTAAAAATTTAATTAAGGAGTCCCTTGAACATTTTAAACTAACATTTTCAAGTTGAATAAATGGTAAAATTTAAAACTCTAAGGCGCCTCAATCACTCAACATCCTCAATCAAGGAAAAAAGACGTAAATTTAAGATTCGTTTATTCTAAGAATTTTGAGTAAAATAAAACCTCCTTAGAAATTACGAAACTTACCAACCAAAAAAAAAGAGAAAAAGAAGAATCAGTGCGTGTTGTAAAAAGCTGAGAGAAGGAAAGGTTCCAGTGCTAACCTCCCCAGAGGTTGGCCGTGGGAGTGAGTCGGCGACCACCGTGTACGGCGGAAGAGTTGGGCTGTTGAGCAGCAACGGACGAAGAAATTCAAAGCGGAAGCGAACAAAATCAGAGAAACCTTAGTCTTGGCGAAGGTTTCACTTTGAAAGTTAAAACATAGCACCTTTGTCTTCTTATATTTTATTTTGTAACATTAATTTTATTATTTTGAGGAGGAAACGAGAGAGAGAGAGAGAGAGAGTAAAAAAGTAGTTGGGCGGATGGAACGTTCAATACCCCAAAAAGAAAAAGTGTGAAGAGACTGGGTATCAACATTATGACAAAACAAATTGTAGGCTTTTTATTTCTATTTTTATTTTTCAATTTCACAAAAAAAATTAGGATATTGTGTTTATGTTTTATCTTTAATATTGGATAAAAATAAATCAACATTTTTATCTCAAAGACACTGATTAAAAAACTATTAGTACATTCTTACTATAATTTTCAATCCATCTTAATAATACTTTTAATAAAAACGTTTTATTTTGATTTATTAACTATAATAACTAGCTATCAAAACCGTTAATATTTACAGCTAATTAATGCAATAATTGCAAAATTTTATAATTATTTGTATATTTTAAAATTTTGCTTTCAGTACAAGGTATATTTAAGTTGTTTTAAATATTCATGTATCAAATAATATCTAGTGATTACCTCTTTTAATTTCGCTGTCAAATCAAAATCACATAAATTTAATACACAGATGTAAATTTTTTTATGAAAAATATTTTTTTTCCTTCTGTTAAACGGCAAATCTTTATACTTTGGTCGCTAAAACAATCAAACTGCGTAATAAGGAAAGTTATTTTTTATTTTTTGCGTAAAATATTGAGAAAAACTTTATCACTTTCTAAAATCCTAATAGTAATTGTGATATAAAAAAAAAAAGAGAAAAAACTTATCATGTTTTCTTCTTAAATTGTTTGGAGGCGTCTAACACTCAACGCGCCCACGCGCTGAACAACGTCACCCTCGCCTTGAGTTGAAGTGACGTACACGTACGCCGTTAGCGCGTGCTAACTTGTGATATACGTAGGAGAATAGAATTCAAATATAACAAATAAAAGCATATTCTTCCACAACAAAGCACACATCTAGAAGGTTTAATATCCATTAGAAGCGGTTGACTTTTTTTTTTTTTCTTTTATCAGTTATCTGCAATTGCAAACTTGTTGCTATCCATTTTTCAATTTGGTTCTTAACCATTCGATAATATTGGACTTAAACCCAAAAATAGAAGAAATTATTGAGATTTGGTACAAAGTTTATGAAATAATAGGTTATCAACAAGTTAGATCATGGGCTTAACTTGCACTTAAAGTAAAGAGCAATTAGTAAATATCGCACATGCCATTAAAAATAATATGATTTTATTATTAATTGTCTTTAAGATTGAATTTAACTATTGAAAATAATTAATAATTTTTTCTATAAAAATATTTATTGCATTAATATTTTTGATAAACATTTATTATTTTTAAATATTTAAACTTAACTCTAAAAAGTTAACAAAAGAATATGGACATATGTCAATTAAAAAAAATGAAACATACTGGTTGCATTAAATGACACGCAGACCTCGAATATGGCATTAGCATGTTCTAGCTTTCACAATTCATTAAAAATGCGTTAACGTTTATGGCATTTGCTATCATTTATTTTTGTTGAAGCATCTGCTACGAAGTTATAGTTGAAAATGATAATTTTTTATCTATATTATAGCTATACCTATTTATTTAAGAATTTTATTAATCTTACCTCATAAAACTAAGTTTAAACATTTATAAATAAATTTTTTAATAAAAAATAAAAAATTATTATATTAAAGTTATAAAAATATAATAAATATTTTTTTAAATAAAATTTTACTATTATTAGCTGTTTATTTTAAGATTAATATTAAAAAAACTCTTTATTTAATTAAATATTAGACTAACGGCAAAAAAAAGGTGGTAAAATGAAAACTAAATGAAAATGACATTAAAATACTGGTTAGTCTCCGGTGAGTGATAGTGAACAGTGAAAACAGGAACAAATATTCTCTATTATATTTGTATAGAAAAATAAATATATAGATTATTCTTTAACCACTAAGTAGTAACAAGTGTGAGCCATTATTTAAAGCTTTTTAGTTCTTGGTTTCCAAACTGTCCACCATCATTTAAGGCATTTGATCGATTGGAATTGCTACTGCCAACAGTTTAAAGGTTCATGTTACAAAATCAATCTCCGCTTTAAACTTCTTTTGGCTGACTTGGTAAAGACAGTACATTTGAGTCAAGAAATTTCATCACAAGAAAAAGATAATACAATAAATATCCCACTGTTATATAACGAATTTTTACTTTTTTTCAGTTATTGCATTAACTAAAGTTCTATCGTTAATTATTATTGTACTTTTGGATCCCCCGGTGGTGGAATGGGGTGGGAAATGGGGTCAAGACGGGGGAATAAAGCCCTTGCTATCTAGATGGCCAATAAGACGTTGAACAGAAGGCCAGAAACTCAGTTATCTCATGTTCCAGCTCACATCTAGCTAGTTGAAGAAAAAAATTAGGTTAATTTCATTAGCTAATAGTTGCTTATCCTTGTTCTCCTCGTCCAACATTAACAGTTTCACAATGCAGGACAAAGATCTATTAGTTTTAACAGTCTCCCATAACTATCAGAAGGAATTCAACCAAATTCTTGATCACTTTGAAATCATCCTAAATGATGACAATGTGAACAGTAAATAGCGAGGAAAGCATTGGAAATTAGGGCCGCAAAAGGAAACGGAGAAGAAGAATCCCTTGCTACGGAAAGAATGATGCAAATTTGAAGATATCTTTATTTGCAAAATCAGCTTCCAGATGATCGAGTGAAATCAGATAAACATGATATTAATAAACTTACATAAAGAATCAAAGAGAAGGAAAAAGAAAACAGAAAACTAAATTAAAAAAAAAAAAAAAAAAAACTAAAAGCTTATGAGCTCTGGCCAAAAAATTAGGGTTGTGGCACTCTCTTCATTATGGATTAAAGAGCTTCCGGAAAGGCCCATCTTTCCTGTCTTTGGCAGCTTCAGTAAGAGCTAGGAACCGCTTGAATCCAGTAGTGGCAGCTCCTCGTCCAAGTGCAGCAGCCCTAGTTAGAACGTCCTCCCGCGAAGCTATGAGTCCAGCAGCAGAGGGACTAGGTACCACAGGAGCTACTGGAGCAGCTGGCACAATTGTAGGTGCAATCTGAGTTTGCTTAATTCCAGGCCCATGTTTGTTAAAGTCATCAAGAATGCTTTGTTGATCAGCTTTTTTGAGACCCTGAAAACACACATCATTCCAACATCAAGCATAATTTACAGATCATGCACTTAGTTGCATAAAAAAACCAAAAATAATTAGCATCCTGTGATAGCATAGCATCCATAAGCAAAGCATGAAGCATTAATGAATATTAACAAATTTAGCTAATTGATATAATTATTAATTATCTTTTTTATTCATCTTCTGTTGGATTTAGACATTGCAAGCTCTATTCTTCTGTAATTATATATGTATCTTCATATAATTCATATAATAAAGAATACATATGGCAAAACATCAGTAATAGACTGTGTTAGATGGCCTGCAGTTACTTAAGTGTACCTAAGAGGAATAGAATACGGAGAACAGGATTGGAGGCCCAGAACACCAGACACAACACGGTGGGGGAATTAAGTTGTAACAACTTGCTCAAGTGGCAAAGGGAGTAGAAGAAAAGGAGAGAATTAGTGAGGCTTAAGGCGAAGATGGGGTAAGAGAGAATGGGCATGAATTTTGTAATATTTGGGAAGGGAGACTAGCAAACCTCGAAGACCTTTTGTATCTGTTCATTTTTCCTTTTACGATTTCACCTTTGTAATTAGGATTACTACCACTTTTCTGTTTATCATATTACTTGTTAAGATTAATTTACTAAAGATGTAATGTGCTATTGAATTAGTGAACCTTGAACTGCTCTAGTGACAGACTATCCAATTTTTTAAGAATTACTAGTTTTCACAAAATTGATTCGTCAAAGTGCTTCTTTGTCAAGCTCCTCAAGTTTGAAATATAACATTACTCCTTTTCTTAAGAGGATGGCCCATTTGCTTACAACTTTTCAGCTTAAATTAATAAGCCAAGTTGGTAAAAAACTTCAGTAATTTTATTTAATCATGAGCTTAATCTTAATAAATTACTTCATGTATGCAATAAGAGTCATGGAAGACTTTATCTCAATGACCAGAGGTCCAGAACAAACAAATAATGCAACAACCAGTAACCAACCAATTAGTGATTTTGATAAAACTAGCAAGAAATAGCTAATTATAACCTTAAGCTCCAGTATTCGTTGAAACTCCATGGGTGTACCCTCAGGTAGCAATGCACGGTAAGTATCTGCTACAGAATCAACTGGAGAAAGTATAACCTAAACATGGGCATTCACACAAATTTGTCAGGAATTAAGCACAAGTTTGGTTTGGATTGAATTTGAATTTTAGGTAGAAATCTTTTTTCTTTTCAGAAATCTGTTCGCATATCTTGATTATATGATGTTTTCAACACAAATTAAGCTAATCCAAACAAATCAAGTTTTTTAAATTAATTTTAAATAATAAATATTTTCACTTATAAATGGACAACAGACCTTCAAAAGGGCCTCAGCTTTGCTCATTTCTCTGCTTACAAACTTGGAATAACTTGCAGCACCTGATGTCTGCACAGAAAATAAGCAGCCAGTTCGTGTAATGAGATAAACAAGCACACAGCAAATTGACAATTAGATATGCAAACAGAAGTATGTCACGTTCGCTATTTATTTATTTGACAACCCCCAAAAACAGAAGAGTAGAAGAAGTCAGCAATGGTGTTGATTCTTGCAGTAATGACAACAAATTTACAAGTTGTATTTAAGATGAGTACAAGGAATATCACCTGTCTACCAAGGGAAGGAACTTCAAGAAGGATTGTCTTTACAGCTTGGGTATCTAATAGCATCTGCAGAAATCAGTTCACTAGCTTAGTAGCTTATCAACATCATAAATTGGGTTCCAAGAGTTCACAGAAAACAGAGATTATCATATAAATAAATAAAAAGCTTCAATCATATATCAATAATACAGTTTAACTAAAAAACAAAGTCAGTCAGTCTCAAAACCCAAAATAGGGAAAGCAGTTCAAAATGGGACAAAATAGTAAATACAAGCTAAACCAGTTGCATTGGTTTCAACGCGTCTTCAATAACCAATATTTTTTTTGTTGACAGGAGTATGAAGTCATCAAACCTATTATTTGACTTCACTATTGATGTAAACTAAAAGGAAGTTGTTTTTAAGGAAGAACAAGTCAGTACCTGTTGAGCTCCAGTTTCAGATATTTGCTTGCATTTGAAAATGTTTGAATAAAAGCGTGGACCAAGAGATGATGCAAGCTGCAGATAATAAATAGGAGAATAGATTTAAAAAACAACCTACACACCATGCGAATTATTAGGGATGATTAAATTAATGAACTACTAGGGGATGTTATCAAGAATGAATATGAGAAGATATTCAAAAACAGAAATGATAGAAAAATCTAGCACAAGTGAAAATTGACTAGACCTGAGTAAGAATCCTGAAACTCACCAAAACATTCATAGTATGGAATATGGATAAACATCGACAGATACTCCCCAAATAAACAAAATTTCCATGCCATGGAAACGATTTAAGGTGAATATGAAATAATAGAATGATGCACTCACAAGAAAAATTATTTAAAACATTAAAAAAACACAATGTATACTTCATAACTATAAATCTGCAATTACTTTGCTAGACAAGAAATTGTCCTTAACACCAATTTTAATGTCAAAAACCATAGTTTTATGTATTTAATCCACTTTATAGTCAATCACCTTGTCCAGAAAGAACTGAAAGTAGACAGGTGAAAGAAGACTTCCAAGTACAGGAATGCTAATGGTTAGAATCAAATTTATGGCATTAACATACCTGCAAGAAAAAATAGTACAGCTAAATTAAAGAACTTAGTCAGGAATGACAATTATTTGTTAAATTTTATTAAGGAATTCAACTTACTCTGATTGATCACCAACACTCTCAAGGGTACCCCAAGGGACACGAGTCATTGCAGCCATTTCAATGTCGAATTTAGTTTCCAGGCCATGCACTAAGGTCACCAATGATTTAGTTATAACGGCTGAAAATTCATCCTGTATAAATTGCATACCACTGTTAGAATGAGAGCTGTAGAATTTATTCATCATTTACTAAGAGAGAATAAGGTTCATACCTGCACTTCTGAAATATCCACCCCATCTGCAAATTGAGGATCAATTATTTTAGAAACGCTTTCTGCCAGTTCACCAGCCTGTCAAGCAACAAAGCTAAATAAATCAGGCATTTCCTCATTATCAACTAGATGAAGAATGTTAAGAAACTAACTAACCGTTTTGTGGCAATATTCAGCTGAATTGACAATGTAACAAATCACTCTTTCATCCCTATCAGATGTCTGTTCAACATTTCCAAATATTAAAAAACAAAAGAATTTTGTCTGATAGCATGAATAAGTAACTTCTCATCACCAAGAAAAATCAATCCCTTTGAAGATACCTTTATTTGTCCATCCATGCCAGTGGCTGCGGCAACAATTCCTGTTCCCCCTTTTGGGAGTCTAGCAAAGAGCTTCGTAGCATATGCTTTAAGAACTCTTTGGAAAACCTGAAATTGAAAGGGAACAAAGTCATAAATTGCATGAATATGACTGCAATCGAAAACTAACTTGCTTTCAGAAACAGAGTTAAATAATATTATTTTTTAATACTTTACAACACTACTACCAAAGATGGCATAGCCTTATTATTAACTTTTCTGCCACATTCAACTACACTTATCAGCAAAGAAACCAAATTAATCGGTACAATTATGTTCTTTATCTGTCAAAGAAATACTCTGAAACATCCAGAGGGGACTCTTGACCAACAATAACAAAAATAAATGAAAAATCATTTGTAATCAAACTGTCAAACAACACTACCTTCTTAAAATAATAATAACATTGCAATAATTTATGATATTACAAGACTGACTGAAACAGGGCCTACTGTTCTGCTTCATGATAAACAAGTAGCAGAAGCTAATTTATAACTAAGTGAAAGTTTCTTTTCATTGAGTGCCCTTACATCTACAAGTCCCACAAATTGAGTTAAATGCCTCCCTTTCTTAACAAAGTTCAAGGAAGGATTTTTTTAATTTATTCCTTATTAAAGTAGTTCTTTTGATAAAAATAAATAAGTTGCCATAGACAATAGCAAAAAAATTATACTTTGATTCCAATGTACATTATGAACAATCATCCATAATTTGGACACATGATTCTGAACCACCGCCGAAACAAGGTAAAAAAAAAAAAGGGAAAATAAACTTATATGCATTATGACTTTTTATATGAAATAGAAATACTAAACTATAATTCAGAGTTTACCTTAAACAGATTGAATAGTGTCTGGTTCTTTGTTAAAGCACTGCATCTCTTCAAGCTTCTCTTGATTATAAGAAACAACTGTGTTGCATCACATAAAACAACCAAGTAAACACTAAGCAAAACAAAAACTGATTGTAAAAAACAGGGAAAAAAAAGCTATCTAGCCGCATTACTCTTTTGCAACAGTTAATCAGGTACCACCAAGAACTTCTAAGAGCTCATAAGACAAGAAATGATATAGTGGTAAGCTACCCTGCTATGTAACATAACCTGCACGAAGATCAAGGGGCTCACCTGCATGCTACTGGATAAAACACTACTCTGACTTCCCTCCTCAATATCCCATGTCTCCTCCTATAGTGGATAAAACATTGAATCAAGGGCAAAAAAACTAAAGTAAATCACAGAACACATATCTAAAAGGCAACATGCAAATTACCTGAACAAGTTTCTCCAGACTTTCCATTAATGTCTTCTCTTCTAATTCTACATATACTGTTAAGTGAGGTTCAAAGCAAGATGAAATAATTCCACGAAAGTTGAACTGTCCAACAACCAAATGTTTGTCAGATCTGTCTTAATGAAACAGGCCAAAAGTAATAAAATGAGAAAACCTCTAGATTTTTTTTACATCAACCTCACTTTTTTCACATTTGAAATCTTATACTTCTGTTGTTTCACTTTGATAAAAATGAAAATAATTAAAAAAATAACTGAGGCAACTGTTTGAGAAAATTTGTCACATAAACTCAGATTTCAGATCAAGAGAACAGTACTAGTGAAATCAATAAAATATTAGTCCACAACTCAAGATTGAAAATTTTAAAGCAAAGTAACATCAGAATGTAGCACATCTTTTTTTTGGGGTTTACAAAATTACAATGCATGTGTCACATACTTAAGTTGGAATATTGAATAAAGAACCACACCAGATAAAGTGGCCAAGAAAACAGAATTACAGGCAGACAAACCAAAAAAGTTAATCCCAAAAGCATTGATAATTTCGATATCATCATGGCAACACCTCAGAGACCACAACTGTAAATACATGGACTTAGTCTATAAAATTAATTTTATATATATTTATATTTATATATATATATATATATATATATAATAGTCAAAAGAGACCATACCCCAGCTCCAGGCACTGCCAAATCTTTACTTCCATCTTTTTCCTATTTATCAAAATCAAAACATAATGGTCATTTGATAGCTATAATTTCAAAAAAGAAAAAATCAAGAATAAGGACTGCCCTCTTCAGCAATTTATAATACATACATCACCATCACCTCCTTGATGGGCAGCAAGCTTTTTTTCATATTTCTTCCGGATATCCGAAGCATTACTACTCGAATTAGTCCCTCTACCTATTTCTTCAATCTCATTCCCAATCTCTCTGTTTTGAGTGCCTCCCCCAAATTTCTCAGCCAATTCATCCTCAAACTCTAAAGTTCGCTGTAAAGCCTGAAAGGAATTAACAGATAAAACACTGAATAACACTTAAAAATCTAAATGTTTTCATCCTATATATATTAGATTGATAACTTATGCATTGTTACCAACATCTATGAAACAGCCCTGGGAAAGGGAAGTATAGACAAGGATGTAAGATAGCATCTTAACATGTGAAGCAATTATTTATGAAGCACAAACTCCAACTCAGACACTGGACATGGATACTCCGACACAATTTATGTAAGAATATAGGACAATGGGACACACCTATATATATAATGAAATTAAATATAAGTAACATAACAAAAGGTACAAGACGATAATCAACTTGTATATTTTTGGACCTTTACCTTCTTATGATAATGAGCCTTAGAAAAACATACTAATAGGCATTGTTTTTCAATATTTTATATTACATTTTAGATTTTATTTTTTGAATTTGAAAAAATTATATTTATATATATTTTTATAATATTAATGTCCTTGAAGTGTCTGTCCATATGAAGGTGTTAGCTCAAGTGTCTGAGTCATATAGAAATATTGACTTGAGTATCCAAACCGATAAAAATAATCTTTTAAGTGGACAACTAATGAGGAGTGCCTAACATGTGTCGTACAAGTGAAGGGGAGGTGTAGGTGCCTAACATTCTCACACTTCAAGAAAGAAAAGTATCTGTACTTCACAGATTATCATAACAGGATCGTCAATACTTCATCATTTATGGGCTTACCAACAACAAGGTCCCAACATCTGGCTTTTCCTTTAGATTAGCAAGAATGTCCTCAAGTTGTTTCCTGTGGAGAGAAGTATCATAAACACAATAATAATTTTGCATACATTGACCCTAAACTGAGTTTATTAGATATGAAAAGGCACAATATTCTGTCAAATGCTCAATTCCACTCCATCACTCTTTTTTTTGGTAATAGAATATCTACAATAAAAACATCTCAAACTTTTTATACTTCATTAAATTTGATGATGGAAATTCAAAATCAAACATATGGGGAGATGAAGATGAAGTCCAAGTAACATTCCAAACTGTAGCAATAAAATGATTCCAATAAATTAAAATGTTATTTCAATGGTCATGGATTCTTTTAATGGAGAAGGCATGATTCATATCCATTGCTATATGACTTATATACAAACAAATAAGGATTGTACCTTGTTTTCTTGCAAAATAGGATACAGAGCCGATATGAAACATGCCATGAAGATGGAAAAATTTTCCAAATTTCTTCATTTGATCTCATTCGGCGCTTAATCCATGCATATCTTCGTTCAGTTTTATCCAACTTTGCAAGTTCTAAACAATGAAAAAAAAAATTGAAATCCAAAGTTCAGACATTTGACAAGAACTCTATGAATAAACTATCATAGAAGTAAAGCTACAGATAAAGAAAACATACCAGCTCCTTCAAAAATTTGCTCATACGATGTAAGCTCCCTATTACAGAAATTATTTACCAATTCTTCCCTCACAGAAGGCTCTAATGCATCAACAACCAAGCAGGCATCAGACAACTGCTGTAGCAAATTAGTTTCTTCTGTCTCCTTTCCAGTACCTAAGCTGAGACAAAAAGAGAAAATTGAGGAAGCCAGTTACACTTAGGCTCTTTGGAACCAAGCAGCTTCTGTATCTAGTGAGGTTAAATACATGCTCAAAAAACAGATATGCAATTCACATTGTGGAGCCTACAGGGATTTCCAAACAGAGCAGAAGATATAAATCAGTAACAGCAATATACCTAGAAAAATCAGAAAACACATGTGACTTTAGTATTTGCTTGATATTCTTAAACTTCTCCCTCAGTTCTATGATCTTCGGAATATCCCTATAGGCCTCAAAGTGACTACATAACTGGTTGACTGCCTGAAATACAAGAAGACAGTATCAATAAATCAATATATAAAGCAAAAAAAATATGTTGAGTTCAATAGAGTAGTTAATTAAAACAAGAGGTATTACTTTCTTCATGAGAAAGATGAAAATTAAGGAATTCAAAACAACTGAAGTAGACATCCAGAGTCTATACTGTGTGTGAGTGAGAATTTGCAGCATGTTAGGGGACCGCTTTTTCCAGAGAAATGATCATATCTTTTTTCAAAAGCTCTCTCCAGAAACTGACAAAAATAAACAATTATTTCTTCAAAATAAGTTAATAAAAAATGCACTCAATTCTAGATGATTTTAATTTTGCAAAAATGATTTTGGTTAAAATTGAGTTTAGAGCAAAGTAAGTTATGTTCACAAACTTTTTATCTCAAAAGCAAGTTTGCAATTACAAAATTGTCAACCTAATGCATAAGCTACATAAAAGTTGCTTGAGCTAGAATCATGTTTAACTTTAACCACATTTTCCTGTTTGAAGCATAAACCAAAATGTTTTCTCAGACATGTTAATAACGATAAAATCCCAATGGCAAGCTACAAAGATAGATTGGATACCTCCAGCTGTGCAGCGGCCTCTTTATATTGACGTTTAGAAGCCATGACTTGAAGCTGTTCAACAGCAGAGACTGCCATACAATAGGTAAGCTTGTTGAAGTAAAAAATCAGAAGATGTCTATGCATCTAAAACACCAATTATGCAACAAAGATATAGAACAGATGCAACATTTTATATTTGTAAGTTAAAATTGCATCCACTTTGTTTAAATGTTTGCATCCGAAAAGTAGTTCAATGGTTTATTCTACAAGTAGCAAACATTACTTGGTAGTTGTCTGTCGCAATCAAATATGAGGGACTTTACAATCTCTACATGTTTATGGCAAAATAACGTAGAATGATGTATAAGTAAAAGTGGTTATATGATTCTTAACTATGTCTATGTGGGATTATGCGATCCAATCATAACAATGCCGTCGATAGTCACATAATAATGCTCAAAACTCATCATTATTTTTTATTGTAATTAACAGATTTTGCATATTTACATTTTTTTTATTGCTATATTCCACAAAAGGACAAAATTATAAATAAACAGAATGTACACAATATCTACTTGTTTAACAAAGAACTACACTTGCTCAAGCTCATAAACATACCTAACGAACCAAACTTGCATAAAGTTCAATTTCTTAAACACTAAACGAAACAAGCTTATGAACCACGAATGGATAAACGTTTTTTCACAGACAAAGGAAAAGCAAGATTTACCGAGCATCGTAAGCCGATGAAGTGCAGTAATCGTCGTAGTTATATGCTTCTTTGCAAAGTCCAGTTTCTTAATATCGCGGCAAATTTCTTGAACCATTGTTTCACTTTGTACAGCTTTCGTTTTTATCTCTCGGATCTTATACATCAGTTCCTGCATTACGAAACCAACTACAACGGTTCAAAAAGCACAAGACACGCTAATTTCAGAAAAATCAACTACTTCACACACACACACACACACACACAAATACCTCAACGGCACGTGTAGCAGCAGCGAGATCTTCTTTCGCCTTAGTTCCTGAATTGCTCTGAAATCAGAGAATCGGAGCCATCAAAGAGCGAAAATCACGGAACGAATTAAACTACGCGACGTTAATCGAAGAGATTTTAAGACCTGTTGGCGAACAGCAGCTAGAATTCCAGCATCAACAGTGCGAATCTCGTTCTGGATTTTTTGCATCAGTGGCTCCACGCCAGAGAGAGATGCCTCTGTATGATAGCATGCAAAAATTTGAGAAGCGAAACGTTAAATCAAAAGCGTTGGCGATTGAGATTGAAATTTGTTGCGTACCGTTTGGGAACATTTGGTTGATGTACTCCAAAGCACTTGACTTGTCCATTGGTGAAGATGAGAAAAACGGCAATCAAAAAAGCATGAACAGTGATGGTAATGTACAGATCTCTAAATTCGCACCATTTATGCTCTTCGATTCGTCGCAGATCCAATTACAGAGCTATCAGCTGTGCCGCTTGTGCCACTCCTCCTATCATCTTCTTCAACTTCTGGACACTCCTCTAATATATGAAATTCAGAGGACTCGTAATGAAATTTTCATTTAGATAAAATAATTAAAGGGAAAACTAGAACATACACAATCTATCTACTGCTGTATATTTTTTTTAGTATTTATTATCAATTGTATTTTCCCTTTTTTATTTTCCATCTACTACAACTAATATTTATTTTTATTATTTTTGGGTGTACATATTTAAAATTATACTTATGCATGAAAATTAAATAAGATATCAGAATGTATTTGAATAAATAATATAATTAAAATTTGTCAATAATGAGAAATTATTATATAAATTTAATTATGAAAGATTATGAAATAAAATAAACAATTTTTATAATATGTATTTAATGATATATAATAAAAAATTATATATAATAACTTTTTTATTAAAAATTATAAAATATTATAAAATTTAAAGTGATGATAATATTAAATGTTATATTTTTAAACAAATAATGTTTTTAAAATATGTTAAGAGCATATAATAAGAAACTATTTTTATTAAAAATTAAAAAAATCTAAGATATTAATAATAATAAATGTTATAATTTTTAATAAAAAAAATTATTTATGTCGTCAAACATTAAAAAGATTAACAAAAATTTACTACTTTTTTAGTCAGACAGGTATCGCTTACTATTAATATTAAACAAAATGATTAATTTTATCAATTATTATGAATTTATGGTAAAATAAATTGATTTTACTAAATATAGTTATAAAAAGTGCCAAAATTATTGTACTAGTTGATCAGTAAAGAATATTTTTAAAGGAATAATAAATTATTATAATAATTATTGACAAAATTATTTATAATAAATATAATTATTGTTAGAAATATTTTTTTTTATATTTTAAAGTTATAAATAATTTTAAAAAATAAAAATATTTAACAAAAATTCAATAGAAAAATATTTATAATTTTTTTAACACTATAAAAAAGTCTCTAAAATATTTTTATAGTTTAATTGAAGTAACTAATAATTAAGTCACACTATCATTTTGTTGAGCTATTAGTTTTAAATTTTAATTTTTTTAAAAATAAAAACATTTTTTAGTTTTTATTTTTAAAATTTTTTAATTATAAATTTTAAACATAAATACATAGTAAATAAACAACACATATGATAAAAAGATAATAAAAAACAACTTATTTAAAATATTTTTAAAATTTAAAGGATTAAAATTAATCAAAATTAAGTTAGAGAACAAAATTAAATTAAACTTTTAAATTGACAAAAAAAATATTTTTTTTCTAAATTTTAATAATAATTTACTAAATTGTCCCATAAGTACATGAGTATTTGCTAAACATATTTTAAACAGGTTAATAGCTTTTCAATGGTTCTCATCTCATAGACAAATATTTGAAAATGGGAAAAATTCTACCAAAAAAAGATATTTGCAAATATCCATTAAAAAACTTTAATAATTTAATTTAGAGTAACTATATATAAAGTCACAGTGAACAAAAATGCTTAAACTTACAAAAATAATACAATGTTTGGTTGCAATAATACTTGCACAATCTTAAGTAAGCATATATCAAAAGCCCTGTGAAATAGCTAAAGCACAGATCAAGTTTACGTGGTAATAATATATATAATCCAATACCCATCTCACCCGTTAACGACAAACTCGCAAATATGCATAGGTAAGAGATTTTACACAGGCGAATACATATAATTTTGTCATCTTATTGCCTCAAACTCACAAATTGCTGTCCTTTTTAGTGATTTTAATTTATTTCATAAAAAAATTCTCAATAAAAATTTTCAAATATGAAATTAATTAACAACATAAAACAAAAAGAGGTATTGAATCAAGTTTTCTTTCTTTTTAAATTTCTTGCAAACTGAATTTTGTTAAGTAACCATTAATTCAAGTAATGGACAATGTATTCAATAACATAGAGATAATATTACAAAAATAAGTTTCAATTCAAGAGCTCATTTTTATTAGTGCAGATAAATAAATACAATTTTTAAGAGAAATGAATATCAAAAGTTATATTGTATCATTCTACAACTATAGAATTACATTGGATCTTTGACAACTATCACTGTTTTCACTATGAAATATTTATACATAATAAAGTGTTTCGTTCTCCAAAAAAAAATTACAAAGATGAAAAATTTAAACAATGTCTAAAGATTTTCAAAAAAGTTTGACTAAAAAAAATGTTACAATGACTTTTCAATCACAACGTATTAGGTAGTATCTTCCATTTTGCATGCTTATATGTCTTCATTTTATTGAGTTGCAAACCCTTGTCAATGTTAGAGATAATGCCTTGAATTGTTTTATTTTTTAAGTTAAAACTGAATCACTTAACAAACTCATTAAATAGCATAAATTTCATCAGTATTTTTATATTTTTCATACATCAATATTCTTAAGGATCAACCGTCTTAGTTCTAACAAAATATTTTAGTCAAGCATAACTTAAGTATTTTTTTAAAAAAATTAATTAAATTAAAATCTCAACCAAATTAAACAAAAATTAATTACTTTTCTTGATCAGTGAAGGGAATAATCGAATCCAATCCAATCTTATCGAATGGAATCAGCGTTGGCCTAAGATAATTGGAAGTTTGGAATATAAAAAAATTTCACATTACATTATTCCCATCATTCAAGAGATCGACACTCTGTTATTCTTTGGTCTCGTGTTGAATGACAGACAAGTGTCAACCATAAAAAAAAATTAAGAAAAAGATAAAACTTTGTTTTATTTTTAAAAATCTTCAACACAGTATACAAATATATCATAAAAGAATCAAAGAAAGTCACAATTAAACAAAATTTAGTTTGGTTAGAATAGAGAGCATTCTCTATCAGCCAACACATTCAATTTCAACAACAATAAACTGTTCTTGATGCTTACACAAATAAGGTTATTTCTTGCTAGTTTTTCCCCTTGTGATGTAACCACATCCTAGTCACGGATCTGCATGTTGCAAAGACCCCAAAAGAACACTGGTCGCTGGTTCACAAAGATTTTCAAAACAAAAACAAGGATAGAAAAACAGAAGACAATTTCTCATTTTAGATTGACCATTCTTCTGAGTAGTAGCCAAAATGGAAAGAAGCAATAATTCAATCAATTACCTGTCAAAAGTCAAACATTTTTTCAGCTAATTGCGGAGGCTCCTGTTTCAATTGCTTAATGTATTGCTCTTCATTTGATTTTGTAGCTGTAAAATTACAGCTATACTTGGAAGCAATTTTAGATGCCTCTTCTGCCAATTCCTAAGGCAAACAATTCATCAAGACAATGAAACAATGAGTGCCCAATAACTGCAAAACCTGTGAACGATTCATCATATTTCATTAAAACACAAATGAAAGGGTCATAAACTCGTGGTGTCAAAGCATTAGATGGAGACCTTACAAGCTCCCTTCCAGAAATTGGTTAAGAAACATCTGTGTAGTTTAGTTTCTATTTTGATTCAGGTCTTATTCCAAGACCAATTAGGGCAATTGGATCTAATATTCTTCAATTCTGACTGTTACCTATTGCCTTCTTAACGTCCCAGCATAGCCCCTGCACAGTTCAAGTTCACATGTTAACTGTAAATTTGTAATTATGAATACCACAAGCTAACAAATGTATAAATAATAAGTAAACAACAATAATTATATAAATGAAATCATAAAAGTAATGAAGCAAACACACAAAAGCAATGGCCAGCATTAATTCTGGGCGAACAACTTTGTACAGTTAAAAAAAATTGAATATTGATTATTATATTTGACATGCCGCACTAATGTACATTCCTCTCTACATATCAGACATAATCACAAACAACTGAACCATTTCAGAATATGTCATTGATGAATTGATCATGAATCAAATCATATGAATCACATCTAACAAGTTGGAGGAATGATAAGATAAGATGTTTTGGAGAAAAGAGATACTTCCTGGTTGACTCTTGTCAACACCCGATACTAACCTGTGATCTAAAAGAATGAGGAGTAGATATACACTGGCTTTGTACGTAGAGAATGCCAGGTTAATGTAGCTACTGAATGCTTTGAGCTTGGCAAGGAAACCAGAATTCACCTAACAGCAGTGAAGCCCCACTTCCTGGTTATCTAGCCAAAAAATCAAGCAGATAGGGACCTGGCATGTTGATTGAAGCCTGGAATATTGATCCAGCTATTCCCAGCTTCCTTTACCAACCCTTTTGTCCTCATGATCCTTCTTAGTTCATCAACATAATCCCACTTGCCAATGGCTGCATAAAAATTTGATACAAGAACAATATTGCTAGCTTTATTGGGTTCCAACTGCAAGAGACGCTTTGCAGCAAATTCACCTCTTTCAAAATCCTGATTAAGACAGCAAGCATTCAGCAATGCTATCCATACTCCTGCAGTAGGCCTAGTACCCTGCTCAATCATATTGTGGTATGTAGACCATACTTCTTCTATATTACCTGCTCGCCCTAAGATATCTATGTAAGAAGCACAGTGCTCTGGATCTGGTTCAAGACCATATTTCTCCCTCAACAATTTGAAACATTTTTTGCCTTCCTCCACCAGTCCAGAGTGACCACAAGCCGATAAAACAGACAAAAAAGTCACAGAATTTGGCAACACCTTACTTCCATCCTCCCTCATCGTCTGAAACAACTCAACAGCTTCACGCCCTTGCCCATTTCTTCCATAGGCATCAATCATACAAGTCCAGGAAATCACATCCTTCTTGCAAATTCCGTCAAAAAATAACCGGGCATGCGACATCCTCCCACATTTTGCATACATATCCAACAAGGCATTGCAAAGTTGGGACTCGAAAGTAAAGCCCTGACGAATTGCAACACAGTGTATCTGTTTCCCTACCCACAAATCCAAATTCTCAGAGCACCCCACGAGAGCACTGGTTAGTGCAACAACATTAGGCTTCATCAAGCTCATAGCTTTGAATGCCTCATCGTATCTCCTATTCCTAACACACCCAGAAACAAACGAATTATACATCATATCATCTTTCCAACCCTTCAAACTATAAAAGACTCTGAAAGCATCATCAATACACCCAACACTGGAATAAAAATCAATAAGAGCAGTGCTCAAAACAACCAAGTCACGCCCCATACACACCACCAAACCATGAACCTGCCTCCCAAGCTCCAATGCCTTCAAAGAAGCACAACATTTCAACACAGAACACAAGGTAAACTCACTGAACTCAACATTCTCCCTCCCCATCACACTCAGAACCCGAACGGCCTCAACAGGAAGATCACACCTTAAAAAACACGAAAGCAAAGCATTCCAAGCAACAACATCTTTGTGGCCCATTTCTTCAAACACCTTCAAGGACTCATCCAAATACCCATATCTCGAATACATGTCCAAAAGCGCGGTTTTTGCGACGATTCCAGAATCAGCACCGGTTTTAATCATTTGGGCATGAACTTGTTTCCCAACTTCAGAGACAACTAAAAGAGAACAAGCACGCAAGACAGAGGTGAAAGTATAAGCATCAACGTCGGAGCGCACGCAACGCACAGAACGAAAGAGGGCCCATGCAGAGAAAGGGTTACCTCGGCGAACGTACGAGGTGATGAGGTAGTTAATTTGGCAAATGTCGAGCTTCGTTGTCTCTTTCAACTTCTCCATTAATGGCCGCTGGAACATCTTCATTGAATGCTGTTAGTGCACTAGCATGGCTCTAATTTCCAACACAGTAATCTTTCATGAATAGATCGATCAAACACAAAAATGCAACCCGGGCTTAAATCACTCTACTAATCATTCCACTTAGTTTATGGATCTAACATAATAAATATTTTTTATTTTAAGATATTCATATTTAATTTTTAAAATTGAAATTGATAAAATTATTAATATATACTTTATTGTATGTATTTTTGGGTGGATTGTAAACGATTTATAGATAAAATTTATCTAGTTTATGTATAATTTTAACCTACTAATTTTAGAAGAGTTCAATAAGCAAATTTTGTCATGTGCTTTTGACAAAATGATATAACCAATAAGATGTGGAGAGAATTTTTTTATTTTTTTTTGGGTGAAGGAATGATTTGGATTTTCTATATTTTGGTTGAGAAAATTTAGCTAGTTTAGGTGAATTTATAATTTTCATGGTATTTTTATAATTTTTTATACCATTAATATTATTTTTATAAAAATATTGTAAAATCTTTTATCGTATAAATAATTTATTTTATATCATTACACATATGATAATGTTTTGAAAATTATCATTATTGTTAAGAAAAAAATTATCATTATTAAATTAAATATTATTGCGGAATTGAAAATAATTTTATTAAAAATTATATTACAATACACTAAAATATGAAAAAATATTAGTATTTTTTTATTTTTTAATTATTTGACAAATTCAAAGATTATTGTTTTAGTTTTACTTTTACTAAGTATTTCATGCTGTAGAGTCAAAGAAGAGAAACAGAATTGAAATTGGAAGGGAATAAGCATTAAGCAGAGAGAAAGAGAGAATCTAATCGAAACGAAGAGAAGAAGACCATTTATCTTCTGATTTGTGAAGAACCTCACGATCCAATCCAATTGCAATCGGAAGCATTCGATTGCTTCCGATAACGGTAACGCTAATGGCGTCGGAGACTGATATTTCTCCGGCTGATACTCGCCGGGCTCCCGGCAAGGAGCAACAAGCCGCCGGCGTCGGAATCCTTCTTCAGATCATGATGTTGGTCTTGTCTTTCGTTCTCGGCCACGTTCTCCGTCGCAAGAAGATTTACATCATCCCCGAAGCCAGTGCTTCCCTTCTCATAGGTACTCCCCTTCTCTTTCAAACTTCTCCTTTCTCCACTTCTTAACCTAATTTCCCATTTTCATTACTCTGCAGGTCTAATTGTTGGCATATTAGCTAACATTTCAGACACGGAAACTAGTATCAGGTTTTTTCCTAATTTTTCGTCAATCATCATTCTCGATATTTGTTTATTTTGGTTTATTTGTGGAGCTTACTTTTGGATTGCCAATTTTCTACAGGGCGTGGTTCAATTTTCACGAGGAATTTTTCTTTCTGTTCCTGTTACCTCCCATCATATTATATCCTCACTAATAAACACTGTTATTTTTCCCTCTTTACTTTTCATTATTGAATTCAGTTTTTTAATGTGTAGCTAAGATCACCCAACAAGAACATATGTATAGTATGTTTTATTGGAAATCATGTGAAATTGCAGAATTTAATTCATTGATAACATTGAGGTTATATTTTCTCATGAAAACTTACTGTTTATTTATTTGTATTGTGTGTCATTGGGCACACGTTGAAAAAGCCATATTTAATTATTTGATTGCTGCACTGTCACGTGTTTTCTTCTTGACTTCTTAGTTCTTACTCAGTCTGGGTTCAGTCTTGCACCTGTAAGTCCCTGCTTAGTGTTCTCTGTTTTGGACTTGTACTTTATTCTTTTGGATGCATTTTGACTTGGTGTGGTGTTTGCACAGAAACCCTTTTTCTCAAATTTTGGAGCGATTGTGACATTTGCTATTTTTGGTACCTTTCTAGCTTCAGTTGTAACGGGTGTCTTGGTGTAAGTGTTTTTTTTCCATCCCTTTTTTGAATTGTTATTTTTACAGTTGATACTTAATACATGTGTTTTATTATGGTGGTTTAGTAGGAATTTTGAATTCATTGCTTATCTATGATGCAGCTATCTTGGTGGGTTGCTCTTCCTCATGTATAGGCTCCCATTCGTTGAGTGCCTGATGTTTGGTGCTCTCATATCAGCAACTGATCCTGTTACTGTTTTGTCCATATTTCAGGTGATTTACCTTTTAACATATTATTTTTGTAATTATCCCTCTTATATCTCTACTTCATTAGTCCATACACATGTGACATCCAAGGTTATCCATAATGCTCTCATACCCAAAATGCATGTCCAATATAAAGGCAGTAGGGTGTCTATAAGCAGGACTGATCCAGTGTCTGCTTGTTTGTTGCTTGTGTTTCAGCTGCTACATTTTTCAGAGAAATTGAAGCTTTGGTTTAGATTATCATAAGATCTGCTATAATGACATAAATAAATTATAAATGACAAAAAATATCAGTAGTTTTTGTTAATAATGCATGTAACAGGAAAAATAACATAATGCCCTAATTGGGAAAATTTAAGTTTGACAAATCTCTAATATTCTAAATCATCAACTCATAACTGGATAAGATGGCCAAGTTATGAATCACACTGGGGGTTTGTGCTTTTCCATTTTTATACAAGCTTGTCTTTTATTGTCCTTCATGGTAGTTCTGAGTTCTAAATGTATAATAAATATATAGCATCTGGTTCACTCTGTTTCCAACTTGGAATTTGTCCTAATTTATTCGCAGGAGCTGGGCACAGATGTCAATCTATATGCATTGGTTTTTGGAGAATCTGTTTTGAATGATGCAGTAAGTTTCTGTTGCTCGAGAATCTACAAGCTTTTCTTAATGCTGCACTGCATATGCTGTTTAAGGATAGATGGTGTTAATTGGATGATCTTTTCCTTTATTTTTCTCACATTCTATTTGTTATTTCTTTTGTCCTAACCTCTCTCATGCTTTATGGGCAGATGGCAATTTCTTTGTACAGGTACCTGAACTTTTGGAGTATATTGTTTTTATCTTAACTAGCCCAATATCATTAAGGTTAACTTTTTAACTAAGCATGTAATTTTCAGGACAATGTCATCAGTTAGAGCTCATCCATCTGGACAAAATTTATTCATGGTTATTGTTCGATTTTTGGAGACTTTTTTTGGGTCAATGTCTGCAGGTCAGTACTTTTCCTAATGTTCTGTTTAGGTGGACTAAAGAACTTGTTTTATTTTATTAACTTTATGTCTTAGATGTTATTCTGTATTGTTATGGTTTATGAATTGTTATACTTTCAGTATTCCTAATTTGGATTCTTGTGGTGGCTCTGCAGGTGTTGGAGTTGGATTTATTTCTGCTTTAATATCCTTTTAAATCTGTTCTTGGCCTACATATATGCACTATAAATCTTGAGAGACTTGAAATTCAAAATTTATTGTAAACCCTTGACTATCAGAACCTATTTAAGTATGCAGGATTGGATATTGACAAGTAAGTATTTAATATTAGTTTTCTTTGGGAGATTTTTCATTTGGTGTACATGTCATGGTTGGAATTTGGAAAATACTGATTGAAGAATTTTATGGTTCCATTCAGCCTTCAGAACTTGGAGAGTTGTCTTTTTGTTCTTTTCCCATATTTCTCGTAAGATGTCTTCCTGGACCATTTCTTCATAACTTTTTCATGATATTGCCATTCATAAGTTCTTCCATTCACAGTGCAAATTAGGATGTAAAAACTTTTTTTTTCAGGTACATGCTTGCTGAGGGCCTTGGCCTGTCTGGTATTGTATCAATACTGTTCACAGGAATAGTAAGTGCATACTACATTTTTCTGTGTTATTTCTGTCTGTTTCAAGACATCTTTATGAATATTTTGATTTTTTTTAGGTTATGAAGCATTATACATTTTCAAATTTGTCACAAAGTTCGCAAAGATTTGTCTCTGCTTTTTTCGAGTTGATATCTTCTTTAGCTGAAACATTTGTGTAAGGAGGATTTCAATTGTCATATTTACACTGTCATATGAAACATTTCCTCTATATAATAGTGCCTACACACTTTTTGTCTTATGTTGTACAGATTTATATACATGGGCTTTGATATTGCTATGGAACAACATAGCTGGTCACATGTTGGATTTATATTCTTCTCCATTGTATCCTTTCTTTCTGGCTCATAAAATTGAAGTGTTATGATTTGTATCAGCTTAATGTTTTATGTTCTTTTTGGTGCTCTTCCTTAACTCATGTGATAACCACTTAAGATATTCATTGGAATTGCAAGGTAATTGTACTGATTGCTATCATTATAAGTGTTTGATACACTGGAAGATGCTCATTTCAGGCTTTTTGAATAGTTTATTGACAGTATATAAAGATTTGCAAACACTTCACACATTTTTAAAGCTTTGCTTTCACTTTTCTCTTGGAAGTTGTAAACTAGATTGTTGGGGCATGCAGGGCGGCAAATGTCTTCTCTTGTGCTTATTTGGTCAATCTGGTCAGACCGTCTCATCGAAACATACCTGCAAAACATCAGAAGGCACTTTGGTATAGTGGTAAGGGATAAAGCAACACAAAATCATTGACTTTGCTGTGGGAGGATGGATTAGTTCTGTCAACTAAACAAACTGCTTCTTGCCTTTGGTGTATTCTATAATGCCTAAGTTTTGCACCTTTTGAACATGAACAGGGCTTCGAGGTGCAATGGCTTTTGCGCTTGCTTTGCAATCAATTCATGATCTTCCAGAAGGACATGGACAGACCATCTTCACCGCCACTACAGCAATAGTTGTTTTGACGGTAGGTGTGCTCTTGTTGTTCTGTAGTGAAGCTAATCATTATAAAAATAAATATAGATTGGTAGTGTGAGGTACTTGGCTATGTTGTACATCATTTAAAATGTAAATATTATTTTCACACACCATGTATCAACAAGAACAAAAACTGAGAGTAGGGAAGGTGACAATATTGAGTTGGATGAGTGGACATAAGATTGGGCGCAGATTGGTTCAGGAGAAAGTTGGAGGAGCACATATTGAAGAAAATATTACTTCACAAAGGGAAAGAAGATTGAGCAAGAAATGAATGCTGTATATGTGTCCAACAAGAGATGAAAAAGAATTGAGTGAATAAAATATATAAAGGACACAATAGCGAAGTTTAGTTAAAATCCAAATACAGAGGGATATACTGAAAAAAAAATTGAGGATTGTATTCCAAAAAGAGATTAAAGCAAATAATTGCTGAGACAAAATACAAAGAGGAGGCAGTAGAAAAATTCACTTCAAATAAAAGAAAATGTGAAATTGGCATAATCTCAACCTCTTTTAAGGAATCTTACAAGTTACAACGAGTGAAAGATCTTTGAATCCAATTTTAAGTGATCAATAAGTCAGCTACCAGTCTTGTGGTATGAACTGATACATGTGCCATTCAGGAATCTCATTTGACACAGATTTAGATTTGTAAATGGTGACTAAATTATAGCTGGAGGATATTGTGTTATGTGATTTATCATAAAAGAATACAGAAGTGCTATTTGTTAAAAGGATAATTCACTGGTAGTATTGTCCTATTCGTATAATTTTCTTATTTGGCTCTGGACCTTTTCCCCCATATTTTGTTTAATCACAATAGTTGAGCAGTAATTTCAATATGAAACTTAATTTTTCAGGTATTGCTGATTGGTGGTTCAACAGGTACCATGCTGGAAGCTCTAGATGTTGTTGGTGGGGACAGTCATAATGATAGTCCTTTGGCTTCAGTTGGTACCATGACAGTAAGTTTTGCAACAAATAATGCAGTTTAAGACTTAGCTTTGTGTGCTCTACTTCTATGAAGTTTCTTATATGTCTTTTACCTTGAAATTTGCATTTAGAAGCAACAGCCATCGTTAATATTTGGGAGATGAATTATCAAATACGAATATGATCTGTGCTTAAAAGTTTCTCTTTCACAAGCTTGCTCCAAGATCATATTTCCAAGATTATACAGTCCTGTTTAAGAGATGTTGATATATTGTGTCATTGCTGAATGTTTGAAAGAAAGAAGTAAACCATAACAAGCATGAGTTGTTCATATTGAAGGCAAAAAACTTGTGTTACATATGCTCACATCACATATGAGAATGCTTTGTGCTGTTGTTTAATTTATTCCATGATTGTTTTATTTTAAGCATTGTTTACATGTTCTTGTTAAAATATAACTTGGATTCATCTGTAGTAATAACTTGGCCGTATAATTTAATTGTAACTTCTGCTATTGTGCATATTTCCTTTTGGTTTTGTCATATACTGATAGTTCTTAATATGCAAGATTAGGCTCTTTTGCTTTCTTAAATTGTAGAAGCATGCAGGAGCCAGGAAGTGACTTCTGCTTAACTAGGAGTCTAAGATATGGGTGGGTCTAGTTTGTAACTGTCTTGAAATAACTTTTCCTTTTGTGGGGAAAAATGTTTTTGGTATATAAAAAGGGGTGGCCTTGCGAGAGAGGTTCATAGGGAGGTTAGATGTATGAGCCCTGCCCCACCCCCCAAAAAATAAAAATAATATATATATCCCCATAAAATTAGAGGCACTATTTCTGAGATTTGAACTTGTGACCTAAGCAACCTTACTGTTTCACCAAGGCTCGTTGTCAAATGTTTTCTTGCTACAAATAATTAGGCTATATTTGGTGCAGAAAGAAGTGGAAGCATGCAATTGAACTTGTGATTATGTTTTTGAATTGCATGTAAAAGTACTGTTATCAATCACTTGATTAGAGAGGGAGAAAAAAGTCCATACCTATATGAATTAGAGACACGATTATCTGATGTAATTATCCCAGGCTCACCTGATGGTGAGCAAAACATGCTTCAAAAACATATGCAAATCTCATATATGATTTTGAGTTTCAAGAATCTGTGTCCTGTTATGAATTTTTCTCATCAAAATGTTTGTTAACTTCCAAATTAAAAACCCAATTGTGACATTCCCAATGATCCTGACAATGGATAATATTTAACAGAATGAATCTACCTAACATGTTTTTGTCTGTTTCTCTTTTAGCTAATATTTTTGGTTTCTTTTGCTAGAATTTCGATGGAAACCATGGATATATTGCTCCTTCTTACGATGAAGAATCATCATCAGGCAACAAAATCAAGATGAAGCTAAAAGAATTTCACAAGAGGTATTGTCTGCGTCCTGAAACATTAAATATGGTTAAATATATATTTTTCTTGATAATGTTGCCAATCTAATTTCTGTTTACTTTTTCATTGCAGTGCTGCATCTTTTACAGCATTGGATAAAAACTACCTCACCCCATTCTTTACAAGTCAAAATGGAGATGAAGATGATGAAGGTAAGTTTTATTTTAAATTTAACTTACTTAGTTTTATTCTTGTCGAAGAATTGATGAAGTAAATTGGTAGACTAGGAAGCATGGGTCTGACACAAATACAGTTTGATACAAACAGACATAGATATGACAAATTTTAAATATCATAGCATAACTATAATATAATGTATAAAATTAATCTAAGATTAACATAAAATAAAAAGTAAACAGCAGGAGAGAATCTCTGTTTAAAAATGAGCATGAGTCATTGTACTGATTGTTGAAGTGGCATCCTTGTTAAAGAAGTTGAAGTGACATCCCTGTTTTCAAGTATTTAAGATCATGTCTCTAGGAAGTAAGTTTGAAGGAAAAGCTGTATAGTTTTCTGGAACCGTTAGAAGTCTCTACTCGAGGCTTGTGAACCGACAACTTTCTTTGACCCATAAAATAAATATACACAAATAGATTATTTGCTCATCGGGAGTTGGCTTGCAATTTTCATGGAATATTTCAAGTAGCGTTTCTAATGATTATTTTTCATTAATGTTCTTGGATGTATTATACTTAAACTTTATGAATGATTGTCTTAAGTGTGGCCGTGAAGGAATTTTGTTTTGACATTGTATCACTGCAATTTGTAATTCTTGATCTCAACAGCCGAGCCTTTTACTTCTACAAGATCGGGTTTTCACGGCCAGAACCATTATTCATCATGATTTGTTCCAAAAAAAATACACGTTAAGTGAGTCCCCTTTGTATATAACTTCAATCATGGAATTTATAGACAGCTCGTAGGATTTGGCACAATACAGGAATCAAATTTACCTCCTGCATTCCAAGTTGTGAGATTGAGAATCTCTTGGCAAGTCTCGTTAGCTTGGGCGACATCAACACGGCAGGGTTAGCATTCCATGCAAATTGATGTATGCCTCTGCCATGAGGTTGGAGGATTATAATTTGGATCTAACCACACATGTATTTTGACGTTGACGTTTTTAAAGGTTTTCTTGGTATAGTTTCTATTGAGTTCTGAAAGTGTTTACTTCATCTTAACTACAATTATGGATCATGGATAAATTTACTTTATTCAGGTAGTGAATTGATCGTTCAAGTAGTTACTGAATACAGTATTTTCTTCGTATTAAATATTTCGTTGCGTCATTTGGCACAATATATTTGCGTTTGAGCGTACAATGTGATTTTAAATAACCTTGATCTTGCAAAACCGATTGTGGTTAAAAAAGAGCTTAAGTAGGTAATTTGTCTTTTTGGGTACTTATATTGAAAAAGGCATTTGTTTTTTGGTCATAAATTTGCTGAACCAAATGCTAAACCAATATTACATTACACTTGCCCTCAGGTTAGAATTGTTATTGGACCGAAAAAGCAAGAACTATTGTGGAATTAAGGCCCAAAGAAGAAACAAATCCATTTATAATTGATATCTCTGTTGACAAAAAAATATATATTTCTCATACATAACATGTCATACTTCACATTCATTGCCCTATTTTTGGTAAATATGTTAAATTACACTTTCAAATAATTAATTAACTTATCACACCAAAATGGTAAAATACCTTAATCGATTTATAAACGAGCCAAAGCCAACAAAGCAAAAGGCTCCTCTATTCCTCTCCTAAATATAAAACTAGACTAAAAACCAGCAATGCACATATATAAATCTTCTTATTTTTATGATATTAATTATATAGAGATTGTTAACTATAATATTAAGTCAGTTGATGTTATTTAAATTATCACACATTAATTATTTTTTAAAAATTAAATATTTATTTAATAGCATTAATAGTTACTAAATAAATATTTTATCCTTTAGTAATTTGCATTATATATATTGTTTTTATCATGTAAATATTTTTTATTATATCTAAATATTATGTTATTTTCTTTTTTTTCCTGTTATAATTATAATTATTGTTATATGAACATATTATCACTGCAGTGATTTATCATAGCAATTTAAATATATGTATTATTATAATCAATTTTTTTAATCTGTACAATATTATACACAACAAAATAATTATATATAACATTTTTTTTTATAAAATTATATTATTTAATATTATCAATATATTAAATTATGTAATTTAAAAAATTATTATATATAACCTTATAAAAATTAAAAGTTTAGAAATTGGTATTATAATATAGAGAAGGTAGACGAGAAGCAAGTGACATTATTTACTATGGTGTATGATAAATAATAAATGAGAGCGCATTTGCAAGGTAATATAAAACATATAAAGAAAAAAAAAAAAAAAAACCTTCATCGATTTTTGAAATTAGACCGTTACAACGTAAACCCACACACCCCAACGGCTACTTCTCCTTCCATTCCATTCCAACACACAACACATCTCAGAACCAAACCCTTCTTCTTCTTCTTCTTCCATCACCTTCTATCACTCAAAACCTTCGATCCCTTCCGATTCACCCACACCCACCATTGCTCTCCTCTCAAAGATTCCGTTTTTATTGCTTTCATCCATTTGGGGCAATGGTGCACGTGCAAATTTGCGCCACCGACACCACGCAAGAACACAACCCTGATTACTCTGGTGCTCCGCCGATGCCTCCGCCGTCGACTCATCACCGCCGTCCAAGGGTACGGGAAGTCAGCTCCCGGTTCATGTCCCCCACCATCAATCGGCGGCCGCGGACGGAGGCTGATTCTGGCACCGATGAGAATTCAGAAACCCCATTCCCAATGGGATGTTTTGTTTCTCAGAGGAAACATCGTGCAGTGAAACTTTTCAAAGAGAACAATGGAAATGAACAGGCTCCACCACACCCTTCAAAGTCATGTTCTGGCAGAATTGGAATTGGTAGTGGCAATAGCAATTCCAAAGTTAATGCCACACCTTGTGTTTCTAGGCCTGACACTCCCACTCCTTCAATTTCTGTGTCTTCAAGATATAGGCTCACCCAACAACACCAACACCATCATCATATTCATAGGTCTATCAATGGCACTGCCTCAGCTGCTGCAAAATTGTTGCAAGCCAGTGGCTTGAATCATGCCAACGCCAATGCTTCTTCCGCTTTGCAATTGCCTCTAACCAATTCCACGTGTTCCAGCGACGATTCAAGTGTGAATTGCAGCATTCAGTCACTTCCTGAATTGGGAGATAGAGATATGTTGCTGCAATCCACTGTGTCTGCTGTGGCTGAAAAAATTGGGAGTGCCAATGGTGGGGATTTGAAATTTCACCCTTCCCCTTTGTCCCGTTCGGTTGAGCACTTGCTAGTAAAAGGGGCTGAGAAGCAACCTCCTCCTCCTCCTTCTTTTATCTCCAAGCATCATGGAAGTGGAAATGGAAATCAATTGGTTAAGTCAGGTGGCCTTAGTTTGCCACCTGTTCCTCCTCAGTTTGCAAAACCAGGGGTGGATACGAGGAAAGGGAAGAAAGGGTCTAGTCATCAGGAAGACATGCATTCACTCAGATTGATCTATAATCGTTATTTGCAATGGAGATTTGCCAATGCAAAGGCAGAATCTGCTATCAAAGCTCGGCAAACAGAAAGCCAGGTCAGTTACCTACCTTCTATTTACTACTTAATGACAAATCACAAATATCTAGTAGAGGTGGCAGTGGTGGTAGTAGTAGTAGTAATAGTAGTAGAAGAAGAGGTGGTGTGGTGTGGTGTTGGTGATAGTGGTAGTAGTAGTAGTAGTAGTAGAAGAAGAAGAAGAAGAAGAAGAAGAATTGAAAATCACAATTGTCTGGCTAGGTAGTTAGTTCTATACTTAGAATTCTCTGGATGGATAGAGCAAGAGGAATATAGGGAAGATTGGTTGATCATGGGCAAGAGAGTGGATCTCTATTTCAGTTGCACTGCAAAGCTAACTTGGAGTAAATGCTTGAATGATATTGACAGTAGCTTGAAAGATATGGTGGTTAATTTGTTTGTTTCCCTGGACCTTAAGATATAGACACAGCATATGAAAATCTTAGTGAACAAGAAAAAATACAGATGGAGAAAATGTAGAGCAGTTCTGCATTCAACGATTTAGTTTTGACCTGAGTGTAAACTGACTATCACATCATTTATTGGACATTGTAATCTGGCTAGTTTATTTCAAACTATGCTCCAATAAAGTTCATATGGCTTTTTAATATATACAAAACTTCCGTTTATGGGGAAGTGTTAATGTGCTTTAACTATTCAGAACTCTTTTGCACATTCACATCTACTCAATATTTCAGTTGGTTCTGATGTAGCCTAAAATTTTTGTACTATCTTGTAAAATTTAATCACCTTCAACTCTTCTTGTATTTTTGTTTTTCTTCTCCTTAATCCTTGCAGAAAGCACTATATTCTCATGCAATGAAAATATCAGAAATGCGTGATTCTGTGAACAGGAAACGCAAAGAGCTGGAGTTTTTGCGGAGATCAAAGACTCTGACTACAATTCTTGAAGCTCAAGTAAGGCCACCAATAATTTTGAATGCTTCTTTTGTATTTTGCATTTATGTTGCGCAAAACAATATTTGCTGTGTGAAATATGGGTAAGAATATCATTGCTTGTTGCCTTCTTTCGGTATCCACATATTTGTTATTATTGTGTCTCTTTCAGCAAGACCACCTTATGCGATTTATATATGTTGAAGTGCAATTAAGAGAATACCCATTATCAATTATCATTTTATTTCTATATTTACAGTAATATCTTTAAGTAATTTGCATATTTTTATTCAATACAATTATAGATTCCATATTTGGATGAGTGGTCTGCTATGGAAGAAGAATATTCGGCCTCTACTACTGAAGCAAGTCAGGCTTTATTGAATGCCTCAGCGCAACTTCCAATGAGTGGGAATGTTAGGGTATGGTTGTAAATCTTCTTCTCGTGTTTCTTTATCATTTTACCTACCCATCTACCCAAGCAAATTTTGCTTTTTTCTGCTATACTTATTCTTTGGAATTTGTCTGCAAGGTCTAATTTAGAACAATGCATTATTATGCCGCAGGTTGATGTAAAAGAACTGGGGGAGGCGCTGAATTCAGCATTAACAATGATGGAAACAATGATTTCCAATATTCAAAGATTCATGCCAAAGGTGAGACAATTGAAAGAATGGATCTAAATTGATTACAATCATTCAGAGTGCTGCTTCCTCCTTCGATGCCATTTTTACTTTGTTATGTAGCCAGTAGGGTCAAAATTTGAGTTTCTCTACAAACTTAGTTGAAGAAACACAAAGATATTCAATTAGTTGTGTCTATAATGCGTGAGGCATTGCACTAACAAAACTTTGTCAATCTCAGGCAGAAGAAACAGATATTTCTATTTCAGAATTAGCCAGAGTTGCTGGTGGGGAAAGAGCTCTTATTGGAGAATGTGGATATTTATTGTCAAAGACATACAAATCACAGGTATGCCCATATTCATTGTAGATAATGGCTGAATTCTACAATCATATGTTCTATGATGTTTATCTCCTGCAGTTTTTTCATATCTTGATGCTTTTCTAATTTTCAGGTGGAGGAGTGCAGCTTAAGGGGCCAGCTAATCCAACTGCATTCCATTTGCCAAAAGAATAATAAGAGTATAGAATAACAAGCAACTGATAATTCAATTGCAAGTTAATTTTGGAAATACTACACACATCTAATGTTGTTGATAGTTGATGAGGGAACATCAACAGTACACCCTGCAGATTCATTTCTCTTTGACATTCTTTTTCCATTAGTTGAGAAAAAGGGAAGAAAGGATCATGATCATGATGCAAAATTTACTTTTTGCTGTCTCAAGATGTTCCACAAACATTGTATGCACTGTATTTTTGTCAATGTAATGGATGGCTCAGGTGCTCAGCCAAGTCACCGCCATCTCTTCCCCCTTTTCACTCACTTGGATGTCAATAAAAATGTAATGGGACACTTAGTCCTTGAATGAATGGAATATGTTTGTAAGAATTTTCTTTGAACTTTCAGGCTCCTATGTGTTTTCTCATACAGGTATATAATATATATTATTCACACTATGACATTGTTGTAAAATTTAAAAACAACTAGACCAACTATATATAAGTGAAGAGAAAATACTGTTCTTGTAAAATACCTTGTAGAGGTGTTTGACTGATAATTTAAGTGTTAGACTTTTGTTGTATAATTATTTCAATTTTATTCTGTCTCAATATGATTTCAACAATTTATCATATTTTTTAAGATTTTGTTAACCTAATGCCTCTACGGTGGAGTTTAACAACCAAAATTACTAAAATTTTATTGAAAAAAACACATTTATTAAAAGTATATAAATGCTTCTTTTTAATAAAAAAAACTAATATATATATATATATATATATAAATGTTTAATCTTGACTCTAAAAGTCTGAGGTTAACATATTTTAAAATTTTAATAAAATTTAATTAGACACTTAAAATAAATTATACTTACAAAATTTTGAAATAATTAAAATAAATAACTAATTTATTATAACAATAAATAAATAAATCTATATTTTCTCCAACAAGAATATTCTCATTAGCATTGTTATTAGAGTACATCTAACTTCAAGCCCAAATATTTTATTAGTAATTATAAAAAATAGTTAAAATAATTATTTTCTTTATTTGTTACATAAACATTCATAATTTTAAAATATTACAAGTTGAATGAAATATAAAACTTATATGACAATTAAACTAGCGTAACATTTAATAAAAGTTTTTAAAATTTTGTATGGCGGTCACATAATGATATATAATACGAATTTTTACGTGACATATGAATAAATATTATCACGTAGCTGCCATGCAAATTTTTTATTTAGTAGACATCGCATGAATAAGTCAAATATGTAACTAAATTAATCTTAAAGTGATATTAAAAAATATATTATTTAAATAAATAATTAATAAAAATAGATTTATTTAGGCAAAATGTGTAAAAAGCTTTCGTTAAAAAATGATCATAATTTATTATTTTAAGTATACTTATTATTATTAAATAAATTTATTTAAAATCATAAAAATTATACTTATTTTAATTGATAATAGAGTACCTTTTGAATATAAAATATAAAATACGGAAGGGCGTCCCCATAAGCGCCCGACCCGACCCAACATGGGAAGAATAACCCGTCAGAGAGATTCATTCATTTTCGTCTTCGTTTGTTTCTCTGCGGAGAAATTGGAAAGAAGCTACGAGGGTTAGGGTTTATGTTAGGGTTGGGCTTGTTCTGAAATCAAATCAAATCGAAGCAGAAGAGTGAAGAGAAAGAGAGAAAATGGCGTTGAAGTTTTTGAACAAGAAAGGATGGCACACGGGGAGCCTCAGAAACATCGAAAACGTGTGGAAAGCGGAGCAGAAGCATGAAGCCGAGCAGAAGAAGCTCGATGAGCTGCGCAAGCAGATCCAAGAAGAGCGAGAACGCACCGAGTTTCGCCTTCTTCAGGAGAAAGCTGGCCTCGTTCCGTAATTATTCATTTCTCTTCAATTTATCAATTTTATTTTACTTTTAGGGTTAGGGTTTCACTGCGGATTCCTAATTGATTGCAGTCACCAGGAGAGGTTGGAATTCTTGTACGATTCCGGGTTGTCCGTTGGAAAGTCTGCCAATTCCGAAGGATTCAAGGCGCTTGAACAGTTTCCAAAATCCGACGCAGCAGATGCTGCTTCATCCTCTGCTTCTGCTTCTAAGGTAGTTGTTGTAGTAGGTTTCTGTGATATTAGTGTTGATTTTTCGCATTTTTGTAGCAAATGATTTTTTATTTTCTTCTAAATGATTCATGATTGATTGGGTGTGCAGCAGCAGGGGGCGAGTGTTCCCGGAGCATTATTTGAGGATAAGCCTCAGTCTGCCAATGATGCTTGGAGGAAGCTTCATACTGATCCCTTGCTTATGATTCGCCAGCGCGAGCAGGAAGCGCTTGCTAAGATAAAAAACAACCCTGTTAAGATGGCTATGATAAAAAAATCAGTAAGTGTCTCCTTCATTTTCAATTCAGAAATGAGATGCCCTTGCCAAGAATATGAAACTTTAGGGTTAATTGGACTCCCCTTCCCTTCCAGTTGAGAGATGCTTATGCTTAGATTACGCTGTTTACCATTTACAAACTGTTTGGTTCAAAGGAGGGTAGGAGAAGGGTGGGAATATAAAATCCCCTCCATGTTATACGAGAGGAAAAATTTAGAGGGGAGGGATTTTGGTCTCCCTTCCATCTACTCCAAACCTCTAAATGAAACAAGGAATTTTCATCATAAACCTCTTACCCAACCTTTTCGAACATTATTTCTCTGTCTAGATTCTGGTCCATTTTAATCTAATTGAGCGTCTTAGGAACATTATTTCTCTGTCTAGATTCTGATTCCCAGCAGCCAATTTTGAATATCTAAGAACCAATTCAAAGCCAACAATAAGAGTGTTAAAGAATAAAGCTTCATTTTCATCAATTGAAGTCCTAAATAATAAGGTGTTCAAAGAAAAGAAAAATGTTGCTACTAAGCTCATTCATAGTTAATCACCATCACTAAGAGGTTTCCTTAGATTATAATGGTTGGAAGCATGATACATTTTGTCTCTCAATGTGAGGTGTGTAATTTTTAAGATTGGACGGGAGGGCAGTATAATTTAAGCATCTCTTTAGCGAGAGGAACATAATTTATTCAAAACTTTATGAAATTGTACTATACCTAGTTGGTCATTTGTTCTATCTGTATTTTAGATTGATTGATGGTTACAACTTACTATGTTTGACTGGACTTATTCGTAGATAGATATGGTTTAACTTATATGGGAAGAATATTTAAGATTCCTCTGTTTACCACTGTTGGTTTGGGTAATTTTTACACTGAACTGAATCAATGCACTGTACACATCAACCAGATGTAGTACATTGACCAAGATGAACTCCAGCAATGATATTTTAAGTTACACTCATAAATTTCAGCACTTGGTAGTGGGTGCCTTGTTCTTTGATGTGCTGGGGATGCATTAGTGAACATATTGCAGAAATTGCTGGTCAACAAAACCTTTTAATTCCAGAATCTCCCGTGCCTCATACTGTGACTCAACCAATATCAAGCTCTGTTGCAGTAACATCTCCCAGCCGCCACACTTTCTGCAATTTCTCCCAATCACCTCCTCCAGTGTGTCCAGCTTTTGTTTAGGACTATCCATTGTGTGCAACCCTGTGCCTATAGCAGCCACCTAAGGAGTGTACTACCAATATGAGGCTACTACTCTTGTTCCTGGTGACTTCAATTTCAGTCGGAATGGTTTATAATTATATGAAATTGAGAATTGTGTTACTTTCTACATACTCACACATTGGCCTGTCATTTTAATCTCTTTAATTCACCTTGCATTTAAAGATCTTTAAATTGCAGAGACTGAATAGGATAACAAAAACAATTGTTATAATTTAACTTTCAGCAAGACCTTTTGTTTGATGTTGTTTCTAATATGTGGCATGTCCTAATAATGCCCGGTAATGTTGTCAGGTTGAAGGAATGGAACCCAAGGAGAAAGATCACAAGGAAAAGGAAAAGCGGAAGAAGCATCATTCTAGTAAATCAAAGCCTAAAAAACAATCTGATTCAGAAGATGATGCTGCTGACAGGAGAAAAAGAAAGACTAGTAATGGAGATTTTGACAATAAGTATACCAAGTCCCAATCATATTCAGAGGATGAAATGGGTGATGGAGAAAGGAAAAGAAAGAAGAATCACTATGAAGACAAAAAATACAGAGAAAGGTCAACGAGTCACCAACAGAGGCAAAGAAATGCCAAAGACTATAAAGAAGATGCAGGTGACAGAAATTATAGCACGTTTAAGTCAGAAAGATATGCTTCAGAAGGTCAGTCCAATAAAAGGGGGGATGGGAGATTTTCTGAAGCAACATCCAGTAGATCTTCTGCTACTTTACTTGAACGTGGATCACACTATAAGCGCAGAAATGTGGCTCCGAAGCTTTCAGAAGAAGAGCGTGCTTCTAAACTTAGGCAGATGCAATTGGCTGCTGAGGTGCATGAAGAGCAGAGATGGAAACGTATAAAGAAGGCTGAGGAATCTGATGCACAGGAAGCAGTCCAGAACAAAAACACTGGTGGCAGGAATTTCTTGGATAATGTTCAAAAAAGTGTATATGGCGCAGCTGAAGGAGGGAGCAAATCAATAGCTGAGAGTGTCCGTCGCCGGACACATTATTCTCAAGGCAGGTCTGCAGGTGAAGGCAATGCATTTCGGCGATGAATGCTGGGTGGCTTCATCACTAATTTTTAATATCTCAGCTGTCTCCACACCTCTCTTGCGTTTGCTTTTCTTCCATGTACCATCATATGATTCCTTTCTTGTATCAATATGTGAAAACCTGTCTGATATCAATGTGATAATATATCAAGAATTCATCGTTTTCCCTTCATGATTCGAGATTTCCAATGTTCCTTGTGATTTTGAAGTATTCGTGTCTCGAAATCAAATATTTTATATGCTACGCATACTGTTCGGGTAAATGCATGTACGACGTGAATATTAGACTAAAACATCCATTATACTTGGAAATTGATACAAATTGTTGATTTGATCTGTGTGATATTATAAAAAAATAAAACTAACGATTTTTGATAAATTAGTTAATTTAATCTTTGATTTTGACTATTGTTAATTAATTTGTTGCTAATGTTATTGAATAAATTAACTAATAATTATAAAGTTAACGCCAGAGTTAAGAATTAGATTGATTTTTCTTATAATCTTATGAACCAAATTGACCAGTAACTTCAATTATCGAGATCGAGTTATTGTTAAGGACTATATTAACAGGTGATATTATTTTAAAGCAAGAAAATTATATTTTGCGCTGAGAAAAACTATGTAGACAACGCAAGCGGAGTGATGTTACTCATTATTAAATAACCCAAATAGAAATTGAAGAAAAGCATACACGTTAGAGGTGTTAATATCAGTGCTTTAAAAATAGCACAAAGGATAACTAAAGAAAAAGAAACTACTGTGTTCAGCTGTTATTATCAGTTAATTTCCCCTATTAAAAGCGTCAGTTTTCAACCCGGGTAATGTCTAAAGTTGTTCTTCTTAGTGAACACAAGAAAATCACTTATCGCTTCATTTAGTAAATGCTGTTTACTTTTCTCTTCAATCAGGGAAAAAAGTCCAATTATAGCACTGTGAAAACTTTACTTCGTAACCCAAAAAAGTAGAGAAAATTTTCACTCTTGCCCATTTGAACGAGAATGATCTGCTATGGTGTTTCTGTTACTGGCAGTGGATATGATGCCTAATGGCCATAATGCATATGCAGGCAAAAAGATGTGGTTGCTGATTTACAATTAAGGAAGTACTGTTGTTCTTAATGTAGCTAATGATAGCTATGTAAAGCTTCCTCCTTGATTAATAATGTGGCGCATCTTACAGTTGCATGTCTCTGTCATAGGCGATGAAAGCCAAATCATCATGTCAATTCCTACCTATTCTACCTCGTTAACAGGTAATTGTGATTATATTAAATGATCTTCTGCCGACACACACTTTCCTTATTGTTAACTAAGTTATTTGGTTTTAAAAAATATTTCCTGATTTCACTTTTAAGTATAAAAAAGTTACCTTATTTTTTTGTTTGGCAGTTCTAAAATACTCATTAAGAAATTAAAAGTAATTTTTTTTATCCAAAAATATTATTAATTAATCTTTTCTCGTGATTTTTAATACAGTGCAATGTAATTTTTAATTAAAAAATTCATTTTTAATTATTTAACCAGTACTCTAAAGACACCTGTTAACAAAATTCTATATAAAAAATAAAGTGATATTTTATAATTAAAAGTAAAAACAGAAAATAAAAGCAGTAAACATTTTCTCAAATGCCCCGCGAATATTTTGAGTGCTGCCCCTGATTGTACCCAGTGCATGAGGCATTTGATTGGTATATATCATTTTCAAGCCAGCATGAGTATATTATGATAGAGTAATATAGCAGAACAAGATGGTCACAGTTCATGGCCTCTTCTTATGTTCCCTTATTCATTCATTGATTGAGCTAGAGTTACAGCTGCACCAAGGACAAATGAATGAAATGATAAATTAATATTTGGCAAGCATGGCCACTTTTGCATATTTGTATTATGTGAATAATGTTACTATTATTATTATTGCCAAAGGATGTGAAGTGTAGGTACTCAGTATTTAAGATGTTGTTGTAACAAATCATGGTAGATAATATGAGAGGGTCACAGTGGACCATGTAGCTAGTTACTCCACCACGATTCATTAGTTATGTGAGCTTCTTGGGTTGGAGGATATTTAAGGCATTCACTGTTATGCAGATAACAAAAGAAAACAAGTTTGAACTTTGGTCACATACTACAATTTTTTTTATGTTCCTTTATCATTTGCATCATTGGTAGGGAAAAGTGTCGGTTTGGCTACAATTAGAGCTCTATTGTACCATATATCTGCTTGGGAAAGAATAAGAAACTTGTCCATAGTTAAATTTTACAGGGCCAGCCAATAGGGTATACAAGATGAGGATCTTTTGGTTTCTAGTTTTCTCTGCACATCTGGCAATAGCATCTTCACTTGTGGAATTTGAAGGCATGTATTTTAACCAATTCTTAACTCGATTGAAGCAAAAGTTTTCTATTTAGGCTGTATTATGCTGCCTGCACTATAATTTGCTGTTTAGTTCTCTTTTTTGCGCTGTGTTTTTTAAATTTACAAGAATATTGCCTATGATACGTTACAAAAGAAAAAAAATCTTTGGTAAACCATTTCACTACTAGAATGGAATTCTGAATTTGTGTAAGGATTTTATGCGTATTAGATTTGCTAACAGCCCAATTTGCAGATAATGATTCAAGGCACACGCAAACCACCATGCAGCTGAATTTGTATCATGCTAGAGGTCTTGAGTCCTCTCTAACTTCCACATCACCATTTTTATTCTCTGACATGTTCACAAAAGATGAGGAGCGTGTCAAGTCTCTTCATTCCAGATTAGCTAACAAGGAAGGTGTCAGCAATTCAGGCACCACTACCTCTTCTGATAAAGTGGGGGGACCAAAACTTGTGAGTACACCATTGAAATCTGGTTTGTCAATTGGTTCAGGTAATTACTATGTGAAAATAGGACTTGGGACCCCTGCTAAGTATTTTACCATGATTGTAGACACTGGTAGCTCCCTCTCCTGGCTCCAATGCCAACCTTGCATTATGTACTGCCATGTGCAGGTTGACCCTTTATTCAGTCCTTCAACATCTAAGACCTACAAAACCTTGCCATGTTCATCCCCTCAGTGTTCCTCTCTCAAGAGTTCTACACTAAATGCTCCAAGTTGCTCAAATGCAACTGGTGCTTGTGTATACAAAGCAAGCTACGGTGACACTTCTTTCTCAATCGGTTATTTGAGTCAAGATGTGCTAACCTTAACTCCATCAGAAGCACCATCAAGTTTTGTATATGGTTGTGGACAGGACAATCAAGGATTGTTTGGAAGAGCTGCAGGTATTTTGGGTCTAGCCAATGACAAGCTCTCCATGTTCTCACAATTGTCCAACAAATATGGCTATGCTTTCTCCTATTGTCTTCCCACATCTTTTTCAGCACCTAACTCTTCCAGGGAAGGTTTCTTATCCATTGGAAGCTCATCATTGACACAATCATCATCATACAAGTTCACTCCCTTGTTGAAGAATCCAAAACTTCCTAGCTTATATTTTCTAGATTTGACAACTATTACTGTGGCAGGTAAGCCACTAGGAGTGGCTTCCTCAAGTTACAATGTGCCTACCATAATAGACTCTGGCACAGTAATCACAAGGCTACCTTTGGCTGTTTATACAGCACTGAAAAAAGCATTTGTGACGATCATGTCCAAAAAGTATTCACAGGCCGAAGGACTCTCCATCTTGGATACTTGTTTTAAGGGTAGTGTCAAAGATATGTCAACAGTGCCTGAGATTCAGATGATATTTCGTGGAGGTGCTGGCCTTCCTCTTAAGGTTCATAACACCCTTATAGAAATTGAGAAGGGAGTTACTTGTTTGGCCATAGCTGGTAGCCCTGCAGCTAACAACATTGCCATTATTGGGAATTATCAACAACAAACATTCAAGGTGGCTTATGATGTTGCCAATTCTAAGGTTGGATTTGCAGCTGGTGGCTGCCAGTGACACTAGTACTTGTTTCCTGACCAAATCATGTTGCAACTCATAAAGCTAGTGCTGGATACAATTTATCAATTGTTGTTCACAAAAATGCTACAATAAAGATCAAAGACCACTTGCAGGGGCATATGCTGTATCTTAGTGTGCTAATAAGAAAAATGACCAAAAAGTTTCAATTAGGTTGAGGGAAATTTTACTTTGAATGTCAAAATACGCATGGGGGGCATGCTAATTCGTTCCACCTTTTGAGTTTGGGTATAAAGTTTTTATTAGGTCCAAAAGCATTTATTACCTAAAAAAGTTAAAAGTATTATAAATATTTGTTAAAAGATTTTTTCATTTTTAATTACTTAAAATTTACCCAATTTCAAGAACTAATGTCTCATGTCAATAATAAAAGTGTAAATTATTAGATGATATCGAGCAAACAATATTTCAATGAACTTCATATTATAACTGTCTCCAATCAAGCAACTACAACAAGTTTTTTAAATTTATAACATATAATTTTATACTTTTTTATGATGTCGCATTATTTTTCTTACCTTATTCAATGATCCATTACTGGCAGTGCAGTACTTGCCTCACGTTTAGTACAACGATTCCTAATGATTTTGTGTCAAAAATGTTATACAACTAAACAAATATTATTGGAAGTGATCAGCCTACTAAAACCAATTAGTTTCGCTATTTGAATAATTTAAAATTAATATTATTTAATTTTATTTATCATTTGTTTTATTATATAATTTTTAAAATTTACATCTCAAATATATTAAAAAAACACCTAAAAATATCCTCTGTGGTGGTACAAAAAATATTTCCCAAAACCAAAAAAACTCCGACATCTCTTTCTAACAATTATTATCCCAAAATATTGTTGTCCAATGCTACCAAAAAGCTTTTTTAGTTGCTATAATAATTGCTCTTCCATGAGCAACTAGGGTTGGACATGCCCTAATAACCCTTTTTTGCAAAGAAATAAATCTCTAGTTTGATAACCATGAAATAACTAAATGTATTTAGTTTTAAAATTATGTTTAAATAATTATTTATAAGTGAATCATTATTAAACTTTTAGAAAAAATTATTACTATGCACATTAATTTGTAAACTTTGTTAGGCATACCCCTTCAAATATCAGAGGCTTAAAGACTAACAATCACTGATTGAAGTATTCATAGCCTGTGTCTTTGACAACTTAACCAACAATTAATTGCACATAATTGTAAGCTTTACATTAGTAACACCCTCCGCATTCGATAGCATCTTCATATGATGTTCTTAAAAAGTATATTAATAAACACCTTTAACAAATTACAGCATGCATGTCAACTGCCAAGTGATTTTGACAATTGAAATTAATTAAAACAACAAATCTACCATTAGATAACACATAGAGTATCATTATTTGTAAAGCAAATCAAGAATTAATAAAGGGACTTCTTAAAATAATCATCTGAATATTTCAATGAAAGATAGTCTTATACATGTGTAGCATTCTCTTATTGTATAGACAAACTAGACACATTCATATTCTACACAGACAATGTCTTGGTTCAACACAAACATGTAGGATCCTCACTGTCTCTTTGCCCTTGTTAGGTGCAAAAATAATCCTTGTCTTTAGACTTACTCCATCCATAAGACTTCAACAAGTCACATTACTACTAGTCATGTGATACTGATAACTTTATGCATTACAAGGAAGTGAAGAAGAGGGTTCGAGAATATTTTTTCAATCTTGTGTTGCTAAGAAGTCTCTCTCAAAAGTGAAGTAAAAGTTCACAATCGAGAATGGTGTGCTTGATTTCCATCGGCAGAAAAGAACAACCCTATCTTAGAGAACAATCTTAAGAAACATTAATTATACCTTATTAAACACTTTAAATTATCATTTAAAATATGTATTGAACATTTTCTATAACTTTTTAATAAAAAATTGGTATTTTTAACTTTTTAACGTGTGTTACTAGATACATATTAAAAAATTCGTAGATTAAATTAACAACATTAAATGAAGATAATTTTGGAATCAGATCTTGACCCATTTCTCATTCCCAATCACACCCCCCAATTGTTCTCTCTTCCTTGGTCCAAATTCTACTTAAGAAGTTTAATTACTAAACGCTGTACTATTGAGTTTGGAACAATAAATATGGCACTCTTTCTGCAGGTTCAAAGGTGCAATGCATGTGAACAAATAAGGGAAATAGGGAATTTATTTTAGTAGCATTTCACTTAGTTATGTTTAGCTTAACTTATTTTAAAATTATAATTACTTATTTTTAAAAGATAAATGCTAATAACAAAATTACTTGAATCTCACTCCTAATCTAACAGGTTACATTCATAATTTCGATGCTTGCAATAAATTTTAACAAATAAAAGAGATCAAATATGTTATTAACACTTTTTTCTTAAAAGAATTAAAAAAACAATTATTTCTTTAAATTTAAGTTTTATTAAACATGTACTTAAACAACAGATTAACCTCATTATTCGACCTTATGATTGTCCTAAAGCATAGCAGGTTTTAAGTTTCAATTAAAATCCAATGAGTTTGCAATTCACCTCAATTATTCAATACTAGATGCTTCGAATTGAACTAGTCATTCAACGGAGAAACCAAAACTATGAAACAAAAGTGAAAGCGCGTTAGAACGAGAAGCATAAATAAACAAGCTTATGTTACGAACAACAGACAACGCTCGAAACATAGCAATTGAACAATAATGTAAAAGGCACGACAAAGAATGTCTCAAATTGCTTACAGCACAATTAACCAATTCTTTGGAAGTGGACTTCAAAGCCCATTATAACATTAGAATGTTATAAAGTTCCCTCTTTTGTCGGCAAAACTGTTAACCCAGAAAAAACTAAAACAAATTGCATCATTTAGAGTTTGTTTAGTAATAATAGAAGTTTTAAATTTATTGAAGAGTTTATAATTTTTTTAACTAATAAATTAGTAGAGTTGTTTAGAAAATAAAAAATTAAGAGAGCTTATAATTTTTAAAAGTTAACTACTTATGAAAAAAAAATACTTAAATAGCATTCAATTTTTATGTTTTTATTTCATTTTTATCTTTAAATTTGTAAACAATTTACACTTGCATAGAATAACCATCGCACTTCATTTTTTTAATCATTTAACACATTTTAATTAGCTATACAATTAGTTTTACCAATCAACTCTAATTTAATCAATTAGTTATAAGTCTATTTCAACAAGCTTATCAACTATAAAATTATAACCTATAAAGTTTTACAAAAGTTTTATCAACTAAAGGCTTAGATTCACTTAATTTGACCAAATGTGGCCTAATTCAACCCCAACAAGCGAAGGCAAGAAGATGAGACAAGATATTCTTAAAAAAAAATAAAAAATTATACAACGGTACAAAAAGACAGAACACGCCATCATTTATTTTACTAATTAAAAAAAATGCATGCTAAAAGTTTAGTTATTTTGACTTTTTATGCTTTTGTATAAGCTGTAAAGTAACTTTTGTAATAATATCATATCTCTGCTAAGATTGTCTGAGTTTTATAAGAATTACTTTGATAATATTCTTAATCCATGTGTGATCTTAACAATCAATTGGCAGAAGAGTTGAAATGTAAATATGGATATCTTATTCGATATTTTCATAATTTGTGTGAAATCTGATTTATTAAAATATGAAATGTTGCTTATCAAGAGTAAAAGATGATTACTTGTATAAGAATTACTTTGATAATATGCTTAATCCATGTGTGATCTTAACAATCAATTGGCAAAAGATTGGATTTGTAATTGTTAAGTGCTTGTTTATTTTAAATTTCAAATCAGGTTTACACAATTTTCAATACATGAAACCATTTTATAGGATGACTTTTTGAAGAAAAAAAATTTCAATGTGAACTAAAGGAGTTTCTAACGTAATTTATATAATTCCAAAGGTAGCATTCTCTTGTTTGACTTTTGTTTTTATCATAGAAAACTTCATACTTGACTATTCCCTATAACTTAGACCATTCACAAATTTCCCTTAAAATACTATTGTTAACTTAGTAAACTTCATACTTGGTTATTGTTTTTGGATAAGATTTTGTTCAATGCTATTTAAAATTTTCAATTCTCCATTAAATCTTATGAAAAATATCTAAAAAAATAATTTTTATTTTAAAATAATATTTATCATATTTGTGTATTCTTGATGTAATAAATATTTTTTTAATGAAAATAACATTTTTAGTTGTTTATTTATGGTATTTATAGGCTTGAACAAGATTAGTCTCACATAAAGGATGTAAGAATATCCGTATAAGGACAAAATATATCCCTTACTTGATCTTTGAGATTATGTAAAAAGCAATGATAAAGTAACAAAAAGAAAACTCAAACAGATCTTACACTTTTTACTATTTTTATTCCTAATTGTATTTCTCCCTACCAAAATTACTGCCTTTTAATTTGTGTAATGTGTTTGATTTTCTAGGAAACTAGTTTTTAAGTTTTCTTAGTGAAGAGGGTCTAGCTCATAACCCGAAAAATGTGATAAAATTGGTATGTTTATTTATACTTGTTCGACATATAAAAAAATTCACTTAAATGAATTCAAATGATAAGGACCATTCCATTTAAATGGAACAAACTATTTCTATCCCTTTTTTTAAAATGAGATAGAGAAAATTAAAAAAAAACAAAATAAAAAAATTACGCTCAAACTCTCATTTCGTAGCATTTGGATCTTCTGCAATAACATTATCACTAAAGGATTTTGGCAATTGAAATATTTCAATGTATTTAAAAAATAATAAATATAATAATGGATGATAAAGATTAATATTAGATATACTGCAGTGAAAAATTCACTTGGAAAGGAAGATGTATAGCCTACAAACAAAAAACAAAACGGTTATTTCTAAGATTTGAATATGTGATGTCTAAATTATAAGACAAAAGCTTTATATATATAAAATTTTGTTATTTAAACGTTTAAAAATTTAGATCATATGTGACAAGGTATAATTTATCAATATCTATCTCTTACATTTTATCTTTTTTAGACGCCAAAAGATGTCACTTTTGTAGCACAAAAATCACTTTCCATATATAAAAGCTCATTCACATTCTCTCAATGTATTCAACAGAAAATTTTGAAATTGTTTTTTTTTTTTACCTTTTTAGTTTTCATTTTTCTGCCTTTGAAATTGCTAGCTTATGGCACACCAACTACAGCATGTCATCATCAAGTGACAAGTAAATCGAATTAGCTAATTATGTATGAACTGGAATTGGTTTACTTTGGTCTTTCAGGGACTTCAAGGGACCCATTCTCTGTTGTCAAATTAAATTTTTCTACCATTGATGTAACATGCATTTGATGGGGTAGCGGTAGTACATACTGGGTTGGCCAGTCTGCGTGGCAGTGTACAAAAGTTATGGTACTACCATTATTTAATACAAGTTTTAGGTGCATAATTCAAACTTAAAATTTTAAATCTATTAGTGGGGCCACCCCATATTTGATTATCAAATGATATGTCTCTTGCAGCCTTCTTATGCTGACTATCTCCAAAGTCCAAACCTTGAATAAATGCAAAGGTAGAATCAGAGCTAGAATTGAAGATGAGCAAGTGATTCATCCAATTTCAGTAAGCCAAGTAAGTTGATATATGTGACACATGAGCATATTCTTTGCATCGTTTTTTAAGATCCCTCACCCATGATCACTTGATGTTGGCAGAGAAGTTGTGCATATTGTTAATCTATTCTTAGCCTTTTTATATGGAAAAAGTCATATTTTGCGCAAAACCCGGATAGAAAATGCAGCTAACATTGAGCATTGTGCAATGAACATAAATTTATGCATACATGTCAAAGGAAAAAGTAGATGGCACAAGAGCACTTTTTAGACCTTAAATAAAGAATGATCATAACTGATTCTCCACCTTGGCCTATGTTATTCCAAATTCACAAACAACTCCCAGATCTCAAATTAACAATATGAAATCTGGCTCCACATGTCAAGTGTAAATATTACCTGTCTCCACTACTAGATATAAGTAGAACATAGTTCCAACAAATATTGAAGTAAGTGTTCCAAAGCAAGTATTTAAATTTTAGGCTTCAGGATCTGCCCATTATTAACCTAGTCAATGGAATAAAATATCAGGTAATAAAGATGTGCCAAGGTGTAATGCTGGATTTTGCTTTTCATAGCTGAAAGTATTGATGTCTCCAAAGTGCCATGCAGGATTTTGATGTCATCTGGAAAGTTTCTCATTTCTGGTTCATACAATTGCTTGTATTACTGAAGGCCAAAGCCTATAAGTATTCTGCTTTTGAGTGTCCATGGATTAAACACATCATTGATCCTACTAGTGTATAGTTTGCAGGTGCAAACTTGAGGTTAGGCACCAACAACTGGTAAGGATTTCCATTAATCCTCAGGACTCTAGAATTTGCTTATTTTCCTCTTACATACTTACATTCTTTGTTTAAAATATATGCCATTAAAAAAACCCAGGCATCATGTTCCTTAAGAATTTGTTTCCACTTTGTGAACATCAGTTTTCTATGTCAGTATCCGTTGTATAATATGTGATTACTTCATGTTGCTTCTTTCTCCTCTCACCCTTGTTAGGTGTGCCTTATCTACATACCATGGGGTGCATTTCTTCAAAAGTCATAGGCAGATCAATTAGTTTCCATGAAGAGAGAAAAGAAAGATCGCAGAGAACAGCTAATGGTATTCCATTACTGGAAGATTTAATCATATCCACTAGTGGCAGTGACCAATACCTTGCTCTTGTCTGCGCAGCTAACGCAGTATCAAATAAACTACACACAAGGAGTTTTAGTTCTAACATGTCCTCAAAACTGGCTATTGATCCTGAAAGTTCTGAAACTTTTGAGAATTTGGAGCCATCAGCAAGACTAGATCAAGGAGAAGGGGAACAAATTGAGAGTGATAAAAAAAACAGGTCCAAAAGTTGGCACCAGTTTCCTGAGTATAGTGTGTACTCTCTTGCTCAAGAGAATTTATCTGGTTTTGAAGATAAACATGAGTTAAGCTCTAAGGGTGCTGTACGTAGTAGGAGTTTTCACACAGCGAAGGAATATGATGATATGGTTAATAAAATATGGTTAAACAAGTCCCAAAGAAATCAGCAAAGTGAGTTTAATGATGAAGAATATGCTGGTTCAGGAACTAACATGGTCCTTCAGGTATCTGAATTTGTATCTAATACAACTCATCATACTGAGGATAAGGATTCTTCCATCAAGAAGATGCAACCACCATGCTTGAACAAGAAGTATTCATTGGAAGAAAGAGAAATGGTGAAGGAGACCAACACCCTTAGTACAGCACCTGAAAGCAGTACAATAGCTCCAGGTCCTAAAGGCCATATATCTAGTTCTGGTATTAAAAATGAGGAAGTGGTTTCAAGTCATAAAACAAGAATGCATGAGAGTGCTGCTCAAGGAGTAAGCACCATTGAGAAGGGAAATAAGAGAAAAAATTTAGCAAAGAGGCTAGAATCACTTAGAATCCCATCCAATATTGAATGTCCAGCCATTGCTAGTCTTAAGGAATGGCTTCCTGCAGGTGGAATCTATTCTCCCGGTTCCTATGTCACACCAAAATTTGGCAGCTATTCTCTAATGAGTATTGGGAATGCAAGTGAATCCAATGAGGATTCTATATTTAGTCCAGAGTTGGTGTCTGCCTTTGAACAATGTATGCAAAACCTTGAAGCAGAGGAAGACAACATTCTGAAACAAATTGTAGAAAATGTTGAGGAAGAAAGAGAAGAAGAAATCAGCCCCAAGAAAGAACTCCACCATCCATAAAAGGTCAAAGCCATACTTGAACGTGAATTTTGTTAATAACAGATAAATTTTAGACAAAGCTTGTACTGTATTTTTTTCACATCTCCCATTCCTGTATGCATGTGAATCTCCATTTTTTTTTTTATTCAAATGCATTTTGAGAAGAGGTTTCCAATTTACATGGCAGTGAATGTGAAAGTACATTCATTTCAAGTATATCTACCTTCAAAGTCTAGACCAGTTGCTTGTACATCATATTATAGTCATCAACCAATTGGAGGAAACAATTTCATTAGGTAATAAGAAGTGACAGGAAGCTTTTGATTCCTACAAAACATCCTGAACATGTACTCTAGTTTAATTTAATCGTGATTTTTCAAGTGATTTTATGAATTTCACACCTCATTCAATACGAAACAACCACATCATGCTATTCCCATCATTTTCATCTCGGTGTCTTACTGGTATCTTGTCATGTTTAATGAACACATTGAATGCACCATAAATAGATTGTTGGGTTCCTTAAATAGGCATGAGAATCTATAGACCTTTGGCCATTCCTTAAATAAGTAATTTTGTCTGAAGTATCATTTTACTTATCTTATAATCACATTAACAGTAAAGGTATTGCAGACAAAAATTGTTTAAATAAAAGTAGCAATAGACACTCCCTAACTATTACTAGAGCCATCTAGAATCCTGGAACCAGTTCTCAAGACCCTTATCTAAATACAACGCAACTCAAGACTATGATTCTAGTTACAGGTTGCAATTGCACCAAAAGACTAAGGTATGTTAGACTTTTGAGCCTGATTTTAAGTAAAATTTATATATGCTGAATTCATTAAGAAATAATAAGCCAAGTGCATGATTAGTACATCTTCAGTAACTAATACAACCAATTTTTTTACCTTTATGGACATATTTCTGCCACTACATTGATTTAGCACGTCTCTCACATAAATCATAATGGGACGTTCTAAATAATTTTTCTCTACTACTTAAAACATGTTAGTTGATTTCCATGTTATGAAACCTAAATCCCACTCTGATTGTAAAAGATTTTATCATAGACTTACACTCATTCCAGTATTGTTACCCTTTGATGGCGTTTGATATATAAGAAATATTTTATTCCGAACTAAACCACTTATTGAAAATAAAATTCCAATTAACATGATTCCTACAAAATTTATAAAATATATTTGGTCATTATTTACTTTCTTAAGAATAATATATTTACCATCAATTATCATGAAAAAGCTTAATAGCCTTACAATCAGTTGGCATGGAAAAATTTTATTTCCCCCTATAAAAGTGAGAGTAATTTATTCTTACTGATTCATAAATTAACATTTTCAAGAATCTTTTATATCCAAAATTTATATTCTCTTCTTCCAAACGTGAGAAATTTTTATTTTCATGCTACTTTTGTAAGAGTGTTAAAGCATTTATTGAACCAAATACCACCTTTATTATACTCCCGCAAGTCCTAAAGTCGCAACTTGCCCTTTTAACCTATAAAAAAGGGTCATCAATAATAAAATAAGCATACAAAAGATCCTCCCTCTCACTCTATCTCTGTTTCATCAACACAGGCTTAATTAAATTTTGACCCAAGAGTTTCTGTAAAATATTTTTCATTACAAAATTGTCCCTACTATTTAATTTTTCCCATTTGATCCCTATAAATATCTCAACTTTTTCATTATATCCCCTATTTTAAAAATACTAAATGAAAAATCCATTATATTTATAAAGACTGAATGAAAAACTAATGATATTTAGAAAAATCCAATGTAAAATTTCATAATATTTAACGGAACTAAATGTGAAAGAAAAATTACAAGGAACTACCTGGTTAAGAAAAATACATTATGACAGACTTGTTTCAAATAAATTAAAAATAAAAAATTAAGGGCATGTTTGATCAGTATTTTGAAAACATTTTTCAGCTTTTAAAAATAAATAAAACTGTTTTCAAAATACTAATAAACATGCTCTAAATGACAAAATTATGAATTTTTTAGGACAAAAATATTAAGGCATTTATATATATAGTTTAGGGATTGGCAAGCTGCAGTTGACTGACTATAAGTGTATTAACTCATTCTCAGCTTCGTCCAACCACATGCAGTAAAAGATGATGGTAAAACAAAGCACGTATATATTCTCTGTACAAACTTCCTTCAATTGCTTTCATTATTAGCATCACAAGACTAAAAACAGACATTGGCAATGTTATTCAGCATGAAGGTGTACAACAAACAACTGTAACATCCTCAGGCCATGTTCTACATTGTGTGGTGAGACAATCCACCAATTTTTCTTCTTTTGGTAAGATGGTACGACAATACTCAAATTCCTAAACACTTGACCAACACGACCTAAGCTGTAGGTAGGTAATTACAAGGTATAAGGTTACAAATTTACAAGTAGTCAAGATACATGTAGTTTCTGCGTCGACTGAGCTGCAGAAGGCTTCCATAAGTGCGATCCCAAACACCAATAAAAAGTGATTCTGTGTCAGGGCTAAAAGATACACCAGAGATCTCCCCAAAAAAATCGATCACCTGTTCTTTTTCAAAACCATGCTTTGCATCAAAGACATGCACAAAGTCAGCTGGCTCAGCCATTGCCATGAACTGCCCATCAGATGTGAAACGTATTGAACGTATAGCTCCAAGGTTTCCCTTAAGAACAGCAACAGACTTTGATAAGTTCCGAACATCCCAAACACGACATGTTTTGTCTTGGTTCCCGGTAGCAAATATACAGCCGTCAGGATGCCATGCAGATGCAAATGAGTAATCCAAGTGTCCACATAAAGGTGTGATAGTCTACAAAGAACCAAAATTAAAATTAGATATTCATAATTTTTCCACTCTCAGCACATCCACCCTGCTCTCATCCTATTCAAGAGAGTCCTTTGAGAAATATACAACAGAAATCTGTAACATGGATTAACAGAATATGCCAACCTTTCCCGTTTGAGAATCCACCAGTATCCCTTTTGGGTTGTCTCCAACAATTACAAGTAGTTTCCCATCAGGACTCAATGAAGTATGCTGCAAACAAAAAGAGCACAAATTCATATTACCATTTATGCTATTTACCGATAGACTTTGATGTCATATTTTCCAACACTAGCACTGGGCATCCACAAAGTACATGCAACAAGAAAATTAAGAATGCTATCGGAAATTCTTCAGAGAATAAACTTGTTTCAAGGAAGAGCAAGATGGTATTTCTGTTTCACACATAAAATTATTAAAGCTCACTTTTTCAAACAAACTTTTAAAGGCAGCTTACAATTCCTAAACAGTTCAACAGAGCCCAACAATCATAATGCTACAGTCAAAATGTTAGACCAGAACTTTGCAAAACAACAAAAAAGGGAAAAAAATGTATCAACTCATAATTCAAATAAAACGTTATCAAGCATTTGTTATAAACATAATTCTTCTTTCCCCCTTCTCTCCATCTTCTCATTCTCTTGTATTCTAAAGTAGTAAAAACTAGCAAAGTTATGCCAATTCTTGCAACAACAACAACAATCAAGTCTTCTCCCACAAAGTCATAATATTCATAATATTCTAAATTTGCCAAGAGTCCTGACTCGGGTCAAGCAATAATGTCATCTTTACCACTTAAAAAAGAAATAAAATAAAGTCTTATCTACTGTTTAAAACATGACAAATCAGGAGGGGGGGGGTATACTCACATTTACTGGCCAAGGAAAGCAGAAATGCTTTGAAAGCTGAAATCTCTCCATATCAAAGTCTCTGACTCCACAGTCATTGTTTGAAGCCATGAAATGAACACCTCCACTGACAGATTAATTGGTTACTAGTAAGCAGTCATACTTGAGGTTGGTTGTGCACAGTGATTGGCACCCCAATTTAAACCCCAAAAAAAATCAAGAAAAGAAAAAGGATAACTGTAAAGCAGAGAAGAAAGACCTTGGATGCTCATAAATCTCAACAGCATTTGTGATTGCATTATCCTCATATGTAGTTCGGCAACAAAAGCTAACCCAAGGCCTATCTAAGTACTGCAAGACATTGTGTATGTGTCATCAATCAACAGGAATATATAGGCAATTAAATCCATTTGGAATATCAAAGAAAAATAAACAAAAATTGAGGATGACTTCAGATATTCCCACTTTGTAAAGCAGTAATATTTCAATAAATCATATCAAGAAATAAACTCTACCCCGTCTCAAAAGCAAGGCAAACATCTATACTATGCCGTATAATAAGATAGAGAAACAAAAGTTAATTCTATACACTAATTGGTGCAGCACAAAAAGTTGCAATATTGTGCATGATATTCTCAGGGACATTTAACATGAAAAACTAATCATTGCAGATTAGAAAAATAATAGGTACAAAAGAAATACCTTGCAAATAAGTTCTCCTTGAAAGCCTCCAGCAATCAACAAGTTATCTCGTACAGCCAGTGTACTAATTTGTGTCTGAGTAAAACCTTCCAAGACACTTCCAGGATGTTTCTATCAGCAAAACACATTTAATATCAGAGCTGTTTTTCCTAAGTGATGTTTTCAACAAACAAACAAAAAAAAAATTGTGAAAAAATGATTACCTCAACCGGTGCTACATTCCCTGACACATTCAAGACTTCAGATCTCTTAGAATTTAATGAAGACCAGTGAACAATTGAGTAATGTGAAACAAGATATACATCATGCTTTGATGTCGACCAAACCAAGTTCCTCAACTGCAAATGAGAAATTAGAGGTTTCAAACAAATGTTTACATAAATTATTGCTAACAAATGCATAATCTAAAGTTTCACAAGGAAATAGAAAATATAAAATATATCCATATAGCCGGAAAAAAAAAATTGTTAGTTATAACACAAGTATACATGAGGGCACATGTCATATCATGGAGTGTGTAGACCAACCAAATCTTATTAAATCCTCACGAGATTAGAAGTAAAAGATTACTGAATTAACATACTTGGAAATGAAGTATCGTTGACTTCACAGATCTAGTATTTTGCCAGAAATCATAATACATCCCCCCTTTATCTGTTGGTTTGCATTCCTGTAAACAAGAGGAGAAAAAGCGATAGGGTCAAAAGATATTGTCAAAATCACTACACAAATGCCTCCAAACTAAAAAGCAAACCTATTTACCTTCTCAGACATTTCCCCTGACTGTGGTATATTTTCATAATTCTTGTACTGCTCTAGTCTAGTTTGTCTATATTTCTCACGACTAATGCTCAGTCTATCCCAAGGTATACCTTGGATATCCTTCCCCCTTCTCGCTTCAGCAGCAGTGGTATCCGTTATTCTGTTTTCCTGCAGCAGGGAAACCAAAGCGCCCACCCCAAGAAAGCAGAAGGAAATATTATGCCAATGGCCGCATTGTAGTAAATATTAATCATGTAAACATAAGCTGTCTGATAAAACCAGAAGGCAGCAACAGCACAAATGCAATATTACACATGCACACACACAACATTAAAAAAGAGCTTCACAGTGAGAATTAGCAAACAAGGTTTTGCTTATGACTCGAAACAAACCAAAAGATCATATTCGTCATCTTCGTCATTATCAGAATCCGATTCACCAAATCCTCTGCCACGGAAATACATATCATCTTCTACCTCTGCCATTTCACTATCGTCTGCAACATACTCCATTTCATCCCCGTGGTACTGAGACATGATTCTTGATGCTGTTCAGCTGTTGATGATACTCGATATCTAATTCAAAAAGGGAGTATGTTAAAATGAGTTGATAAAATCATTTAAGTGAAAGAAAATAAACATCATATTCTATGACATAGACACTGCAGATACTAAGTTTAAATTATATATATATAAAATCTTAACACACAGAATTCTTTATGTGATAGAAACTACAGATTCTGCTTTTTCAATTTTTACAGCGCAAGGAACACCACTTAGGGATTGTTTGGAAGGGGGTTTTGGAAGGGAAGGGAGGGGAGGCAATTTTTTTATTTAGAAATTAATAGAATTATACATCATTTATGATAATAAATAATTAATATAGTGTATTTATGCTAATCTATCATTGTATATCCTTATTTTTTTAAAATTATCTAATTAAAATATATTCATTTAAAATAAAAAGCCCCCCCACCCTCTAAAACCTTCTTTCCCAAACAATTCCTATGAGATATTTAGGGGCAAGAACAACTTTAAACTAACCCTAAAACCAAATATTTTTATTTTTATTTTTCAAAAATTCCCTTCTCATCTCATTTTAATTATAAACCTATTAATCCGAAGCTGACAAGCTATAAGCGAAAACAAGCAAAGCTTACATGACATTAATTTGGGGAAATTTCAATTACCTCATGAAATGAATTCGAACATGTAAATACAAAACAGAGGGGAAACTTTTCTATCTTTTTTCACCAGATTCAGAAATCAAAACAAAAATTTCACATGGTCTCAGAAAACAAACCCCAAAGACTAAAAATCAATAAATTAAAGCGTAGCTAACCGGAGGACGAACTTGCAGCGTATATATACAAACACAATTCAAATAATAAAAAAAAAAACTAACTTTAAGGGATAAAAATGATAATTGAATTAAGAAAATTAAAAGGGGTAAAGCAATTGAAATTTTATTGCTGGAATAATGAAAAGGGGGTTAATGGGTTCAAAAAATTGCGACCTTTTTATAGTGCGTTGGTGAATCCAACGGAAAAGCTGCTCCGTGTGATTGAGGAGTGGTTGGATCTTGGTGATAAGGACCTGAATCTGATCTGCGTATACAATTGAATCAGCTTTTGCAAAAATATAGAGATAATAACAGCACCTTTGAGTCTGTGATTGATAAAATCACAGAGATTAATGTACAAGATTTTCATTTTTTTTATAATTTCAGAGTGAAATAATAATAATAATAATAATAATAATAATAATAATAATAATATTCTTTAACGAATATTTTTTAAAAATAATTAACGAATTAAGAATAATTGTCAATGTATTCTTCTATAGTTTTTAATGTATATTTATCATTATTTTTAATTGAAAAATTTAATGTCTTAACTGATAACTTCAAATACTAATTGACAATTGTTTAAAAAAGTACATATAAACTAAAAAAGAGTGATAATTTAGTCTTACCGACATTTTTTTTTGGCACTGAGGTGTCTTTAAATGATTTAAGATTAATATGATAATTTTAAAACATTTTAATAATAGTATGTAAAAAATGAGGATGAAATATATAATATGTAACAAAAAATAAACATTTACGTGTCTTTAAAACCGACAAAAATTAATACACTTTATCTCGATAAAATATGGAGTAATAGACAACAGTCAATTTGACCAGAAATGAGTGATTTATTCATTTTGTTTAGGTTTTTTTTTTTTTTTTAACAAGAAACACAGATACTAATAAAGATGATTTTCACTTTAATGAGAAAAAAATTTTCATGTTGTTTTTGAGGTAAGGATTAATAAGCGACTTAAGGAATGATTAAGGTCTTAGAAATTAATAAATTACAAGTTATTTTATTAAAAGTTATGATAAAAATATATTGATAATATTAAACATTATTTTTTTCAAGATTTTTTAATTTTATTTGCTTAATTATAATTTTTGAAATGTTAGTTAACTTTTTACTTTTTATAAATGTTTTGATGTAATAAAAATTAAATAAATTATTCTAATTTTTTTTAGATCATGGGTATTTTTTTATAGAAGGCAATTGTGTTAAAGTTTAATAATATTATATAATAATTTTTTAAAATATTTAACGTAATTAATTTTAATAATAAAAACTGAAATAATTCATAATTTAATAACCACATTTTAATAATATAGTACATTTTAAAAAAAATTAATAGATATATATATATATATTAAAAGTCAAAAAGTTAAATAAAAAATTTGTTTTAAAAATTTATATTAAAATTAATAAAAGAGTATTTTTTGTTTAAATATAATTTTAATATATTTTTATTATTTTTATCTCATGTATTAAATAAAATAATATAGTAATATCTATTTTACTACATTAAATATAAAATATAATAAGAATTTATCATTCTCTATTATATTTTATTTTTATCAAATTTTTACATTTTATTAATATATCACGTATATTAAAACGGATTCTTAAAATAGAATAATTCTCATATGCTTAATGATTATTGTAATAGTTTATAAAAAAATAAAAATAATATTTAAAAATTTATTTAATTAAATGTGTGGTTGGTTTAATTTTTTATTTTATTTTAAGGGATTTCTAAATAATAAAAATAATCTTAAATAATATATATAGTGAATTATAAATGAAAAATGTCAACGCACCATTTCTTTTATTTTTAATATTTTTTAAAATACTTGATTCATTTTCTAAAATTAAAAACAAAAATATCTTAACAAACATTTTCAGTAAAAATAAAAATAAAAAATAATACAAATATGCTAACTCTAATTGGTTTAATATCAAAAGTCATTTTTGACATTATTGATAGTTGATTTAGGATTTTTAAAATGTTGAATTTTTAAAAATCAAATTTATAATAACATATTTAAAATATTTAATTATTTATTAGTAATGTCTATCTTTAAATTTTGATTTATATTTTATTTATCACAATTTCAATTTTTCTTTTTTTTTAATTTTCTTTTTTTACAAATTTAGAGAGCAATTGATTAGTAAAACTTTCATCTAGGGAACTTTCGTCCGAGAATGATCTAGAAATGTATCTCAATTTTTTAACTATTTAGTGCATGAAAGGGTGTGTTAGAAGCTCTTGAAAAGATGTTGGTATCATGGAAATATAGGTATTTATCGATTGGAAGTATGATGACTTTGATTAATGTTGTTCTTAATTCTATGTCATTGCGCTTGTTATCCTTAATTAAGGCACTGAAGTCGGTGATAAAGAAAATTGTCACTATCTAATGAAAGCTTTTATGAAAGAATGTTAAGGATAGATCTAAAATTTTTTGGGTGAAATGAGAAATGTTTGTAGACTACAGAAGAATAATGGCTTGAGCATTAAGAATGTACAGTAATTTAAATAGGCACTTATTGGTAAATGGTTGTGGCGAGGTATTAATTTTTCTAGCTCAATGTAGGTGCGGGTGTTGGAAGCTAGGTATGACAAATTAGCTTCTTCTATTCAGCGTCTATCAGTTCATAACAGATGTTCTTTGTAGTGACATGATTTGTTAAAGGTTATTCATTAAGGGAATTCATGACTGGATGAGAAGTTGAATAAGAGTGTGGGTGCATGTTTGCACACTTTTTTTGGGAGAGATAAGTGGGTAGGCAGGGTGCAATTATGTGAGGCATTTTCGTGATTGTTTGCAGTGACGAGAAATGTTGAATATTATGTATTGAAGAATGGTTTTTATGATGACACTAGGTGAGTTTAGAATGTTAGTTGGCGAAGATGACTCTTTTAACATGAGATCTCAAGTTTTAATCTTTTGTTGAAGTTTGTGGATGAAATTTTTATTAAGGTACGACAAGAAGATAAATAGGTATGGAGGGAAGATTCTTTAGATTGTTATTCAGTGCAATCTACGTATTTATAACTATTTGAACTTTTGATGGTCCTAATAGTGTAGATCAGTGTGCGAACGCCTTGTAAAGGCTATGGAGATAGAATGTCTCTCTTAAGTGTCTGATATTTTTTTGGCAATTGTTATTGAATGCACTTCTTTCAAAAGGTTTGCTGATTGATTGTTGTGTTCAAATTGATGATATAATTTGTTGTTTTTGTTATGATTTGGAAGAACTTCTAACTCATTTATTTTTAACGTCAATTTTATCTCAAATTTGGTACTTTATTACGTGTTGGCTTGGATTTTCATTGGTTTTGCTTTCAGATTTATTGACTCACTTGTTTTTTTGAATTGATTTTAGTTGTAGTAAAAGAGAAGGGATATGATTATTAATTATTTGGGTAAGTACAATGTAGTCTTTGTAGTTACATAAAAATAGAATTGTGTTTTCTAATGATATTTTGGATAAGAGAGAAGTTCTAAATTTTAGAATTCTTAAGTCCTGGAAATAGCTATCACTTATTAGTAAGAGAGAAGCTATTTTGTTAATTGATTGGTATTTGAACTTACGAAATTGCATCCGTCTTAACTATGTATAAGTATGTTTTTATTTTTTATTTTCTTAAGTAAGTATTAGTTTTTTTTTCTCTGTGTATATGTGTTTTGAATTCTCATTAAACTCTATTTAATAATACATATTTTTACTATCAATTTTTTTTAAGGATATTTCTTTTATTTATTTAATATTAAAAAAATCTTATTATTTATTTATTTAAAATTTAAATACAATATATTTATTATTTATCATATAATTATTTATATTTAATTCTTTAATAGTTTACGACTTGTAAATAAAAGATAACAGTTGGTATTTTATTAAAAATTAAAAATAATTTTAATATAAATAAAGCATTAATTAAATCTCATAAACTTTGTATTATCTTTTAAAATAAACAAATGAAAATATCCAATTAAAAAAAAAAGAAGCATCTATCTATAATATAAAAAAATTAAAAATCATTTAATTCTCCAAGTATCTTTCGCATAAAAAAAATTACAAGCATTACATTCCTTTGTACAATTTTTAAACAAACTCTTAATTATTAATTAAAAATCATATAAATTTCATATTTTTTTAAAAATGTTTATAACTTATATTTTTATACTTTAATAAATATTTAAAGTAAATGAAAAAAATTTGGGTTTAATTTCTTCCTAAAATTTGTCTTCCCATTAAACGATGTTGTTGTTGGAAGCAAAATTATTGACATCATAGATAGAGAGAGCATGAATGTGAGTGCGTGTGAGATGCATTCTGCTATCTGTGGCAGCGCCATTTCACCTTACATCCATGGTTGCCGGAACACAGTTCGGAACCCTAACCAGTTACGCGCCAAATCCTCTCTACTGATTCAGAAACAGGAACAGCAAACCCAAGTCGCAGAATCCGTCTCTCGCCGCCTCATACTGCTTCGCCATGCAGAGAGTTCTTCGCCAAGTCGCTCTCTCCGCGGTAAACACTCATTTTGGAATTTCGCTTTTTAACTCTCAAATTTTGTGTTGTAGGGAGGGAACATACCCTTTTAACAAATTGGAGTAGAAACGGTGTGTTTTTGCTTTATGCAATTCCATGGTTAAAGTCTCAAACTTCGTTACCCATCTCAAAGATGTTTATGTTTTTGGCTCCTGTTTGGCTAAACAGCTACTTATGTTTTAATTTTGACCAAACTTACTATAATAAGTGAAGAAGTAGTTTATTCTGACAAGTTTCACTAAAATACTTTGGAGCCGTTTGGAAGAATTATTTTGTAGCTTATGACTATCAGAAACTCTTTGACTTATTTCAATAAGTTTATTGGTATAACTGAATAAAATAAGTTTTTTTAGTTTATTCTAATAAGTTTCATGGTTAAATATATGACATAAGCCCTCATATAAAAATACTTGTGCTTAATTAAGCAATGTATCCAAACATACCTCTAGTAAAATAAGTTAAAAAAAGCTTATAGGGTCCTAAGTTTTTTTTCGTAAGTCCAAATAAGCTATTTCAGTGCCCATTTTGTCATGCTCCCAGGTTTTTAGGAAAATTTGCTTTCTAGAATTTGAAAGGGAAATGCATTGCTGGGTCTTAGTGGAAAAATGGTTTTTGTGCAGACCACGACCGACCTTTGAGCAAGTCTGGAAAAGAAGATGCTATGAAAGTTTCTCGCAAGCTCCAAGAGCTGGGTTGGATTCCTGAACTTATCCTGTCTAGGTTAGCAATTTTGTGGCTGTTTTATGTATAATGTATTATCATGACACTTGAATTGGGTGAATCGTTTTTGAGGTTTATTGAGAGGAATCTGCCTTTTGGGTTCTATTTTGATTTCTGTTGTTGCAGTGATGCGGCACGGACTAAGGAAACACTTCGAATAATGCAGGAGCAAGTGCAGGAGCTGCTGGAAGCTGAGGTTCATTTTGTGTCTAGTTTCTATTCAATTGCCGCCATGGATGGGCAAACTGCAGAGCACCTGCAACAGGTTATTTGTCGATATTCAAGGGATGAGATACTTACTGTCATGTGAGTATCTACAATTTCCAGCCTTTTAGGGTGGTTTATATCTTTATTTTTTGTCTTGGTGTTTGAAGGTGAGGTTAATGATTGAAGATACATTAGAAATATATATTTGAAATTTTTTCGTGCTAGTACACAAACAACCTATGGACATGAACAATATGGCTATAATCAATACTTTAGCTGATGCTATATTTGCAGATTGAGTTTTGCTTAAATTGATTAATCACAAGTTGATGTCTATGGAAAAACCGGTGGAGTCACATTTCACATTTCCCTTTTTTCTATACATTTGTTTTGAACTATTTGAGTAGTTTTTTAAACTTTTGCAACGAGGATTGAAATGCATATTATTTAATGCCTTAACTCCATCTGTTGTTTGAATCTAGCCTGGAGATGGAGATCATCCTATGTAGGTAGGTGGTTGTTATCTCAACTGTGTAATATAAAGCCTATACTTAATGAAGCAATCTTTTGCTCATTTTAAGGACTCTTTAGGGTCTTCTTCTTTTTTCAGACAATATCTTTTCATTTGCTTTTAAAGAAACAAAATTTTATACTTACAATCTACAAACTAAGATTGATAAGATGTGATGGATATTTGATCATTTCGTGGTAAGGTGCATGGGGCATAATAGGGGATGGGAAGAAGCAGCCTCAATGCTTTCTGGGGCCTCTGTGGAATTGAAGACATGCAATGCGGCACTACTTGAGACTGCAGGAAATTCTTGGGATGAGGTTTAGTTTCATTACCTTGCACAACTGCTTACAGTGTATCTTTCAAGACAATTCACTATCTTTCATTGTATATTTGGTGCTATCTATCAATAACTATCCCTGTTTATACTTTTATGAAATTCAGTTGTTCTGCTAACATATTCATTGTGGGATCAATCACACACAAATTTTATGGACTTGCCTTTTGCAAACTATCCTGTGCACAGACTAACTTCTAATACTGCAGTTTCAAGCTAATAGTATGTGAGAAGGTAAAAATTTTAGGGTTTGACCATTTTAATTGAAGCGATTGTCTTCATGCATGGCCAATAAAAAATGTATCAAGAGGGAGAGGGAGATAGCCATAAGGTCGGCAGTGAGCCTATTCTCTTTTTGCTTAAGTTAATCAAGGTTTACAACAGGGATGTCTTATTTGGATGATGGTAAGGACAAGTCAGTTGCAGGACCCATAAAATCTGAACATATCCCAAATTCCATGGATCACAATTTGCAATTTCACAATAGATGATGCAATGGCAGTGGCACTCTATACATGCTTCTCTTCTCTGAATAAGATTTGTTTATATTTGATGAAAAGATCTTATGTTGTGTTATTCTCTATAATAAATTTTATGTTAAAAAGGCAGAAATACGTTATATTTTAGTCTAGGCTCTGGGATTTGCCATCTTCTGCTTGATTATTCTCAATCTCAAAACATTCGTATTAAATGCTATGGTATTGGCTTTGGATAGTTTTGCAAGATGTTGAAGTTTGAAAGTTTGTATCATCATCATATCCCCTCCCCTTCCTTCCCCACGCAACAAGTGCTGTAAAATGGGTTAGGAAACACACAAGTTGATAGGTGTGATTTGACGTTTTAGTTTACTTCTACTTAGATAAACAGGAAATAAAAAATAAAATAAAAAAAACCTTTAGTTACTTGCATATCTTGGAGCATTGCAAGATTTTCATTTAATATTATATTAGCTTCTAAAAGGGAAAATTATTCAGTTTGAACTGACAAAGATGTGTATCTAACATGGTATCTTACAGGCATTTGCTGCAGCAGGATTTGGTGGATGGAAGCTTCAGGGCATAGTAAAACCAAGTAGCTAGTTGAGATTTTTCGTTCTGGGTAAACTTACAAATAGATATGCAAAAGGGAAGGTTGGAAGCATCATTACTTATTCTAGGCATCCAAAATGTACCAGTTAAGTTAAGGATATGGAGCTGAGGACTTCGGAAAGGATACTAGACGAGAGATGGAAATGATGCCAAAAGCCTTAGATATACATGTTGAATTTGACAGCTATGAGAATTGTTTTCATGGAGATTCAGGATGAAACAGTGTTGAGGACAATGTGCAGGATCTCAATCATTCATATGCTGCATTATGTATAGCATAGATGTTCATTGAAGTGAACTCATGCTGTTCAGTGGTTCCTGGTTGATGCACAACTTGAGGCTTCCAAAGAAAAAACTATGCTTCTGTAATTGTATGGTGTGGAAGAAAAGCTTACACCTGTTACTTTACACTCATTTTATCTTCCATCTTGATTTTGTTTCCAAAATCAACTTGTGTAAACTTCATCTTGTAATATAAAGTTTTAGTTCAAATTATTGAGGAAGAGTACAATGGCCTCGTCTTCCAACTTTCAACTATTCAGATAACTTCATTTTGACGTATCAAGATTATACCTGGTTGGATGAAAAGGGTGTGCGGCAAGAAAGGCCTAAAAGCAAAAGATTTTTCAATATTGTAAAGTTACATAAATATCAAAGCGAAGAAGTAGAAACAGGCCAATGAAAGAAAAGCATGTTCAAGTTAAAGAAAATAAGGATGTTCAAGTTATTTCTGACGAAATCGAAAGCCAACTCTCACTTTATGGTTTGATATATCTCTATTAATTGTGCTTTATATATTTATGCTACTAAAAAGTTGATGAATATATTATAGTGCATGGAAAATCGCTCATCTTGGAAGTGTATGAAACACTCGACGAAAAAAAATGTAAGGTTTGTAGACTGAAACAACGCATTTTCTATGACAAATATATTTTGCATGAAAACTCATTCGGGTTTATGAAGTGCCTTGATTTATGAAAGCATGCAGTAAAATGAACCTTTTTTTTTAATCGGTACCACATTGTCTTATAGAATCCAATAACTACTTCTAATAAGTTGTCCATGTATTTCGTAAATTTAAATTTTTATAGAAGTTATTTAGAGTTTTTTTATTTGACTTTTTGTATTCCTAATTATTAAAAATAAATAAATGTATTTTATTTTTTAGAAAAGCTATTGAAAAGTTGTATCATTAAAAAAAAAATTGAAGTTTCAAACAACCAAATTATAATATTTTCACACATTGGTGAACGTATAAATAAAACTTGGTCCTTCAAAACAAATTACTAACCTTAAATTGGGATTCTCACGTTTGAATGCATTTATATTGATAAAGAATCAAACAGCTAAATCACTTTCAGCTCAAATAGTGAAAAATACTCATGTTCCATGCTAGCAAATTCCTATATTTGGGTTATCATTAGTTCTAATGCAAATGTCTCTGTGAGAATGAAATTTTGAACGAAGCGTGGATAAATATTTTTCTTTAAATTTAATTCACCTTCACCAATATTTAAATTCGGTGTAACTTGCATTGATCGCAAATTTTTTCCAGAATACTCAAATATATTTGAGTATGGTTTACACTCTTAAAACTTTAGCTGTAACAATAATGATATTTATTAAATGATGGTTTGTTTTTATCTCATGTATACTAAAGATAAAGACAAATAAATTTATGTATATAAGGCGAAATTAATATATAAATTTATTATAAATTATGCGTAAATATTTTTTATAGATATTTTGCCCTTATTTATAAAGAATTATATCAATTCTTGTTTATAAAAATATCATTATCTCAAATAGTGTGTCTATTCAATAAATAATTACACTATTTTACTTAAAAATTCTCTTTTATCTTAATTTACTTTTCGTAAAGAAACACATTATTTTGTAATTTATGTCTATTTATATATAAATAATTATATTATTTTACTTGATGTTTATTGATGCGATAACATATTTTTTAATCTATATATTTATACTTAAATAACTTAAATATTATAGTTTTTGAATTTAATTGAATAATTTTTAAAAATTGAAGCAAAATAACTTAATTTTCTAAAAAAACTCAATCACAAAAATAAATAAAAAATAATTCACTTTTTAGAAAACAAAAACCAAAAAAGTAGACCAACAATGGAAAAAATAAAATAAAATTATATGAGCAGTCAAACATGTGTTTACATATATATATATATATATATATATATATATATATATATAAGAGAGAGAGAGAGAGAGAAGATAATTCTTTAATTTGAATGAAACCACAAAATTTTACACTAAATATCATAACTGATTTAAATTTGTAAAGGGAAATATATTGATAGATTGTCACACTCTAAAAGTAAGAAAATTGGGTAAATTTGAACTTCGAAACATACGTACATACTCATATATTAACAAAACAACTCTTGAATTAATCAATACATCTTTGCATAAAGGGAAATAGATTAATAGATTAACACAATCTCAAACTAAATATCAATTAATGGATCACTTAACGTGTGTCTTACAAACCCTTTAAGAATTATTTTTAAAATGACCATTTCATATAGTTAAAACAGATAATACAGGGTGGATTAAAAAGTAATTTAATAATAAAGCTGTTAACTTAATTGAACTTAAATAACGAGAGAGAACATCCACATGAATCTTTCAAACAGAGAATGTTCAGATAGAACTAATTTAAGTAAATTCCAGTTGGTTGCTTGAGGGGGCGTGTCTGTCGTTGATCTTCACATTCATTTCCCATATCCGATGATTTCTCCTGCTCAGTAAAATCCAAAGGACAAGGAAGAACAACACTTTCATCAATTTTCAATCTTTTTTTTCTGTTCCTATTAGTCCTCAGATTGGCATTTTGCATTTGTTTATGGGTCCTACCCCATACCCTCTTCCCCATTCTGGTGAAGTTGTTTTCTTTTTATTCCTCTCTTTCAATTTTCCTTGTTTCTGCTTCCTCTTGTTGCCAAAATCAGATTCAGAGATCATGTTCATTGGTATGATATGCAATTCATTGAAAGAGAATCTTCATTGATGTAATGTAGGATCTGACAAGGAACTATTGTCCCTTGTTTCTTTTCCATCCTCACATTCTATCTTGCTTTATCAGCTTTTACATTATTTCTTGTAACATTTGAGACCATTTCATGGGGGTCACGTGTGCACTGTAACCCAAGTTTGAATTTTTTTTTTACCTTGAATAATGTTGGTGCAGTAATGGTGGAAAAAAATGGTGTGCAAACGTAACTTCTATTTGGGGTGAAAATCTCTGGCTTAATGCTTTTGTTTTATGGTTTTTCACTTTTTCTAGAAACAGCTTTTGTAAAAATTTGATGGCATTTGGTTCTGAAAATGGTTTCAGTTTTTCCCCCCTTCCTCTCTCCCTCTCTCTCTCTCTCTCTCCATATCATTGCATGGGACCATAAATTTGAAAAATTTTTGGTACCGAGTCAAATGTCACCTTCTAAGGAGCTAGTTGGTGTTTTCCTTTTTAACAGGAATAGGGCATTAATAGCTTGTGTTGGAAATGGTTGTCCTTGATTAATGTCTAGCATCCAAATTCAGGAGTAAGATTCTGTCAATCTTGAGAGGATTTGAGATTAAGGTACAATTGAAGGAGTTTTATGTGTTTGGAGAGATGGGGGAGAATTGACTTTGAGTTTCTCAGAGGCTCCGCTTGTAATCTCTTGAAGCGGAGCTTCTCTGAGATACACAAAGAAGCAAGATGATAGAGCAATTCATCAATTTCATTGTTCGCCCTCCCAGGTATTACTTTCTGTTTTACTGGTTGGTGGCTTAGCACTAGTTTATTTGCATCCTAAGTTCGAAAAGTGGCTAGCTTTTCAGTTCTGTTTGTTATTTCAATTGTGTGTTGAAGCTAGTAAATTCTTCTTTTCATTTGATTGACATTTGTTTTACTCTGTATTGTGTTCAACTGAACTTGCCTCAACCATCTTGGCAAAGCTATACTAGACAATTTTTACCATCGGCTTAAATTATTACTTCTTCTGATTTTTATATAAATATTTTTTGCTTGTATTCAACTAATGCAAATACATACTAATTGCCCCTGCACCCAATGCTCAACCCGCGGTTATCTTTTTTCAAGCCAACTGAGTTACAGTTTCAGTGTATCTATTTTGTCAAATATACAGGGCTGAGTATGATCCAGATGAGTACCTATGGGAAAAAGAATTCACCCTTGCAGGAAAAACATACCAAAGGCAGGATTTGGAGGCAAGTATGGACATGTTATATAATTACTATTGTAAATATTACTTTATGATTATTACTATTTACAAGAGCTTGTTGAAAACTAGATTATCTTCCTTGTTTTTAAACTGTGCAGCTCAAAAATTCCAGAGGCTACACCTTGCAGTGTAGTCATTATCTCCCTTCACCTTTCCCTGAAGATATTTCTCTTCCTTGTGTTATTTATTGCCATGGAAATAGGTAATTCAATTTTTATGGATACTGCTATCGCTGCATAAAACAGATTCTATATGTCCTGAAGTACAATCATAACTATCATTTTCTCGCATTTTTTCAGAATGACAAGCCCATTCTATTCTTCTCTCTTTAATATTTATGTGTATGTACAATGATACAGTGGATGTAGGGCAGATGCCAATGAAGCTGCTGTTGTTCTTCTTCCATCAAATATTACTGTTTTTACTCTTGACTTCTCGGGGTCAGGCTTATCTGATGGAGACCATGTTAGCCTCGGTTGGCATGAAGTAAGATTCCTCTTTTTGCATATCTTTAGTTTCCAACATTACTATTAGGATAGGATTTATGATTAAGATAAATCTTAATCATATCTTATATTTTCTGATCGTACATATCATTTATTTCTGGTTATTATGCCTGTATTGATCTGTATAATTAGCTTATCAAATCACGATTCTGTTTCTGTGATTATGTCTTTTATGAAATTAAGAATCAACATATTTATAAACTTGCATGCTTATTTGTGTAATTTTCCTTGAAGTTTTCTCAACTTTTATGTTTCCTGTGACAGAAAGACGACCTCAAGATGGTGGTGTCGCATTTAAGAAGCAACAAGCAAGTATCTCGTATTGGTCTCTGGGGACGATCAATGGGTGCTGTTACAAGGTATTACATCATCTGACCAGTTTTTTTTTTATTTTTATTTTTTATGATTTTAGTAAGAATTTCTTTCTATATATTTGTACATAATCAAAAAAAGAAACCAAATACTCCTCAAGATAGCTCTAGACCTAAGACTTAGATGCTGGTTGTATCTCCCTCTGTTCCATATATGTGTAATTACAAGCCACATATATATGAAAATCTCTAGTGTAATTGATTCTCACTTTGCTTTGACATGGTGTAGCCTTCTTTATGGAGCTGAAGACCCTTCTATTGCTGGAATGGTGTTGGATAGTGCCTTTTCAAACTTATATAATCTGATGATGGAGCTTGCTGATGTCTATAAAATTCGACTTCCAAAGTTCACTGTACACATCTCTCTCTCTCCCCCTGTGTGTGTGTGTCCAAAGTTCACGCTACAAGTGTGTGTGTGTGTGTGCAGACATAACCATTTCTTTAGTTTGGGTAAATGTCATTGTCCGACCAAATCTAGAAAGGGAGCAGTTGTTGGAGATGGGCCCAACAAGGCCCAAGTTTGGGGGGTCTATTCAAGGAAAAAGAAAAAGAAAAGCAAAGGAATAGGTGGTTATGTTTCAGTTAGGGAATGAGAGTGTATAGAAAAGAGGTGTAACTAATTATAGGGAAATTAATTTTTGAATCTTTCGGATATCAAAGTTCAGTTACATAGATTACACAACACTATTGAGTTTGGTCAAAAACCAAATCTTTAAAAATCTGGTTAATCAACAGGTCTTTTTTAATAACTTTGTCTTCCTCGACTCCTCTTTACCGGATTAAGAGTTATGTAGTCCACTCTCCTTACTAGTGCCTGTAAAGGTCTTCTTTGCACATGAACAAACCACCTTAAACGATTTTTAAGTCATCTTTTCCTCTAAAGGCTCTGGATTTATGTTGTTGACAAATTCAATAAAGAATTTTTTCTTGAATCTTTCTTTTTGCTGTATAATTTGGCTTAGAACCCATCAGCTTGCATAGAAAATTTTTTACCTGATTCTATAGACATTAGCAAGGCTTTTCAGATTTACATTTTTTTATTGGCCAATTTGATCCATTATCATCATAAATTTTGGTTAAAATTTGAAAAGCAATCCTAAAGAATGAAGTTATTCTTTGTTAAGATTAGCTTTAAATAAGATTGTATTCAGGATTTAGGGTTCCTTACCTTTTAGGGTTTTTATTTGGATTTTTGTAATTATGAAATTTAGGGATTTATTAACTATGACATTTTCTTGGCTTTAATTATGACATAATAATGATATCCTCACATTTTTTTTAATAATAAAGCTGATTGATATAATTATTGAGAAAAATGCCTTTTGTTTGAAGTAACAAATGAATACCATATTTTACAGTTTTGCTTATGTATTTGTGCAGTAGAACCTGTAGGTTTTATATTTTTTTTAAATGCGTATTGATTGATAGAGTTAGGTTTTATATCTTGCTTCGTTGAATGGGCTGGGGATCTATGAAGTGGTAAAGTCTTTCATCTTAGAGCTGTCACCTGTTTTCTTGTCACAGTTGACATTGTATAATTTGCGTTTATGTTTATTGAAATTTTGTTTTGGCTTTTCCTATCATTTTTTAATGCCGACATGCAAAGTGGATCTAAGATCAATACCCGTTAAACGTGAATTGTTTTCTTTCTAGAGTGTCATTTTATGAGCATTTCTAGTTTTGATTAAACTGACATTTTGCTGATATCAACCACAATTAGGTTAAAATGGCTGTACAATATATGCGTCGGGTTATTGAGAAGAAGGCAAAGTTTGATATTATGGACCTGAACTGTTTGTTGGTATGGATTCATTCTGCAGTTTTTTTAATGAAGAATGGTGAAATTTTTCTTTATTTGTTTCACTTTGGAAATTGTAGTATTATTGATGGAAACTTAACTTGTATATTTTCACCTTAAAGTCTTATAACATGTTTGGATTCACTTATTTATAAGGGAAAATTTGCAATTTTTTTCTTTGAAGAATCTCTAAGGAATATTTTGATTATAAGCTATTTTGAACACAAAATAGGCTAATTAAAACAATTTAGTTGCATTTATTTTCTGGATAAACAAGTAGTTAGGTATAGTTACTTCATCTCCATGACTATGCTAATGCTTTAAAAGCTTACAGGTTGCACCGAAGACATACATTCCTGTTTTATTTGGACATGGTAATGATGACCAATTCATTCAACCTCACCACTCTGATCTCATCTCTGAGTCATATGCGGTATTATTTCAAATCATTGAACAAATATTTTTAGAGCAGTATGCAGTTTGGCACTCTTTTAACAGACAAAATATGACTTGGTCTCTGAATTTGTAGGGAGATAAAAATATCATAAAATTTGATGGTGATCATAACTCCGCTCGGCCACAGTTCTTTATGGATTCAGTTTCCATTTTCTTCTACAATGTCCTTCGCCCTCCTCACATTCCTAGACCTCGTAAGGTTGAGCATTATATTGAATTTGGTGGTTTAAAATTTGGTTCTACTGTGAATGAGGTAATTAGCATTTAGAGTTACGTCTTAGTTTGCTCTCTTAAGTATATTTATCCGCATGACAATTGCTACCATTCTATATTGATGATTCCACTAAAATGCCGTCTGTGTATGCTGGGGTACAAGAAATACACCTGAATTTATACTTGCTGCCTAGAATGCAGTTTGTCAACTCAAAACAATTATACATCACCAAGCTTCAAGTAACAGTAACAAATTAAAAAATTGGAAAAGCAAAAGAGAAGAGAGATATAGGATCATCTAGTCTCAACTTCCTAAAACCTCAATAAATTTAAGATGTTAACTTTCATTTCACCTTTTGGAAATATTAGCATAAAATATTATGTAGGTATATATTGTTATTCAATTCACATTGTTTTGTGGGTGTTATTTGAATAATAAATCATGGATTTGCTCTTGCTTGCATTCTAGAACCTGTTATATAAGATACTCGCTAGTCTCCAGTCTGTAACTACTGATGCTCCAAGTTCATCTTATGCTCCTCCAAGCATTTCAAATTCAGTCACAGCATCAGTTAGTGAGAGTTCGAAAGTTGCTCCAGTACGTAGGATGGCTCTTTCCGTCTGTTCGTGTTATTTTGTCTCAATCCTGTGTTAATTCATTAATTGCTTCTAATGCAGGAGTCCATGATTAGCCAGGAATCAATGAATGGCTATAGTGGACCTGGCTGTGATGAGCCTGCAGATGTGAAGGTGATTTTATCAAGTACCTTCTCTGAAATTAAGAAATTGTTCAAGCGTTTTTTTATATCTACATCTCACTATTGGAAGCAAATTACCAGCTTATGGCACCTTTAATCTGGGTTGCTTTTAATACTTGAATGCACTATCCGTACAAGCGATATTTATCTTTTTGACTGTATAATTTTTTATTTTTTATTTACTTAAAATGGTTTATCCCATAAACCAGCCTATGCCAACCTGCTTCAGGTTAAAACATGTTGCCCAGCTGGTCTTGACACAATATTTATTAAAATCTTTAGTCCACATAAGTAGTTTTTTTCAGTAACTATTTGCTATCAACTGTATATTCGCTTTAGTGGTTTAAAAAGTCAGTGCGTAGATCTTAGCTCACTTTTTATTTCTCCTGAAATTGACTTTAATGATTCAACAGGATGAGCATAATGGCCTGACTGAAGATTATTACTCATATACTAGCTCAACCAGAGAAAGCTGGGGAAGATGTTCTTCTTTAGGACTCACTGATGAAGAATCCTATCCAGATTTCAGGGGTGATGATAATGGTTCTGAGGTCTCTCTCTCTCTCAGAACACACTTGCATGCATGTGCACTGCACATATTGTCAAATCTATTAATTAGTTGAGGGCATAAAAATGGTTTGGAAGTGACATGCAATACTTATGCGATAGTAACTTGTCTGCTAGTTTATATCATGGTGCTGTGCTATCTTTGCTTCTCATCCTTATCTGTAGTAGACTACTATATTTTCTAGTAATTCATTTATTGACATGGTTGTTATGTGCTTCATGTGTATCTAATATTGAAATTCTCTTAAGGTATTTGCAACACCCCGAGGAAGTATGAAAGAAATATCAGCAGACCCAAAAGAAGACGGAAAGAAGAAGAAAGCTGTAAGATTAACAAAGAAGCTTAAATCTGAAAAAATTGACAAGTGGCAGTCCCTCACTCGACGCCTGCGACTTTGCATCTTAAGGGGATCTGCTCATCGGAGACAAAAGTCCTCTTGACGTGTCCTAACTGCTATTGTGTTATATAGTTCCTCTAACCATTTGTTTTCATAACATCAATGTAAGAGACTGCTATTTTTAGGCAGCTCATGAAACTCAACTTGTTTGTAGGTCTACTATTTGATTCTCTATTGGGAATATTCAACATGTACTTAGGTGCAGAATATTGGTTTCTCTTTCTGGCTCCTCTTTCACTACTTGTTTACTGTTATGAATGAGACTTTTCAGTTTTTGCCATCTAATCTTGCAATATCAACATTGGGGGCTTACTATGCTTCTTGTGTTGGGTGATGGTTGGCATTGAACATTTTGAAAGAACTTTTATGGAACTTATTTGGACTTGTGAAATTATCTTTTTGACTGTTCTATGATCTGTTTTCTTATTTTAATAAATTTTATGGAAAAGTTTATTAGAATAATATGTTTTTATTGAATAGGTGTTTAACTACATAATTTATCCAAATGTGGTCTTGATACAAAATACTTCATGTTCGGGTGATAGAATGGAATTATAACTTAGAATTTTAATGTTAATACAATCAGAATTAAAATCATTTAAAGTTACAAATATTATGTTTGGGTGGTAAATTATCAGTTTGACTCTATTCAACGTGTACGTTATTTAAGTTAATTTGATGATATTAATGTCCGAATTCACATGGACATTGCATTAGTAAGTATACCTAGCAGTCACTGTTGACAAAACTAGCTTTTTTTTCCACCATTTGCTGCCCCCTGCTTCTATCTTCGGGTTCTCTAATGTTATAATTTTCATATGCCTTTGATACGAGAAACTATTGTGCATATTTAGGAAATCAACAACAGATATTTGACAAGAAAAAATAAACAGATATATTATTGCATAGTGCAAAATTTTAAGTAATTAATTAATAAATAGTTTAGATGGTCTGTAAACAAAATCTATGCATATGTTTTTCCTTTAATATGGTCTGCCATAGGATATTCCTTGTATTTCTTCTTCTGCTAACTTTAAATAAAAATTTTTGGTTCTATTTAATTATTAATTTAAAATTTTAAAATAATATCAATTACTACATTTTTAATTATACCCTTATCTCTCGCTAATTCTTAAACATTATACACTTATCATAATTAAAAGAAATAATATATGTGTCATTAATTTTTTTTTAAAATAATATAAATAAGAATATTAATTATAATTCTTAATTTATGTGCTATTTTTTAAAATAGACAAATAAATTTGGAAGTATCATTCACGATGTGGTTTATAGTAACTTCTACACAATATCAGTTCAGTGGGTGGTACTATCTCACGTCCAAATATAGTTGCGTCTTTGGACATTACATTATTACATTGAGAACAAAAAATGGCCCAAAATTAGAATTTGTTAGAAAAATGGAAGAATGTTGAAGAGATTTCCTTCATTCTTGATATTAAAAACTCATAGATGTTCCAAAAACAACTAGGGAGAAAGAAGGCCAAAGAATATTCGATTTAGACCGCAGAACTAATATGCATTTTGTTTGACAAATTAGGCACCTTGCACCCAGCTCCACACGTGGCGTCTGCCGATTTTCATACATAACTAGTGGAATGCTGTGTTTATTCATTGTAACCATATAGTCTTGTTATTAATTTTTTTTTCTTGAAATAAGACATCATCTGTATAAATTTACAATGCACACTTCTAGATAAACATAAACTTGTACATATCTTGAAGTTTCGTCATTAGCACAATCAAATCAATCACAACTAAGGTCAATTTTCTTTCTGATAAAACTTGAGTACAATACCATAAGTAATGTTAGTAATATTCTCGGACTAAAATTAGTGTTTCACCTAATAAAAATTGTCATTAAAGATCAACACATCATTATTAAAAGTCAATACACATTACTGATATAAAACTTTAATTAGGATTAGAGAACACTAATAGTATTTATATTACTGTACCTAAATTTTGTTTTTTTTTATCTTATCTGTTAAAATATACCCCAACGCTAGACCACTCACAGCACTAAACCTGTCCCTAGACATCCGCATAATTCCTTTGGCTAGTCAAGAGATTATGTATAACCCCATAAGCCTTTTAGAGTCACCTTGATGAATAAGTTTATGGAGCAGATGACAAGATTCTTTCTATTAACCCAATTCAAACTAAGTTCCCTAAAAGTAATTAAAGGTTGGATATTTAGTCAAGTATTGAACATTTGAACTGAAAACTAAGAACATTGGGAAACTATGAAGATCAGGTTCCTTCATCTATTCAAGGAATACATATAACACAGAAACTAAGCTTAGAAGGATGATAGAATGAGTCCTACTACACAACCTACATATTACACCAAATCACAGATTGTTGCCACCAACCTTCTCCAATTCCTCACCATTTCTGGTAGATATACCCAAAGAAGGATCAAATTGATCATGGCTAAGGAAAACAGAGTTTGGCTGCTGGTATGATGACATGCTTGACTCCAGTATCTGATGCGGAAGCACCATGTCAGGTTTAGAATACGCTCCCTCCATGCTTACTCGTTGCTTCTTGGTTGATCTCTCCCCTTTAGGACTGTCAGCAGGGGAACCAACATGGCAACCAGAATCTGGTGTCATTGGTTCATGATGGGATGAAAAAGATTCAATTGAAAGACTCTTTGCTGGGGCACGCTCTTTAGCAGCTTTTTCTGGGTCAGGGGTTGCCGGGTCAGTCTTATTATCAGGTTCCTGGCACACATCCCCTGAATCCAAGGCTGCAACACCAGTGCCAGGTGCCTCTGAAAGAACACCACTTAGCCGCTGTTGCTCTTCAATTATTTTTTTCAGATATTTACCCTGGGCTTCTATCCGTAATTGTAGCTGTCTCTGCACCTGTTTCACATTACAATATAAGTTATTTGTCTGTTCTTCCTTCTCTTGATTCAAAGTATAAGGAGAGTGCATGTTCTATTTGTATTTATAAACATTTGAGTGAAATTTCAAAGCAGTGAATAAACATAAAGTTCAAACCCCATAAAATGCATTATGCAATATGGCTTGGAGTTGGACCACTAGAGCAAAGGTTATTAACACTATCAAGCTTTTCAATTGGTATCAAGCTATTCACATGATTAAATGTAATAAAAATCATAAAAATTTACAAACAGCTGACATTGGTCAGTCATTAGATCAGTTCAACTACGAGAATATACCTCCAATTGTTCATGTAGTCGCTTCTGTACCTCCATTTGAAGCTTTAGTGCTTCAGTAATCTGCATCCCACTGCAGACAGATAAACCCACAAGTAATAGTCATTCATACCATCAGAACTCATCAAACAGTCAAGATCGTTTGATAAAAAAAAAAAGTTACATTTTTTCATCCCAAGTAAAAGTTTCAAGGTGTTGACTGTTGAACACAAAAATAGACAATTTTCTATTGTTGTTAAGACTTGTAAATTTGACTCCAGGATGTAAAAGCATAGATGGTTAGCCAATGTGCTTTAGTATCCCAAATAAATAAAAAATTGCGCATAAGCTTCCATCAATTTGTATAAGTTTGACAACCCAAAAGAAAACAAAGAGGCAGAAATACTCACGATGAACCATCAAGATTGGAAAGCATATCCCCTGTTTCTTTCTTGTCAGCTTTTTTCCCTTCTATAATCAATTTTAAAAGTTACACTCAAAGGGAGAATCAAAGCAAAATGAAAGTTTAATGGACTAGAAACAAGAAACCATTTTCCTCAATATCATATCATATACAATATACATGAACAATTTAAACAATGAAATCAGGTAGACATACCATCAGATGAGGAGTCTGGTAGGTATTTTGCTAGTCTGTATTTCTGCATGCAACAGAAAAATAGAATGGATTAAGATTTATGAACGAGAATAATGGACATCATGCTAAGAGACCATTTTAAGGGTACATTACCTGTAAATGGCTTTTGACATGGTAAATGGTCAAACCTTGTACACCCATAACTCTGAGGACACCTTTGGGTGTGGCACCTAGGAAAGAGGACAGTTAGAGATTTAAAACACTTTCATAAGGAATGTTAATCATACATAGAAGCTTGAATACTCCCCAGTCAACAATAAGATATCTAGTCAACACAAGTATTAGACATCTGATCAACAACATATACAACCAATTCTTCAAACTTTACGTTTTACAGTATCTCATTAATTTTCATATAAAGAAAATTCTCATTTGATCTTCCAATGAATCATTGGATAGTCATATCATCATCATGCCCATTTGATACCATTTTGCGCAAAACTAATTACTGATGCACATACACATACATGGAAGAGGGAGAGAGAGATTACTAATACTTGAAAAATCACAAGTGACGCAACATTTTACCAGCTAACTCCAGTAACAAGTGTAAATTGATGAGATATAGAAGTAGACACTTCTATTTTATTATCTGCTACACAACCTAGATTTCTCATTTTACTGAACAAAGTCACTTTTTAAGTTCAGGTGGGAGAACAAGAAAGAAACATTTCCAGATTTGTGTTAACCAAAAACATAGGGGAAATACTCACGATCTGGCCCACCAAGTTGAGCCACAGCATCAACAAAGCGTTCATGTAGCTCATGTGTCCACCGTAAACGTTGTTTTGAGGTGAGATTAGAATTGTTGGTGAGACTGTTTCCTTCATTGCCGTGATCCATTGTGCTGTTTCCACAATCTATGTGCTGACCATGAACTAATGAATTACTTCGAATTAAACTAGGAACACTCTTCGAATGATACATTTGTCATTTATCTGACAGTAAACAAAATAAAAGTGAATATAATATAATATGGAAATTAATACTAACAGCTCAAACTTAACCGCATACTGGGAGTAGGTAAAGAAACGGGGGAAGAATCAGACATGTGAACAGACACGTGAATCTATTGATTCTACAAGATAGGAATACCATTAATAACAATTAAAATTTTCCTAGTTCAAAAACTGTATAGAGTATCCATTTCTATAAGCATTACAAAATTAACTACTCTGATCCCAATCCCTAATATGAATCAGTTCAACTCACATTTGGTTCAATCATGAATATACATCATAAAAGTCTCCCTAAACCTTCTGATTGCTATTAAAAAAATTTACTCAATGAATCATTTAGTACTCTCAACAAAAATCATAACAAAAATACTCCCAGACATCCAATGGATTATTTTATCAAAATTTAATAGAATTTCCATTCATTTTCTTTAAAGAAGCCTCTTGCTTTCTTTCTTCATTT